AGTCAAATCAAGCAGCGCCAAGCAGTAAATCAACCCAGCATCATGGAATAAGGCACAATAGCCTTATCCACAACCGGCTCCCTCCGCGCAGCGACATCCTTTTCATCCCCCCACCGCGAGAACCACGCCAGTTCCTGGTTCCGCGCCTGGTCAAACGCGGCGCGGCACTCGTCGGGGAGCAGATCCCGAATCTCGTCTGACACGGCCGCAAGGCCCTTGAAGGGCGCGAGGAAGTCGGCGGCGGCCGAGGCCTCGGCGTCGGCGGGCGACGTGCGGAAGGGCACGTCGTACGCCACGGGCGAGACGCCCGCGGGCGGAGTCTCAAAGTGCGTGTCTAGGACGAGAAAGTTGCGCGAGATGGCTGGCTTGAGGGGTGGGAAGATTGATGATGATGTGTCGGACGGGTTGTTGGGGTCTTCCTTGTCGGCGGCAACGGGCTCGATCCGCGCGTGGGTCGGTTGCATGATGCGGGGGTAGTGCATCTGGTTGGTGTGGATGTCGTACACGCCGTTGAGATTGGCCCGGCGTACAGCCGTGAGCACGCTGTTGAACTGGCTGTCATTGAGAGGTGGTGGGTTAGGGGCACTGCTGGATGACGGGAGGGGAAAGGGCGGTGGTACTTACATGGCTTCACGAGCATGCTCCAGCTGCCAGTTCACGTCGTTGACGGCGACTCGGCGTTTCTTGGTGTCCACCTTGACATTCTGCTGGGGAACCGAGGGTCCCCCGGAGTGGTATACCGCGCTGGCGCCATGCCAGGCCACGTACTGGTTTTTGTTGTATGGCTTGTCCGGGTCGTAGACGTCGTTGGGATCTGCCAACTCACCCTCCACAACTCCTTCCGCGCGAGCCTTGGCAACTTCATAGTCGTCTATGATGCGACGGCCGCCGACGATGATCAAGGCGCCAAACTCCCTGAAAACTGACCGGGCTGTCACAATACCTATTGAACGGCCCTTGTAGCTGTGCGGGATAATCTCGCGCTCAATCATGTCGCGTTTTTCCTCATCGTTGACAATGATCTTGTAGAGCTTCTTGTGCTTGGTGAAAAAGAGGTACGAGTCGCGGAACCCCACGCAACGCGCGGGCTCGGTGGAAAGCATGTAGAGGCGGTCACCGCGACCGGCGACTGTAAAGGTTCGGCATCGATACTCGCGCCCATCTTTGAGGTTGCCCAACTTATCAACCTTCTTCTCCCCCTCTGGATCTTCGGGAAGGGCCACCTCGTCGTCTACAATGTCGAGCACCGTACCGTCCTTGTCAATCGACTGCTGGGTGGGCTGGTAGTGCTGTCCCTTGCGGCCGCCTCGCCCGCGCCACCCTCCCCGTCCACGGCGACGAGGGGTAGCGTCTGGATTCGGTGGCTCAATGGGTAAGGTATCCCAATCGGGCGGTCGGTTCTTGGGAGGCCGTCCTAGCCGGCGGCGGCGAATGACTGGTTCGGGTGGAGGGGTTGGGGATTTGGCCGACTCATCGTCCTCCTCTGGCGCATCCTCCTCGTGAGCGGACTCTTCTCCCTTTTCGACATCGTCCTCAGCTTCTAGCTGTGTCGCTCCCTCCTCCTGCTCGGCGTCGGGCATGGGCTTGTCCTCGTCGTCGAGGCCTTCAAAGGTTTTTGGTGTGCTTTCTGTGACACGCATGATGCGATAGCAAGAGTGTCAGCAATGCAATGTCTACGGCAGATGGCAACTTTGAGCAACTCAAACAATTATGCAACCAGCATCAAAATTGCAGTGTTTGGTTAAGGTTTTCACCATCGGAAGGGAAGATGCAGAAGGTGCGCCAGGGATCACCATACCGAGAGCGGCTTGGGCGCGCTTTGCAGCTGCGCGACCGGATCGTCGACCCATCTTTTTTAGAGGGTCTTGGTTCTGATGTTTGTGTGACGACACAGCGTCGGCAATCTTGGTACAGACAGCTGCGATTAAGCGCCAAATGCGACCAGGCTAGAAGCGGGCGACGCGATTGATTCTCGATTGTGGAATTTTGGTGGTTGTCGAGGAGCACCTGCATTGACCTGCAAGGTTCACTGCAGCGGATCCGTTTGTGCAGCACAGTAATAATAATTATATAACAGCACCGTGCTTTCCCACTCAGAACTTCAATGAACGTCAAGTTATAAGCATCAGTTGGACTTGAACAGAGCACACCCCGTGACTGCACTTGACAGGTAGACGGTCTTTGGACTACCTAGCTGTGAAGAATGCTAGCGGTGTTAACATTTGATTCATCATTTCTCACTGCACAGAAAGCAATGTCAGACAAAATGGCAATGGATCATGACTCCATATCCTGCATTTTACCTAGCTATTAATTTCTGAACGTCAATCATTTCTGGTCATTCTGAGTCCGCCCCTGAGTGCTCAATCATACAAAGCACTCTGCTGCTGTTCTGGTCTCTGAGATGGAGGAAAGGACATGGAGACGAGACCAGATCCCTCCGGATATTCCCCTCCCTTTCCTCTCGAAGAAGCCGCCCCAAGCGAGCCGGCCTAACCAAGCCAGCGAGCTTGTTGTCGGTGCCCATTGCCGTCATTACGTTTCCAGTAAGACGATCTGCCCCAGTCCTTGATAGATGTAAATCGCTATCACGCGGTATCTATCGTGGAAACGACCAAATTATGAAGTGAAATCCGCTGTCCCTTCTTCCTTTCGGCAATGCAGGGGTATATGCCGATAAAAAAGCCAAACTGTGACCGCTGCAGACAAAATACCAACCATGCTCCTAAGCGTGCATGGAGGGTTGTGTTTGGAATCAAATCCCTTCCGACTGCTACTCAGCTGAGGCGGCTAAGCACCCTGGCCCTTTGGCGGCAGCGCTACCGGCGTCTTCTAGTTCACGGGCAGCTTATCCGCATTGGGCACACCCTCTGGGAACACCTCTTCGGTCAGGATCTTGGCCCGTTCTTGGTAGAGGTACCGGTATGCAGTCTTCACTGTGCCGTCGCTGACTCCCGCAACAACGGAGATGGGCTTGGAAGATTTGGGCTGGCCGACCAGATGAGAGGCCATGTAGATACAAGCCGCCGCAACCGAAAGCGGTGATCGACCAGCCAGGTCAGCCACCTGCGTTGACTTCTCGGCAAGGCGGCGGGCCACGTTCTCGACACGGACCGGGTCGCGGAAGTCGAGATTGCTGCAGTAGCGAGCACACAGCTCGACGGCGCTTGTGGAGCCCTTAGCCTGGTATTGCTGGTTGAACATGCTCGCCCTGGCAATCTCGGCCTCGCCGCCCATCTTCTGCAGAAAGGCCTCGAGCTGCTTGAAGACGCGGCCAATCTCCTTTTTGCTCACGTTGGTCAAGCTGAAGATTTCCTTGAATGTACGTGGCGAATCGGTCTGCCGGCAGGCGATGAAAATGCAGCCGGCGATGATTGCGTCTTGAGACTTGCCTTTCAGCGCCTTGTTGTCCTCGACTAGTTTGAAGATATGCTTGGCTGCGTTGGCAACCTGACTACCGATATTCATCTTGTCCGTGTACAGCTGAATCTTCCGGTACGCGTCGAGGAGCACCTTGGAGGCTTTGTCCTGAGTGACCTTGTTCTGAAGGTGCGCCAAATTCTTGGCATTCTTGCCCTCAAAGGCGATGGTTGTCTGGAGCTGATCTCCATCAATCATCAGGTTGGGAGCATCGCCGACACGAGACGGGTCATCATTCCCTTGGTCGTCGTTGGCAAAGGTACGCCATTCGGAGCGAGTGTCAACGATGCGAGCACCAAGGACCAGGCCGCACGACGCGCAGACCATGTCACCCGAAGAAAACTCCTCTATCAGGTTTGGCGGGTTCTCCTTGCATTCAGGGCAAATCAAGACATGGTTTAGATCCTCCTTGTAGCCGGGCCGCTTCTTTGCAGCAGCGGCGGCCTCGAAAGGAGCGAAGGGGTTGGACATATTGGGCGGTTGGAACTGAGTAGCGCGAGCGGAGGAAGGTCGTTCGGACGTTTGTCGAGTGCCGCAGAGAAGGCCAAGTACACGCGCCCAAGTAGGCTCGGACTGTTGCGGATACGACGAAGTCGGGATGCGCAACTCGACTTTTCGTTCGACTTTCACTGCGAACGCCACCAAGCCTCGCTCGGAACCGCCCGGGCGTCAACCCCGCTGGCGGCCTACGGCCGTCTTGCGTTAAGAGCACTTGAGACTGCGAAATCTAGGCGTTGGGTCGCTCAAAATCCTTTGCAAATGTTCTAGGAACAGCCAGCAAAGGCGTTCTAGGATTGCTCCGGAGATGGTCACGGAAGCGCGCCCTCGGAACAAAGGAAACGTCTCTGCAGTCGAACCCAGTCGTCGCTGAGGCCTTTCTCGGAGTCGATCACTTCGTCCCTATCTTATGCAGTAATCGCCAGAAACAAGAAATCACCTTGGGAATATATCGGGCGACCGGTATCGCGAGGGTATCGCGAGGGCAGCGAGTGACGGGGATGGACGCGAAGGATGTCGGAAGAGAAGATTGTTGGTCGAAGAAAGCGAAGCCAGGTTCTTCTTGTTTCGAAGCCGCTTTGGGTTAGAATTACTCAGCAGGAAGCGAGGCTCGGCAGCAGCCTTACGCGGCTTGGCACGAACACACAGTGGATACTGTATTTAGAAGTTGCATTGCTACTGTACCGATGTGTCCGTCTTCAACTCTCCATCAACTGAACTTGGAGTTTCGAGGCTAACGGTTAATTTGAGTGCGTCGTCTGATCCTACTCTCGGTGCGGACTTGAACCCAACGCTGGAGGATGTAGTCCCAAACTTCCCAACACACAAACATCTCTTCCTCGATGTCTTCTTGTCGGCAATTCCGACTCAACCCAAGGGCCCCGGCCGTTTCAACATCCGGTTGACTCTCGGAAGATCTCCCGATTCCGCAAGGCCGCGGCGCTCTTTTGGTTCTTGCCCCCTACACTTATGCTGGACACGATGTATTCCGTCATAAAGTGGTTTGGCTTTGGAGTCGACGACAGCCTCGCGTCATTCATGATTCTGTGCCCGACGGCACGCCCAGCGGCTCTGCCTAAGTTGGTTTCTGGGAGGCATGCGTTACAGCGGAGCAAGGCTTGACCGAGTGGCTTGCTGCGTTTTAAATTCTCTTCTCTCACGACTGCTCAGCCTGGTGCTTGTCGGCCGGGATGACGGGGCGGCGGCGTCGGTGGGCCCCGAGACGGGTTCATGAGTTGCATCCGGCCCTGAGAGCGATGCTTTGCAGGCGAGGGGATGGCTAGGATGGGCACATCGTTCGGTGGACTGGCTACTGCGGGATGTTGGACGCCTGACGTTGATCGCGCCTGCCGTTCCCTGGCTTCCCATGCCTTCCAGTCCTCCTTTAGCCTCCTCGATTCGCGCCGTTCCATCTCCAAGAGCTCCCGGTCGATCTGATCCGCCATCGCTGCAAGTCTGCTTCCGACCGAACTTGTGGACCGGCTCGCCAGGGATTTCCGAATCATGTACTGCCTACGCTCCTCCTCTTCCCGGAACAAGTCCGCCGCACTCAGCTTCCGCCTCCTCATAAATTCGTCGCGGGTCAAGTACGGTTCAAGTTGTCGTGCTCTCTGGTATTGACAACGCTTGATGTAGTAGAGGGCGATGAAGACGAGCATGGCGCCAACAATGATGATCCCAGACACAACGCCGACGATTAACCATACCGCAGAGGGACTAGATGTGACAGATTGGGTGTCTTCGGCATATTGGAATGCTGGTACGGCATCTCGAACATCGTGACGAGGAAAAATACCCGGCATTGTGCAAGGAAGGGCGAAGGGAAGGTGTTGGAAGAGCCCGGCACCTACTGATCTATGGCTTCACAGCGCAGACGATGGATACATAGGAGAGCATTGGGCTGCCTACCCAAGTCATGACGGGACATATCCCTCTTATATTCACCATGACCACCGCTCTTCTCAGCTCAGGGCCAGAGAACCCGTGGACCGGGAGAGCTGTAAATGGATGCGCCCAGCTATTGGATGCACGATCGGGGCACCATAGCACACAGAATCACAGAACTACACCATGCTATAATTGGGGAAAGCCGACCCTCTTCTCCCGCTTCGTAGCCGACAACCCCCGCATTAGCTGACGGTCTCCGAATGGGGGTTGAGGCGCAGCGCGGTAACCACACGTCAACTTGCAAGACGCTGATGATGAACAAGGTGCGGAGCGGCAGTCTGGTTTATCCGCTGTGAAAAATAAGGCGGACCTGGGATGGTACCGTTTCACCGCATGGCTCCGCATGTCTGACTGACATGAAAATACAACAACCCCATGGTCTCTGTCACTAAAAGTATCTCATCACAACTACTCTTGGATAGTTAGTCCAGACGTCAAAGGGCCTGATCCGAACACTCTAAATCGCATGTTCAGTAACCTTTCTTGTTCTTCGCTTCATGTTGTCGCGGGATACGAGGCTAGAGTCCGCCTTGTGATTCGGCCACGCAACAAGCGGTCGGTGAGAGTCATGGGATTGGTTCGTTGATGCCCCTTTGCGGCAGTGCCCGAACTGCCAAGACCCAGCCCAGCGGCGCCGGACTTACAACCCTGCGATGTCACATGCTGCAACACGGCACTTGGTTACAAGGTTGAGCTGAAGCGTTGTTCTAGATACGGATGATAACCGGTATGTAAATATATCAACAACCAACTCCGCTCTGGAACAGGGCAGGTTGCCGTTGGAGTTGGCTTCAATACCTACCTTAGTACCTATTGTTGAGTAACTCGAGTGAACTGACTGAAGTCAGTGAACTCCAGCTTCATTCTCCTTGTCTCCCAAGATGAGCACATCACGAGACTCACCCCCTCCTCAGAAATGTCCTTCTGGGTTTCATCCTACAATGCTAAGATTTGAGGGGTATCCCGTCACTCTCAGTGGCGCCGCATCTTCATCACACAATGAAGAAGGAATGGGACGGTTCACCTACAAACCAACAGCCTCAAGGCCATGGAAGGGGTGCCGTCTCTGATCGCAGTTCATGCTGTCTCTAGACCGCCTTCTCGGCTGCCTGTTGTTGCTCTCGTATAATTTTACTGAAGAGTAACGTCTCAAGCTCTCGTGATGGGCGGTTCGGCTTCATATATCATGTCAGTGAAAACAACTTACGACGTTACAGCTTCCGTATACCTGAGGTCAAGTTCGTAAGATAGAGCGGCGGAGATTCCATCCGATCTTCACACCCCAAGGTATACAATCAAGTTCCAGCACTGCTCCTGCCAAGTTAGCCCTCACCACGGAGATGCGTCGTGGCCGAGTGGTATTAGCGGGCGCTCTCTTGCTAAACCTTCTAATCAGAAATCGTTCCTGCACGGTTTCGTAGGGACCGGGAGGCCGGGTGTTCGATTCCCAGTCTATGTCTAAACTGTTGGAGGGGGTCTTTCAGACCTTCAACTGGGAGTAGTAGAAGACCCTAGCCACGTCTCGGCCTGAGCTTTATGCCATTTTTTCGACTGGATCACTGGAGTTTGATTTCTTTTTCTTTCTACTCTTTGTATTCCACTCGGTTACAAGTGTGTGAGAACATATCCCAGACAAGCAAGAATAGAATCATGACATAGTATTATAATACCTTGCAGACATGGCCCGTTGATACATCTAGTAGGTGTACTTGTAAGGGAAATGTCTCCCAACCAGACATCAACCAAACAACTGCAGGAAAGACAGCAAGGGAAGAGGGATATTCTTTTAGACTCTCACTCGGCCATTGGGGTTTCCCTGCAAGAAGCGTCTAGAGCGAAGAGCAGGCGGTGATGTATACATAAGAGCAGTAAGGTATTGTACCTCTGTCTTGACGGTTATCCCAAGTGCAGTGAAACCGCGTTGGCTGCCGAACAGCCTCTGATCACCGTAACCCGGGTGTACAGACACTCCTTACCCACTTGAACCACATGGGCTCGCCCAGCTTGGAGTATGCAACACCGTTAGCTGTGATAGGTGAGTTCTATTATCCTGTCGCTGTTAACGCCCCGATGCTCAACCTTCCTCGCCTAAAAACCTATCCTTTCAATCGTAATATACAAGCCGCAACACTTTCGAGATATGACAACTCGACGCGTCATATACCCCAGCCATTAGATTGTACAGTATAAACACGTATGATACACTCCTCCGCGATGGTTTGACCGGACGCCTCTCCTGACAGTAATTGCGGTCAGTCAACACCGCTGTCATCCAGAGGCGTCAGCTTCTTCTTCTCAAAAGCTTTCTTCACCCCCCAGCGATAGAACTGGCGCAAATGGCCCTTGATCCAGCCCTCGATCTCTTCCTCGGGCACAGCAATCCGGCTGGCCCGGTCCTCCTCCTCGGGCGACAGCTGGAAGCGGCGCATGCGGGTAGCAATGCGCGGGTCCATGACGATGGGTTTCGCAAGAATTCTCTCCTGGATCTCCGCGGCATTGGCGTTGTGTTCCTTGGAGTCCTCCTTCCAAACCGTCTTGATCCAGTCCTTCTCTTCCCACTCAAGCTCCTTTTGCTGCTCGTATTGAGGCTGATCTGTGGTGGGGTTGCCAGAATTGGCATCCGGGGCGAGATGCCGGAACTCGCGGTACGTGCACAGGCACACAGCGGCAACCTCGCGCCCGATCTCGTCGGCAAGCTTGCGGCGGTTGAAGAAGCGGTACATGCGTATAGGCGTGTTGAGGAAGCCGAGAAGATGAGGCTCTCTGATAGGAGCGGCGGGCGCCAGCTCATTCGGTACGCTAGGAGGGAGGAATGATGTCGGGTAGTCGGCCGTGGTGTTGTGCGGTTTTGGTTGTGGTGGCCGCTTAGGCTTCTTCTCCTCCTCTGCCGGCTTTTCCTCTGCGGGCTTCTCCTCGGCGGGCTTGCCTTCTGAGGGGGCGTCCTGAGTGGTTGATGTGGGGAGCGGCACCGGCTCTGGCTCCGAAGGTGCGGCAAGGGGCCCTAGCCAGCCCTCGTGCAGACCCCTGATGTACTCCTTCCATGTATGCCTGCCAATAACAATGTCGCCCCGGACGCCGTCATAGTCGGTAATCCCTTGAGATTTGCGGAAAGCCTCGACAATTTCGTCCTTCGTAGGTTCCTTGTCTGGGGCGGGCTCGCCGTTGTTCTCCTCCTTGCGGCGTATCCGGCGCACACGCTCGGCCACGTAGGCGCGCACATCGCCCTCCCGTCTGCCTTGCACAAATTCCCAGTCTAAGCCGCTGGCAGCAAGAATCGGCTTGACATACTCGGTGTAATGGTCCTGGGCGATACGGAGGCCGTCACCAGGCGGACTCGAAAGGTAGATGGTCAGCTTGCGCGGCTGATAGAGGGCATTGGGCAGTGGCTCCTTGGCCAGATGTTCGACGGCATGTTGCCACTTCGCAATCGCTCTCTTTTTCTCGCGCTTGTCGTAGATGATTGCAGCTGATATGGCGGCCGAGACGGTCCAGAATATCATCCAATTCCGAGAGGGAAGCTTGCGGGGGAGGGCGGGGAGGCCGAGCATGCGCAGGGCTGGGTTGCGGGAAGGTGCCTTCGCGGCCTGAACAGAACAACATATTGTCAGCCAATTGCGAAGGGCACAAGAATAAGAGCAACACAAAGGGCATTATTTGTCATACAGCGTCGGCTGCCGGCGATGGTGTTTTTTGCGCCGGGGGTGTGGGATCAGCCATAGCGACGGTGCTTCTGACGGAATTCTTGTTGAGCTTTCTGCGAGGCAGATCAAACAGTACTACCAGCACATTAGAGCCTTTTGGGCCTCGATTGAGGCTTGCAGGTTTCTCTGGCAGGCCTACCGGCTTGGCCACTTTCGATATACAGTGTGCCCGTGTTGCTCCCCGTTGTGGTGAATTCCTCCCCGATCACACACGCAATGACTTCACACAGCGAGCGCAGCTCAAAATTCCCGTCGTCGTTGCTTATCGCGATAAGATCATGTGCACGGGCCAACAGTAGCTGGCGGTGATACTTTGTACTTGTACAATGATGTTGGAACTGCTGCTGGACGGAAGTGCTCAGGTTTGTTACCTGAGTCTTTACTCAAACATCCAGTCTCGATACTTGCTATGTGTATAACTAACAAAGTAGTTACCTATACATCAGAACGCCACGAAGTAGAGTTTACAGTATTTTGTAGAAATAAGTCGATAGTACAAAAGTACCCGAAGTACCTCCGTACCCCCGTACGGAGTAGATAAGGTATATGCATGTTGTATCCGTAACTTTGTAGGCTACACTGCACTGCAAGCTACCTAGGTATATACAGGCTCAATGTGAGATTTGTTTACCCTATTGGACCAAGAGCACAAATTCACAACTTCGAGAAAGAAACACTCAAATAAGGGGTTGGGGCAATATTGTTTCGAAAACCCGGGTAGTGAACCCCTGAATTCTGAACTCCACTCTTCTGCAATACCACGGCGCCTTCCAGCTGCATGTTTGCAAAGAACCGTTCCAACTTCCCACACACAGCGACACCAAATGGACAGCTTGAGGAGGCCAACGCCAGACCGACTGTAGTGGACCTTGGAGCTTCCATCCGATCCAACTTCTTTGGACCACCTAGCGAACGTTACTGGCTCCAGCATGTCGATGCATCTTCACTAGCCTCTAACGTTACCCCTCTTTCTAGACCTGTTGTTTCGCCTATCATTTGAAACAAACACTTTTGTGGTGGCATCTCGTCTCTGGCAACTTCCATTCGAGCTTCAATTCTTCGAGTCTCTGGGCAGTCGCCAGTTTCTACCACCATCACCATCACCTGTCCGAGCTGTCCTCCATCACCAGGCACCGCAATCCTAACATTAGCCATCGCGTGTCCTCCAGGGGTCTGTACATACCTGCCCCACCTCCAACGAGGCGGGTCGCGATTCCAAGCCTTGGTTCCGCTTAGAGCAATACGCCACGGGGCTCAACCTCCCTCAGATCCTTGTCCCGGGAGAAGCAAAGGCCCCCTTCAATCTGTGGCCCCTTTTACCTAGTGTAACGTCCTGCGCGACACCGACCGCCCAAGAGTTCGACGGTGCATAAGTGACAACTGGGTCTGTCTGTGAAAGTCCGCAACACACAAGGTAGAACGGTGAATCGTTGTGTGCGTCAGGGACAACACAGCAACGCGCCGTCAAGATGGACAACCAAGGCAATCGTCTGTACTTGAACTTTGGGACCAACAACGACCGACTGGCTGCGGCCGATCGCACATATCCCACCACGCCGTCAACCTTCCCGCAGCCCGTCTTCCAAGGCCAGCCATCAGCCCAGGCTGGCGGTGGCCAGCAGGCACAGGCATACCAGCAGCAGCAGGGTTACGCGCAATCGAACTACTTCCAGCAAAACCAGTACGCTCCTCAATACTCCTCGCAGCTCGCCGCCCAGGCCGACTACGGTGGTGCTGGCCAAGGTTACGGCCAGGCCCGCTCGACTACTCCCGGCACCAGCAATGACCCCAACACCGGGCTCGCCCACCAGTTTTCCCATCAGAACCTTGGCGGTGCTGGCAGAGCGTCCCCTTATGGCACGCGGGGCACCTCCCCCGGCCAGCGTCCCCGGACAGCGGGCGCGCAGGGACAGCAACCTGGCTATGGAAGCTACTTGAACGCGCCGCCAATGCCCAATACGAACCCTCAAGGGGAATTCGCCCCGGCACCTGAGCGGAACCCCGATAAATATGGCCCGAATGCGAACAACAACCAGAAGAAATGTTCTCAACTGGCCTCAGACTTCTTCAAGGACAGTGTCAAGCGGGCCCGTGAGCGCAATCAGAGGTGAGCAAACTTACTCTACCGTCGCTACGGGATGTTGCATGCTGGGGATACTGACAAGATCGACTGTGTAGACAGAGTGAGATGGAGCAAAAACTGGCCGAGACCACAGACCCTCGCCGACGTGAATCGATCTGGGCGACTGGAGGCAGAAGGGAAGGCTCTTACCTGCGTTTCCTCCGGACCAAGGACAAGCCGGAGAATTACAATACCATCAAGATCATCGGCAAGGGCGCCTTCGGCGAGGTCAAGCTGGTGCAGAAGAAGACAGACGGGAAAGTCTACGCGATGAAGTCGCTGATCAAGACGGAAATGTTCAAGAAGGACCAGCTTGCCCATGTCCGCGCCGAGCGTGATATCTTGGCCGAGTCTGACAGTCCCTGGGTGGTCAAGCTGTACACGACATTCCAGGATGCCAACTTTCTCTACATGCTCATGGAGTTCTTGCCCGGCGGAGACCTCATGACCATGCTGATCAAGTACGAGATCTTTTCGGAGGATATTACCCGGTTCTACATCGCCGAGATTGTGTTGGCCATTGAGGCGGTCCATAAGTTGGGCTTTATACACAGGTGAGTGCAGCCCCAAGCCACAGTGCATCGTAATCGGGGTTAACGAAATGGCAGAGACATCAAGCCGGACAATATCCTTCTCGACCGGGGTGGCCACGTCAAGTTGACTGACTTTGGTCTCTCGACTGGCTTCCACAAACTGCACGACAACAACTACTATCAGCAACTCCTCCAGGGAAAGTCCAGCAAGCCGCGCGATAACCGGAACTCGATCGCCATCGACCAGATCAACTTGACCGTCAGTAACCGCGCCCAAATCAACGACTGGAGGCGCTCGAGGAGACTGATGGCCTATTCGACCGTGGGGACTCCCGACTATATCGCACCCGAGATCTTCACCGGACATGGATACTCGTTCGACTGTGACTGGTGGTCGCTGGGAACGATCATGTTCGAGTGCTTGGTCGGCTGGCCGCCTTTCTGTGCCGAGGACAGCCACGACACTTACCGCAAGATTGTCAACTGGAGGCAATCCCTCTACTTTCCCGATGATATCCAGCTCGGAGTTGAAGCCGAGAACCTGATCCGGAGGTAAGAGCCCATTCACTTGGTATCTCATTCCTTTGCTCACGCGTGTTTTCAGCCTCATTTGCAACTCAGAGAACCGCCTTGGACGTGGCGGAGCACATGAGATCAAGGGTCATGCTTTCTTCAGGGGAGTCGAATTTGACAGCCTGCGGCGAATCCGGGCGCCCTTCGAGCCGCGCCTCACATCCAATATCGACACGACGTATTTCCCCACGGATGAAATTGACCAGACAGATAACGCCACTCTTCTCAAGGCTGCGCAGGCTGCTAGAAACGCCAACCCCCAGGAGGAGAGTCCAGAGATGAGCCTCCCGTTCATCGGGTATACGTTCAAGCGGTTCGACAACAACTTCCGGTAAACTTGCAGCAATTTCACCCTCTCGTCCGGCCCGGCGAGCTTTTTACCGGGTTGATATTCTCTTCCTTGTTCAAAGTACTAGCCTTACTTGCCTGGTTCGCCGTTGTGAGGTCTTACGTATTTTCCACTTGTTCGCTGCGAAATAGTCTATGCATAAGCGAGCATTCACCCTGGCCTAAGGGAGCGGGATTCGGGAAAGAGATGTAATAGAGGGTGGACGATGTGAGATGTCGATAGGCTGGATAGATGGTTAGTGCTGCATGAGAAGGAAAAGAGTGGTATCGAATAGCCCCTGTCGTGCAAGGTGAAGAGCGAGGCCGCACCAAAACCACGCAACTTGTTGCCCTGGCTGTGGCAAGCAACAGCTGGGATGCTTGGGAGCATTAGGGGCTTGCTGAGAACTGAAACCGTCAAGGATTAGAGGTAAAGTAATGCACTGGATGCCCAGCTAGGAAATTGTCAAAATAGGATTTATATTCGCCGAATGAGCACGACCGCTACCTAGCTAGTTGTACACAACGCATTCTTTTTGTCTCCGGCGGCAATATTGCTCAACAGTGAGCTGCTCGTCTGCAGGAGGAGCCATCAAGTTTGAATATTGTGCCGCTATTCGACTGTTAGCCCCTGAGAAAGCGGAATCCCTTCATATATGCAGTCTTACAACAGAGGCAACAGAGGCAAAGTGACCTGTGCGTGTTTTTTGACCCTTCGCCCCTGGGTGACCAGGCGGCTCCAAGTGTATAGCCGCTAGAGCTATCAACGATGGAGGGCCTGCACGTCATGTGCGGGACAGAGGCGGCTTTGCGGGAGCGGGTCGAGCTTGAACGGCGATATGTGTGTTGAGGGGTATCTTGCACTTTCCACAGCTTGGTCCTTGCCATTCTCACTCCCAGCCTCCGCGCCCTCCGAGCATAGTACACCCTCATCCCAAAGAGCACCTGCATATCGTTACAGACGCTATACCACTGATACCTCTCCCATCCTTCTCATCCCCGCAGAGCAGAGAGACAGATCACCGCCTACCCGTCAGCCCCGGCGCGGCATTAAACCTCTCCTCACGCTCCGTCATAAACATAATCTGAATCCAATACTCCTTCGCATCCGGATCCCAAAACTCAAACTGCCTGTCCTCCCTCTTATCAAGCTCCCGCGCCGGAATCTTAAACCCGCACGTCTCGTACGGCTCGGCCGCCACCAGCAAATACTGAAAATTCCGATCGGGCTCCTCCACGCGCTGCGAAAACGCGCTCATCACCTGCCATTTCGGCGTCACCCCCGTGCTGATGTCCGGGTACTGCAGCTGAAACAACAACCCCTGCTGCCGTGTGATCGGATCGCGAACCTTGGTAATCTTGTACCCCGGCCGTCCAATCTTGACTACATTCTTCCTTGGCCCACCTACTCCCAAACCAAGCGCAGCAAACCCCGCGCCGACGACGCCCACGGGCAGGCCCGTGTTGGGGTCGACCTCGCCTTTGCCCTCTTTTTGTTCGCGGGCGGCGCGACGCGCGAGGTTGGTTTGGTGCTTCTTGCCTTGGGTGTGGGCGAGGTAGGAACCGTCGTTTTGGTGGACGGTGAGGCAGAGGCGGCATTCGAAGGAGCCGAGGTGGTTCTTGAAGATGTAGGGGTCTTTGTCCAGGTCGATTTGCTCGAGGGCGAGCTTACGCAGGCGCTCGCGGCGGTCGGCGTTGGTCGCGCTGTGCGAGGCGACGCCGCCGCCGCCGAATTTGGAGCCGGCGCGGTTTTGGTAGTCCATTGCGGGTAAGGGTAAGCCTTTCTAGTTCTTTTCGGGTGGTTGTGGGAGGGAGTTGCGAAGCGTGCGATTAGCTGGGAGTTGGAAGGTCGCGATGTTGATGTATTGGTATGGAGATGAATGTGATTAACCTGGAAGTCGGTCCTGCCTGGAAAGGGCAGGCGGCCCCAAAAGACAAGGCTGGCAAAAGTTATGCTGTCAATGCTGCCAGCTGCTGGACAGGTGGTATTCACTGCGGTTGCACAGTACCTACAGTATCTCTGCGCATCCCAGGACTTCCAGGTTCAACCCCTTTGAGCTCATAAATCTCCAGCAATGTGTCAACTGGTTGCAAGCCAGCCCAGAAGGACTTCTCACTTCTTGGAAAAAAAATGGAACCCTGTGAGGGTTGGGTTTCCAGGGATCTTGCGCCATGGGATGTCACCTCATTGGGGACGAGATGGCGCCGTGAGCGGCTTGGAATGCCGGTGGAAACAGCGAATCCACAGCGTCCATATCAGTTTCCCCAGCGCTAAACTCACCGGAACAGTGGGACTCTCAGTGGCTGTTTCCGGTTGCGGGGGCCAATACCACTCAAACTCGGCCGAATCCAAGGCTTCCAAGCAGTGGCAGCTAACCTCGGATGTCATTCTTTGAGGGTTCAATGAACTGTGATGTTTACTTTGTACCTCCATGATGAGCCAGACGCTGAGGATGCCTCGCCTGCCTTGCCAGGGACTCCAATTCGCACGGGCAAAACGCCCGAGACGGCCCATACCACCATGCCACCGACAATTCACTGGCTCGGCTGCTCCGTCAGCTCTGGGGTCGCTTCCGCTTGAGGGATACCGGGTGCTGGACATGACCCGGGTGCTTGCCGGGGTAAGAAGAGCCGAAAATGCCACTGAACCGCCTAGAGGGGGCTGACATCCCTTCCCAGCCTTACTGTACGCAAATCCTAGGGGATCTTGGGTATGTCATCGCAAGCTAGAACGAAGGCAAGTTCTGATTGATGGCTGTTAAGCGCAGAGGTGATCAAGATAGAGCACCCCACACGGGGTGATGACACGCGTGCTTGGGGACCGCCGTATGCGACTTACAAGCCTGGTTCTGCCCACGAAGGCCCCGGCGAGTCAGCATACTTTCTTGCGGTATGCCGGGGAGCAAAGCGATAGAGGACAGGAGCAGGTGTTGACCAGTGTCCTAGGCTAATCGCAACAAGAAGTCGCTGGCACTATCGTTCCAGGATCCGGCTGGAGTTGAGATCCTCCATAAACTGGCCGCCAAATGCGACATCTTGGTTGAGAATTACATTCCCGGTTCTCTCAAGAAATACGGCCTCGACTTCGAAACGATCCACAAGATCAACCCAGCGCTCATCTATGCATCAATAACCGGCTACGGCCAAACCGGGCCATACTCACAGCGCCCGGGCTACGACGTTATGGTCGAGGCCGAGTTTGGCCTGATGCACATCACGGGTTGCAGAGACGGACCCCCGGTCAAGGTAGGTGTCGCCGTGACCGATCTGACGACAGGTCTATACACGAGCAACAGCATCATGGCAGCGTTGCTCGCCCGCGCAAAGACCGGCAAAGGCCAGCACATTGACGCTGCGCTGAGCGACTGCCAGACGGTCACGCTGGCCAACATTGCCAGCAGTTGCCTGATCAGCGGCGAGAGAGACACTGGTCGGTGGGGGACGGCTCATCGTAAGTGTCGGGATCCCCTAGGAACTGTGTAGGGCCTCGCTCAACAGCATGCAGCCTCCATCGTTCCCTACAGGTCCTTCAAAACCAAGGATGGCGATATTCTGTTTGGCGGAGGAAACGATCGTCTTTTTGGCATTCTTTGCGACGGGCTGAGACGGCCAGAATGGAAGGAGGATCCAAAGTACAAGGTCAACTCATCTAGGGTGGCGCACCGCGATGAACTCGAGGCCGAGATCGAAAAGATAACCACGACCAAAACGACACAGGAATGGCTCGACATTTTCGAGGGCAAGGGAATGCCGTATGCGGCGGTCAATGATATCCTCGGGACGCTAACACACGAGCACACTAAAGCAAGGGACATGGTTGTCGAGGTAGAACACCCGGAGTGCGGACCCATAAAGCTCCTGAATACGCCCATCAAGTACTCGGAGAGCCGGCCCAGCATCCGAAGCCCGCCGCCGACGCTGGGTGAGCACACAGATGAGATCCTCCGAGAGCATCTCGGTATGGAGGAGGGCCTAATACAGGGATTGCGAGAAAAGGGCGTTGTTAGATAGCGCTGCCCACATTCAGGGGCTCTATAACATCGTGCGGGTTAGGGTTGCTCACGTGAGTATCACGTGAACTTTCGCACAACCGAACCTCACGCCATGCTCATTTCCCGTCATCTCGCTGTGATCTAGGAATCTAAGAAGAATCCTGTACCTACCCGGCGCCACTCGCTCAAACTATCAGTCAAACAGCTGTGGATCAGACGAATAGCCCATTTACAATCACCAAATCAGGGGCGCAGTTTGGATCCAATTGTGATCTCAAGTTTCGACTCTACCGCTTAGCCAAGTCATGGCAAGTGAAGAACCCAGAAAAGATGCCGTCGATAAGGTCGAGGCTAGGCCTACACCGAGCCCAGCTACGCCGGCAGGCCCTGTTCCGGGGACAGCACATTCTCCATCGGTTTCGTTCGCGCCAACTCGCCCCTTATACATTCCGCAGTTCACCGCAGCCACCCAGATGATTCTCAAGAGGATGAAAGGGGAGCCCAGCAGTCTCAGTGCCGCCCTCTCTCAGGCCTCAAGCTCGCCCGCCGTCACCGCGAGCATCCCCTCGGCGACCTACGAAGATGTCAAGCGGCGACTGGTCATGGGCATGAACATGTCCACGCAGATGACCATCCAGATGCCCAGTACGGCCCCGGTCCGGTCCACATCATCTACCGTACCAGCACCGACAGCACCGAAACCGACGGCTCCAAAACCAGGAAGCGCCACGGCTGGCATGAGCGCCATTCGGAAGGTCACTGCCGGACTGACCGGCTTGCCAAAGCACGCACCTGCCAAACCCGCCGCTTCCAAGGTCTCTGCATCCTCAGAGACCAAACCTACCAAGAAACTAAAGCAATCCATCGCGCCCCGAAGCGCGGGCGGGAAGCGCAAACGAACCAAAGGGCACGCCTCGGACGACGACGACGACGACGACGACGACGACGACGACGAAGAGGACAGCGACATGAGCAGCACCTCGGGCCTGTCTTCGCCGACTGACGCAAACGAAAACCCAGCCATCACCACCACACCGTCCTCGAGCACGGCGCTTCTGCTAGCCGTGACCAAGTCCGGCCGACAGGTCCTGAAGCCCGCGGCGTACAACCCGGCCGCCATGGACGCTTACGGTGGCAGCAGGAGAAAGGGGGCCGGTAATAAGCGCACGGCGGAGCAAGCGCTCTGCAAAAAGTGCACGCGCATGCACAGCCCTGCGAGCAACCAGATTGTGTTTTGTGACGGGTGCAATGATGGTTGGCATCAGCTGTGTCATGATCCGTGGATTGAGAGCGATACGGTGCGGGATCAGACTAAAGGGTGGTTTTGTGCGGGGTGTTTGTCGGCGAAGAACTTGAAGAGGGAACGGCAGGGTTCGGGTTCGGGGTTTAAGAGGCAGAGGGTTGAAACCGTGACGTCGCAGGTGGTGGGTTCGGCTTCGTCAGTCGGTGGTGGTGGTGGTGGTGGAGGAGGTAAGACTGCGGGCAGAGAGAGCTGGGCATCCAGAACCGTCCAGCAGAAGCGGGCCTACCTGTCGACGCTGCCGCAGCAGGAGTTGGTTGGGCTGCTGATGGCGTGCTTGGAGCTGCACCCGGACTTGCCCATCTTCCCGGCTTCTTCTTCATCTTCATCATCCTCCGATGGCGTGCCGGGCACCACGCCGCGCTCGCTCTTTGCTGGGACGACGACTGAAGGGCTGTTCCCCCGCGCCGAGGCACATCCCACGGGCCAGATCAACTTTGTACGCAAGGTCGCTGCTGCTGCTGCTACGACGAATGGTAGCAGGCAGGCTGCGGCGGGCAAGGGGGGGCGGTCTGGGAATGGGAACGGGAATGGGAATGGAGTTGCTAGCGGCGGGCTGAAAGGCAAGGAGGGGAGTCAGGATAGAATCGGTGGAGGTGAGGATGATGACGAGTTTGACCCGCTCGCGCCGCTGTGGCCGAAGCCCGGCATGGGCCTGCACATGCGCCTGCCGGCGGATACTGAGGACGGGGAGAGGTTGGTGGATGATAATGATTATGAGGCTTTTAGTGTTATTGTGTATGATGAGAAGGGGAGGAAGGTGGAGGAGAATGGGATGAAGGTTTGAGCTCTGCCTTTGCGAATGTGAGGTGGGCGGGTGTTGGGTATGGGGTCTGCTCGCGTGGTGTAAGCCTGTATACAGGTGGTGTCAAGCTGCACAGTGGGTTCCCCATGGTGGTACATGATGCTGGTATTTCCTGTGATTTGTTATGGCACTTCCTTTCATCATTGTGATTCTGTTTGTTTGCCTTGATTTACGCGATCCGCTGACCCTTGACGGGACCTTCCAAACCGCAGAGGCACATGATGATCGATGGCGTTCCGCTTGGGGGTGAGTCCATACACACAGTCACACCATGGACTCGCAGCGGCTCAGATATCACAAGTTGGGTGATATCAGACAGGTCCAAGATCTTGATAACATCTACGATTTTGCCAGATCCCTTCAAGTTCTTACAGTGGAACCCTTCCCGCAGGGCACAAGTACCTGCGTTGAGTTTGACTGTGTAAACCACCTTGGAGTTAATGTTTGTATCATAGGTACTCACAGCAGTACTAGCCAGACTTTTCTCACAACTTAAAGCCGAGTTCGAGGACTGGAGTTGATCAAGAGACAACTTTGCTGGTACAAAGCCTTGCGCCGGCTCACTCGGATGGGGGCGAAATGCCGATTTTGGGGGCCGTTTGGCCCCCGCAAAGCTCCTTTTTGCTGCAGACTGCAGTGGTTTATTGACTGGATCTGAAGAAGACACGCAAAGGAACGGCCCTCAGGCAATCTGACTGGACGGTGAGTAGGACATGAGGGTTTCACAGCGTGAAGATAACATGAAGTAGGACGGAGGTTGAGTTGACAGAGTGAAGGTGGAAGGGTTGCCCCTGACCCCTGTTTGGTCCAGGGTCGTGATCCTGAGCTGTGCACCCGTGGCACAATACAGACACCAAGTTCAACTATTAGGATCTAGGAGGAGTATAAGTTGCCCCTTGCAACCCCGCGGCGCTCGAAGGATTGTTTTCGTCCATGTTCAGCCCGATTGGGATACAAGAGGGTAAGGTACTCGGATCCAGCAACATTATGCCAACATAGTACTAGTGCCAGTGCTAGCTGGTGGTTAAGCCGCAAGGACGAGATACACCGCTTCCTGCACGGCCAACTAGTATTTGGTATCATCAGTTTGTCTATCTCACCTCTCAGTTGCGACATGACACAATGGGAACATCAACCCCCGTCGATGCTAGTTCCCATTCCCACCCCACCCCATCAACACCACAACCCCAAATCCAAGTAGTCGAGATCCCGCCGCCGCCGCCGGCAGAGTCTGAACCTCGAGACCAGGTATCCTTCGCCAAAGAAGACACCAACATCATAATAGCACCCGGGGCGCCCAACATGAACCTGAAAGCTCGCCCAGTTTCAGATCCGATTCCGAACGGGGCGGTTCAAGTTCCCAAGCCTGCGGAAACGGACCCGGACCCGGTGTGGGGCCTCCCAGCCGGGCTGCCAATTCGGCGGCTGAACGACGAGAATCTGGTCATCTTCCGTCGCGCGGTGGGTATCAACAGTACCCTAGCTGGATCGACAGACCCGGAGTCCTTGGAGGAGGGACGAAAAAAGGCCGTGGGCATCTACGCGGCTGCGCTGAGGGCGCAGAGGCGCAAGAAGTTGATGTACCGGCTTATTGGGTTTCTGATTTATGTGTGCCATTTTGCGCAGATTATTATTGGGGCTTCACTGACGGCTTTGTGTGTTCCGAGTCTTGTTTAATCCTCGTGTGTCTTCTTCTAGGTAGTATGTTCTTGAGCTGATACTGTGCTTGGATAGGGGGCCGAGTGCAGGCGACCATGTGATCGCCATCACACTCCTCGGTGCCATCAACACTGTTGTTGCCGGCGTGCTGGCCTTGATCAAGGGTCAGGGCCTGCCAGACCGGCTGTACCATGACCAGGCAGAGTATCGCAAACTTCAAGACTGGTATGCCAATCCCAGTATCCGATCGTCATCTAGAGGCTCAAAGGATAAGAGTGCTAGTAGTTACTTGTTGGGCACTGACGTGGGTTTCAAACTGAACAGGATCGAACAAACCGAAGCCTTGCTCGCCGTCGGCGTCATTGGGCGAAACAGAAAAGAGGTCGGCCTGTTGGTGCAGGTTGCTTTCAAGAAGTACAACGCTGCCAAGGAGTGCGAAGAAAGCAACACCCCTGAGAACTACTATGTTCGTCAACCCGATGGGGACTCGCCAGATAGAGACTCGCGGAGTCCATCTCAGGCCGGACATCGGCGGCGGTCATCCAGCGATGATGATTGATGTCATGGATGTCAACATACAGAATCCTGGGTCGATGTGTTGCTGAGATGTTGGCATCGAGTTAGAGGAAGAAACAGTCGGGACGTGGTGAACTTGACTTGGTAACCACTCGCGCTCTTGTGCTGCAGCTTAATTGGTATATGGAAATGATTTTGAAGATATCCTGGTTGACAATGAGAATGACTGTTTTGAGCGAGAGTTTCGCCGCAGACGGGAATCATAGATAGATAGATGTATCCTCAACTCTCAAGTGACCAACCGAGAAGGTCATAGGCACCTGTCGGCGATGACTATGTCCTGGTTGGGTGTTAGCATATTCCCTCTACACTTAGATGGCTGTAAGTCTCAGGCTGTGCTTCTATGGTGAATAATTTAAAAGGTTGAGACTTGAAGCGTAACATCTCCAGGAGTGATAGAGATCATTTCAATTCGAGCGGTCTCGGGCACGCCGGAAGCCCCAAGACCTGGCGACAAGACTTATCTCATGATCATTTTTATTGTGGCAAGCACATCTCTTCACTTTACACTGCCCTCTGGACAACTCAGACTGTAGTGCTGGCCCTTCATCGTCACGAACACTCCATGTTACTCCTCAGTCCTCTTCCCTCTCGCCATAAACCCCAACTGCTCCCCATCCGTGACCCCCTTAATCTCATTCCTGCACCACCCATGCTCCCCACCGCCATTCGCCAGGGCCAGCCCGAAGCCCTCCTTGGGGACTTCCTTCCCGTCGGCGCCCTCGCCAAACAGGTAGAGCGGGTCGACGGTGCCAATGGTAAACGACACGCGGTCCCTGCCGTCTTTGCCCTTCCAGTAGATGAAGGATCCACAGTTGCCACAAAAGACACGCTCAGCCTCGGGACTGGCTTCAAACCGCTTGAGCGTGGCCGTGGACGGGCTCGTCCACTGGAAGGCGCTGAAGGGGGTGACTGTTTGGTGCATAAAGAAGAGCGAGCCGGTTTGCTTGCGGCATTGCGTGCATTGGCATGTGCTGCACTGTGAGAGGCAGAAGGGGGTTAGATAGGATGTGGAAAAGGGGGAGTCAGGGGTAGCTAGCATACGGCGGTTTCGAAGTCGTGGTCGGGGGGAAAGTCGACTCGGTAGCGCAGCGCGTTGCAGACGCAGCCGCCGGTGATGAACTTTGGCGTGGGAAACGGGGGAGCCATGGTCAACCGGTACTACTACTAGTCGTTGTTCTTTATGTGTCTGGGGTTGCTGTGCTGAGGGTTGATAGTGCTGTTGACTGGTGGACTAAATAAAAGAGCTACCGAATTGTGAAGCAAGAAGAGGGGAGAACATAAAAGCCAGAAATTACCGTGCCTTAAGGGCACCCATATCGGTTTAAGTTCATTGGAGCTACCCTGCGTCAAGTTAGCCCGTACTTTTACATCATGAACCTTCCCGTGTGTCATGTACCTCACACCTGGCTCTGGCTTCCTCGATGAAGGCAGGCTGCTAAGGTATCACTGGCGTTGTGTGAATTTGTGGGGTAATCTTGGCATTCGTCAGGCCTACAGGGGACAGAGCGCCCTGTCGTCAACAACCACACCTCTTGGCAACAACGATACGAGAGCCCGGCAACGAAGGAAAGGCGCGCCCATTTGAAGTTCTGAACTCCGGTTTTGAGCTTCTCTTCCTCAATCAGTAACGTTACACGCAGCCCAGGTTTCACGCCTCCAAGTTCAGTCGCCATGGTTGTGCATTCTCTTCCAGATGGGCTCGGAAAGAAGCGGTGCAAACAAGAATTCTCCGCCAACGCCCACCTTGAAACCGCCCAAAGTCAAACAGCTGCTGGTCAAGCACCCGACGTCTCCTCAACATCCTTATACCTCTCCCTATGATGCTTCTCCCTCAACGCGTCTCTCTCCTCACCCGTGAACAGCCCATCACCACTCTTCTCACCCAACTTCCCCTTGGCCACATAATTCTCCCTCAACCACGCCAACACCGACTCACTCCCCAACCCCGGCTTCCTCTCCAAATTATGCTGCTCAACCTGCGCAACCGTATCCAACCCCACCTCATCCATCCTCTCACACGGCCCCTTCTCGGCATGAAAAAAATCCCGAAACAGTGCGTCCACATCCGCAGGCTTGGCCACCCCCTCCGCCAGCACCGCGAGCGTCTCCCTTTTACACGCAGCCCAGATCCGGTTAAACACAAACCCTCTCGACTGCACATCCCTCGGCACCGTCACGGGCGTGAACCCCACGCGACGCATCTGTGATGCCAGAAACGGGAAGATCGCCCCCGCCGTCTCGCCGCTCGACATGAGCTCCACCATGCGGTTGCGCGGCGGGATGAAGTAGTGCGTATTCAGCAACCGCTCCGGATGCGCAAGCGGGCCCTCGGCCGCCATTTCCGCCGTCGTTAAGCTGCTGCTGTTGGACGCGAGCACGCAGTCCGAGGGCAGCGAGCGCTCCAGGAGTGCAAGCACCGAGGTTTTTAAGGGCAAAGATTCCGGCAGGCACTCGATGGCGTGCCAGGGGGCTTTGGTTAGTTCCTCGGCTGAGAACTTGCCTTCGGCGTTCTTTTCCGTCCTTCCCGATGAGGTGGTCGCCGTGCGCAGGTCGGTTGTCGTGCTCACGTGGCCTGGGTGCGTGCCCCGCTCGGCGCAGTAGGCGCCCAGGTGGTCGGTGATGTACTCGGTTGCGGAGCGCAAAGCGTCGGGCGAGATGTCGTAGATGGTTACGGGCCGCGAGTTGGACGCCCAGACGAGGGCTACGCGCCGCCCGATGTTGCCCGCGCCGACGACCAGCACGGGGCGCTCGTTGAGGCTTTGCTCGGCTGGCGGGTGCCATCTGGGTGGCGGGGCTTTCTTTTCATCGGGGCTGGTGGCAAGGGGAGAGGGTGATACGGTGAAGAGACGTTGCTGGATTACAGGTAGGATTACGGGCTGACGACATGAGACGGGAGGTGTAGGTCGCCATTGTGATTGCCTCGACGCTGTTGCTGTCACTCCATGCCAACGAGGTGAGACTTCAGTACGTAATGCGCGCAGAATGCTAATAATGGGCGCCGAATTCCTCATCCCCGTTGACTTTGTGGCGAATCCCAGAGCGTGTAATGGAGGGGAGCCACCCATTGTGATGTACCTCGATGCTTGATGGCTGATGGGTATAGGGGATACGGAGAATGAGGGCCCCCTTGACTAGATCAAAGGATAAAATTTACTTGTGTGCTTATTCTTTTGACCTGCAAGGAGCGAATGATGGCATTTCGTACTTAATGCCTTGCCATTAGTTTGGTACCGTTTCGTGGTGGCGTGACGATTGTCTGACGATAGCGTCCCCCTTTTGTCCGTTCCCCCGCATCCGATCGACCACCTTTGCATGACCGTTGCTGTGCGTTGGGATAACTTTGTTCCTGGCATTCTGGTGCCTACTATCTTCAAATAAGAGCTAAATAAGAGCAAAAGGTTCTTATAGGGGGGTAAGCTGAGTACTACATAGGTCACCTGGTGTTGTACATTAGGTACTGCTGATCAAGGTATAACTCTCAGTCTGCAGCCAGTCCACCCCTTAGGGCCCTTACACATCTATGTCATTCGTGATATATATAAGAGGGCACGACCGAGACCAGCGCATCATAGTTTTCGCCATCCTGGTCGCCGCGCCTGTCGAGACCGTACTCAACCAAGTTTGCCCGCCCCAAGGCCATCATTTTTAATTCCTTCTGGCTCGGAGAGATGCTCCAATCTGAGAGGGAACGTCGAAACATCAGATCCAGGTCGGCTGCTAGATGGAGGATCTTGAGAGCCTCCTCGAGATACTCGCCCCACCACCTATTATCCGGAATTGGGCTATCTGGCCTGGTGATGACGGGTCCGAATATCGTGGCAACCATCAAGGCATCCCGCTCCGGGTTTGGGCTGCCGTTCAGTCGGTCAAGGAGAGTCGCCATTCGAGCTCGAAGATGGTGAAGCTCGGGCAGAAGGTTGGGCCAGGTTTTGTGAGCGTCCCCTTTGTATGATGGCATCACGGTTAGTTATTAGACGGGGTTCAGTTGTTTCTGGATAAGGTGCAGAGGTACAAACCTATCATAGTTTCAAACGCTTCCCACATGGAAGAACCAGACTGGCCAGCCCAATATGTAGAACCGGGGCTGAATATCAAGTCTTGGAGCCCCTTCCAACACGGATTCTCGATATTCTCCGCGGCAGCCTTCCTCGCAGCAACCGAGGCTTCATCATCATCATTCTCGCCTACAACTATGTGAGGCCCAATGCTCCCTAGGCTTCGGATCCTCTCGAAGCTCCTTGAATTTTGCCTTGATATCCTCGTCAGACACCTCAAACCTGTAGCTGTATGCATGACCCGTCGAGTCAGCAAATGCCCGCTCGGCCACCCGGCTCGCCTTTGCAGTGGCCTCCAATTGTAGACGGAGCAACGAGGGGATCCGTGACCATGCATCGCTGTTGTCGGTGCCATCAAGCTTGCTGATTTCGGACTCGACATGCCGCAGATCCTTTCGCAGTGATTCAACTTTCGCTTGGAGTTTTCGGTACTCTTCGGCGTTGAAGTGCATGTATCTTGTCACCTTGCTTGTTGTCGCAGCATAGAATTTATCTGCGAATAGATCATCGTCCGAATCAGAGATAGCGTCCGGAATTGTAATGGCGTTGAACAATCGTGACTCGATGTCTGGATTAGAACTTTTAGAAGAGGTGCCGGCCACAATCAGACTGTAAAAGACAGGAGACAGCACCCTTTTCTGTTCGAGCTGATCTCAAAGGAATTACTATACTGGATGGGAAACCAGCGATTTCCGCTTGCGGTACTCGGTCTTGCCATTATAAGTCTACACAGCACAAAGCCGGCCGTACCTGCCGAGCCGGCTTTGGCACACGCATCTCCTTTTGTGTACCTATCTGCCCAAGTACCTGTCCTCGAACTCTGTAGTAGAGAGGACGATTTCCGCATACAGAATTTTGCCTGCACTCGGTAACAGCCTGTACATGCCTCATGATCCAGGAGTGGCAATCTGCTTTTCTCTGCAACTCAGTACCTCAGGTTGTTGTCAGAGTGCTTGGCTCAGATCTACATGTACATGGAAGCAGAAAAGGGTGCTTCCCGTGTGATAATTTCTGGAAGGTTGACCTGCTCAGGCTTTCTGAAATTGAAGGCTGTTCTACCCCTACGATACTGTCTGGTTATTCTGGTACTACTATTCCAGTCGCCCTTGTACTGACCAGGAGGTTAATGCGAGCCAGCTGAGCAAACTGCTATACTGGGCACCTTCCCCTGAGCGATTCAGCGAAGGTACTAGTACTGCACTTGCACACCCAGGTTCGATACACATCCCCTGACACTGTTTTCTGATGGGAATGGGTGAAGAGGTCCCTTCAAGCAGTAAAAATGCCAAAGCCCAACAGATAGAAAGACTGATCAAAAGGGAGCGTGTATTTAAGCCTTAGTGAAAATTCAAGCCATTGGATCCTACGCGGCAGCATCAAGCATCTTCATCTGCTGGCTCACCATGGCGCGGCCGACCCAAGACACAGACAAGGAAAAAGGAGCGACGCAATACCAGGACCCCTTCTTGGCCAACCGTGAGACGGTGGACCGCCACGGTTTGCCAAGTCCCGTCTGAGTTGGGAATGCATTCTCTGCCCCCATGCCATTGTTCTCAACCGTGACGATTGCCTCTTCCGGCGTGATGGCCCTTGTGGCCGTGGGCATCTCACTCCCGCCCTCCTCCCGCCCACTCAGGCTCCCCTTGCTCTTTGTGCGCAGGGAGATGGATCTTTTGAGCGAGCCCCTGATCTTTGTGAACACGGCGTAGGACGCGCTCTTGCTCATGGTGCCGAACGATGATTCGCCACCAATACTGCTCTGGCCCGTGCCGGAGGAGTGCAAGCTTCCCGATTGGGAGGTCCGCGGCGCGCTGCTGGCGTCGTCGGAGGATGTAGAGGCCGGCGAGAACTGTGTGTTCTCGTATCTCACAGCAGAAACTTGGATGACATCTTGCCGTTGCGGGTCCAAGTCTGGGAGTTGAGGTACTGGTGGCGGTGTCCCAAAATCAAGTCGAGACAGCGGCCGTGATGGATACACCGACACCGAGCGCCAGTCCGAGTCGTCCTCAGTACCATCTGCTGCTGCCGGGCTCTGGATTTTATTGGCCGTGTCCCATGGCTCGTTGACAGGGTTGGTCGTGACCTCCTGATCCTGGCCGAGGTCAGAAGCGCTATCGAGCGCAAACCGGTTGCGCAGCTTTGCCATTGTGGCTAGATAGGCGAGCGCGGACTGCTGCTGCCGTCGCTCCACGATCTCGGGAGCCGACAGATGATACCCATTGTCATGGAGCAGGCGACGGCGATAGTCGTGGCCGCCGCTCGCCATGATTGGGGCCCTGACATCGATGCTGGTGCCAACACAAGAACATGGGCTGCCAAATCGGGGGGACGTGATGCTGTTGTCGTCGTCGACTTCTCGCGTTGTCAGGCTTCCGCTGGTCCTGGGAGATGACTGGGCGGTGTCGCTCAACGCAGAGTTGCTTCTCTCCTCGAGTATCGCCTCAAGACGATGAAGCATCTCGAGTATGGCACGGAGGACCTCCTGGTCAGCCATCGTCGTTGGTTTAGTGATGGATCTTGAGGTTCGCTCCATGTAGAATCAAAGAGGATTGCTAACACTCATAGTAGCAAGAGGACTTAGAGGAGAAAACCACGAGAGAGATGGACAAGAGTGAGCTTGAAAGGGTCATCAAGGGGTATCCGTTTTTCACCACCATTTCTTCCCAGAGACGAAGGCATATGAAGCTACCCCAAGCTACCCCAAACTTCTCCAAATCTGACGGCCATAGCTCCATCCGCTGCTGTACACCGCAAGACGTCAGTAGGGTTACACAGAGTATTACCTGCGACCGTGATGCCGTCCCCGGTCTCCAGGAACTCGGGTCTCTTGGCGCCAGCTCCAATGTTATAAATCATACGAGTGTGTGATATACCCCTACTTCTAAGCAGGAAATCACCCGCGATGCAGGGCATCACCTCAGCAAACTTCACGTCAGCAGCAGCACACCTGATTTGCATCCGAGAATTGACCAATGACGCACCGTCGCCGCGGACATGGAAAGTTGCGATGTACCTGATACCGGCGACACATCCCGCGCCAGACCGTCTCACCGTTCACCATAGCCCGACCCAAACTCGATATTGAACATCCTAAGACTGGGAGGACGAATCATACCGCTATTATCCGACCTCGGACGGAGGAATGGAAGCAAGGCAGCCATGATGACATGCAGGATGAGAGCATCAAGACGGTCTGAGATGACGAGTCCGAGCCCGAGTGATCACGAGCCTGGGCCGAGTTTTCCGCGCCATGTCGCGTGTGTGGTGAAAGAGGGAGGTTGGGAGTCGCGACTATGCAGGCATATCGAGGTCCTTCGGGGGGTAGAGAGGTATAGCTGGGTGCTGGAGTGACCAGCAGGCCTCCAACCTCAAGAGACCGGAAGGAGTGGCAGTAGAAAGGGCAGAAGCGTTCCCCCGCCATCACCCCCCGAGATACCCACCGGAGTGCCCTTTCTCTATACTCTGTCTTCGCATTGGCAGTCATGAAGCCGTCGACGTTCGTCTCGCAACTCGCCACTGCTCTCGCAGCGATTCCCCTGTGCTCTGCCACGGGGAACCATGACGGCGGCGGCGACTCTGGCTGCTGCAAATTCACTCTGTCGTCCGAAGATCCCTTTGCGTGTCCCGCTGGCCAGCTCGAGGATGGCCAGATCCGCCTCAACGGGACCTACCCGACTTCAACCTTCTGCATCGGCCCTGATGGTGGGATCACTGACGAGAGAGGGTTTGGCTGCATTGTGACCGGTTCGTTCTTCTCTGCTCGTGTTAGTTGTTTAAAATTGCCACCGAACCCTTGATTAACAACAGGACAGAACCGCCAACCACTCAGATTCAATGCGATCAGGGCAAAGCACCGGCAAAGGGCTTCTCCATCAGCCCGGACAACACCTTGCTATACAACGGCAGCCCCAAGTTCTTCGCCTGCCCAGCCACCGACACCGAGTGGAACATTTATGTGTCGCCCAATTTCGGGCAGCTCAAGTGCACGCCCATCACACTCAAGACGTCGGGCTGCGGAACGTCGAAACCGCCAACCTCGTCATGCCCGGCCCAGCAGCCGCCCGCGACGGTGACGGTCACGTCTTGGCAGACGGTCGGCCAGACCATTACCCAAGCAATCACCCAGACCATCACCCAGGCAACCACCCAGACCGTCACCCGAGCCACGACCGAGACGACCACATGCACCGTCACGGAAACCAAGACGGAGACCACGACCACGACCACGGCCGAGCTCGTGACCGAGATTGCGACCGTGACGGACACGTTGACCATGTGCTCCTCGTCGACATCGTCCCCGCGCCACTGCTCCAGGTGCACCAAAACCCCGGCAGCACCCACCAGTAACACTACTACTACTAGTAGCTACGGGGGCTGCGCCAAGCCCGGATGTGGTGGTGGCCACGGCGGCGGCGGCGGCGGCCACGGAAGCACGGGCATGCTCACCGTCACGCGCACGGGGGACATCTGGCCGCCTATTAGTACTCAAACCGCGGGTGTGACTGGTGGCGGCGTGGGTGGGCGACGGGGGATCGGAAGGCGGTGGTTGGGATGGTGAGTCCCATTACTGATTCGGGCCAGTAAAGTAGTGGCCTCTCGCTGCTAGGTAGATACCTTAGGTATTGGTGGCTGGCATGGGTGGTACTGTTGTGTTCCATTCCTGGAGAGTCGTAGAATGACTGGTTGTCAGTTGATTTGAAGGTTTCTTTGCTGGAGGAAAATTCCTTGGATTGTGGCACTCGTGCAATGCTGGGTATCCTTTGCGGCCTCGCCCTGAATGGACCTCCTGAGGCTCCCTGTTTTAGGTTAATAGTCTTCCCTTGAATGCTTTTGGCTTGCCATCTGCTGGTCCGTGACTCTGTGTCGCTTTTAATTAGGTACTTAACCTTTCGCTGTCGTTGCTATCTCGCCCGCATAATGTACCTCAGCATTGCAAACCATGCTGGCATTGATGAGTTTGAGGAGGACTCAGGAAGATGCATCGAACCAGCCTTCCAGGTAATTCGGGACGAGAGGCGCCGGCCTTGCTTCCCTACCTAGCTCGCCGTTGGTCAACGGAACGTGACGCGCGTGCCTGCCACTCAAAACCCGAAGGGCCTGCTTAGGGTTAGGGGTAATAAATTTAGGGGTCTTGGAAGGTGCATTGGACTCTTGGAGATTCACGTCTCCATTTGAACTCTTCCTACCTATTTCCAATGATCCGATAATTGGCTTCTCCAACGCCCGCAACCGAGCCATTCTGTGACTCTTCCGAAGAGAAGAAAAAGCCTGAGCAAAATGGCCGGAGCAGCGCCCGTTGCAGACGCCGAGTATGGCTGCCTGGCTTTTGACGTGTTTCTGATGGTAAGGCACTCGAATAGACGACCGACTCGGAGGCATGAGTAAACCACTTTTGTCGTTGTCAGGACTGACTGAAAGCAGGAGCGGTGGGATCATACCGCCGACCCAGCTGATGACGCGAAGCAATGGGAGTCTGCCGTTCATGCCTACTTGGCCCTGACGCCGCGACAGCGCCATGTACGCAGCCACAGCATTCCCCGCTCTCCAGCCACTCGGAAACCAACTAATATCTGATCCTCCCTCTCTCGTTCTGTTTCTATCACCAGCCATATCACCAAGAATCTCTCAAGCGCAAGAATGCACGATATAAAGTCGATTCTGGGCTCGCTGCCCGCCTCTTCATTCCCCATCAGACACTCCTTGAGCGCAGCGTGAGCGTGCGTCGGGCCTCCCAGACGTCCCCTGACCCACTGTGGGTGCGCACGTGCTACGCACCCGAGTTTGACTCTGCGTACGCATCGATGGCTGCCCATGTCGTCGGAGTCGGAGGGAACGTGATTGACCGGGCCGGTGCTCTTGATGACTCGAATATCTACAGCTTTGACGGCGATTGGGCTCGCGTGCTATTGCGTCTGCCAGAGCTGTGCGACGTGGTCCGCTTCGCAAACGAAGAGCTCCATGAGGAGCGCGAGCAGGAGATTGAGGGGGCCGAGGGCGAGATGGAGAGGCTTTCTATGAAGGTGGTGGAGAGGCTCTACATCGTGGACAGGGAGGCATTGGAGAAGGGGCTTGTGAAGGTCATCTGGCTGGATTGCCATGGCGAATGCCTCTGGAACAACAAGATCAGACCCGAAGGCATGCTCGACTTCACCGGCGCATGGCGAGCCATGGTGTCGCTGGATGAGATTCTCGAGACGTTTGCCGAGAAATCAGAGAAAGGTGCGCGGCTACTATTCTGAAGGGGACTCGAAACGGCGAATGAACTACGGAGATCCTAGCTGTGGCTTGTAACACAAAGCGCAACCCGCAACGACCAAGTCACAGCATCCTGCTTCCTCTTCCATTCATCACCCAAAGATGCTAGGTATCCATACCGGTCAGTTGCCACTCGATCGCCATCCCATCACGACAGCGGGCAGGCACTCATCCGGAACACTGGGTGTCCCCGTTGGCGCCGGCCCGTCAAGCGTCGGATTGCAGTACGGCCTCAACAGCTCGTAGCACTTGCGGCTCAGGTAATACCAATCAAAACCCCTTTCGAAGTCGTCTTGACTGACAGGGCAATGCCTCGCAAACAGCTCAGCCAGGCGCTTCTCTGCCGTGGCGTTGTACACGAACGTGGCCGTCGGCAGTTTGTCACGGAGCTCTAATGCTCGTGTTGTCGCTGTACCGTTCGGATCTCCCAAAGTCGGTGCCGGCATCCATGACCCCCAGGAAGGCGTCGTCCATGGCTGACCCCACGACACCGTGATGTTGACGTCGTAGGACTCTGACCCTGGAGGGCTGAGGCAGATGGTGCGACCTTTCATGTCGGAGAGGTTGTCGCACGTGCGATGGATGGTCGGATTCCAGGCCAAGAGTTCAGTGAGTGTGAACTGCTTATCTCTGGCGATGGAGTCGCACGTGTCATTTTCCTGGACCTATACGCACGTTTAGCCGCGCTCACACATGAACTTAGGTACTCTGATGCCGCGCTTGCCTTGTAGAGAGAACACGGGCTCCCAACGCAGACTTCTCTGCCGACTTGGAGTCCACGGCACTGCCAATCGAAGCCGTTTTGGTACAGAAACCGGTCGTACGATACGTTGTATCCGTATGCGATCGACTCGCACGTGTCGCCTTCGACGACCTTATGGAAGCACCCACCATAACAGGTGATGTTCCGCATTCCAGTTGGACTGTATATCCCGCATCAGTCCGGGGTAGAAGACACACTACAGGGGCTCGCGGAGGATGGCTCAGAGAGGGGAACTCACCGAGGTAGATCTGGCATGGTCCAGTTGCTGTGTGGGTATTTGCCCGGATCCACGCAGCATTTGTCCAGCAACGCGCTGAAGGTCGTCTCGCTAGGTGCTCTGCCAATCCCGTACCACGAGCTCATCATGGCCGCCAGATACTTGAGGGTGCAATCTCCGCACTCTTCGAAGGTGCCGTTGGTCAACTTTGGCGCACAAAAGTTTCCGCTCTTTTCTTCTCTCAGGCAAGCGGTTCCCTGTGCCCATGCCAGAGCGTCGGCCATATCGCTTGCCGACTGCTGGAACGGTTGGCGGCCGAGAATCGCGCTGGAGCCGAAGTCGAAGCGCTCGTTGCCGCAGCAGTCGTGCACAGCGGCTGTCCATTGCTACAAGGTTCGGCATTCTCGTGTAAGTCTTTGGCCCCCGAGTTAGGCAAGCTGCTTGTTGTCCTTACCTTGATGGATTCGGTGCACGTGTCGTTGCAGTACATGTCCAGCTCAGTCGTGTTGGACGGCAACCTCGCCGCCACCTCTTGCGGCATGATGAGCCGCGGGGTGCAAGCAATGTCGCCGGTGAGGGCTTCCTTGCACTCGTCTGTCATATTCGCCGGCAGCTGGCCTGTCGAGTTGAAGAATCTAAGGCAGACGCCACCCCGCGCGAGGGCGGCGATGACGACGGTCACCACGGAGAATCTCATGGTCCAATTGCTACTGTAGCTGTTTGACTTCGGGCTGAAAGTTGGGATATTCTCGGGCACGCAGACGCGCAGGACTCCTCTATCTTGAAAGTAGACCCGGGTCGCCAGCCGCCATCTTGGTTTGCGCTTACAGGTATCCAAGTGGCAGCCTGCTCCGAATCACAACTACGGCTATCGTCCTGACTGCAATTGCAACATTCTCCGAACCCCTTCGGCTATCCGTTGCACTATCTCACCGGCTTCAAGCTTAGGATAGATTTTCTACGCGTATGACTCCCTTTCCCCGACCCCGCTACCCCAAAAGGCGGATCACTGCAGCTGAATGAGCTCATTCCGCGCTGAGTAACGGAGTTGGGGTAAGCTCACAAGAGTCTGACATGAGATGGTTGTGCGACAGCGGGGTGTGCGGTGTTCGGCACCGGTTTCTCATGCAGTGAACCGTAAGGCTGGTCAGGGCAAGGGACGGATCGGCATATGCTTCTGAAACCACCTAGGGGTCTAGGAGGGGCATCCTCGGCCGCCCGGTAAGCCGACCATAAGCCTACCGATACTACCCTCCCACGGCTCACCGCCCAGGACTTTCCACCTTCTCCTGAACGCCGGTCACCGGTGTGCCTACGATGACAGTTTTCCAAGGCCCTTGGGATGACTGATCTGATCACGGCGGTCAGCGTGTCCTTACGAGATGCAGCCAGCTCAGGGTTCATCCTAGGTCAGGGAAGAAAGCCAGTCATCATAGAAGGCGTGTTATACCAGCCAGAAAGGGAAGGATGGTCCCATCGCTGGTCAGCAACCCAACACCAACCTCGCTCATTCGCTGTCCTCGTTGTCGATTGTACTTAGGACGCGATGTACCGGATACCTGAAGCTCGGGATGCGGAGGACAGGCTCTTCCATCAACAGATTCCGGCAGTCCGCGCGCCCTCGGAGCTTAGGAGAGCCGTTGTCGTTGCCTGGATTCCTGCGTCAGCCTGGGTAGCTCAAATAGAGCAAGTGATAGATGCCCAGTGATGCGCTGTGGGCATTGTCACCAGGCGTCTTGAGGATGCAAACCTCCATGCTGCCATGATGTTACCAGAATTCGCAGTTCTCGTCCTCACATTATGCTTCCCCCTTTTTTCGGCTGCCCAGCAAGGCGGGATATGTAACGCCCTGAATCCATGCTCTTCGGGATGCTGCAGCAGAGAAGGCAAGTTTCCCTCCGCCACCACGCCCTCCTCTAGCACTACTAACGAATCTGTTGTCGTGGCTTAGGTCGGTGCGGCTTCGGGCCGGACTTCTGCGGCGATGGGTGAGTCTCCGTGAGCCAATGGCTCAATCTCCAAGATCTAGAGCAAGGTAACTGATAGCCTGATTTCGGAACAAGCAGGTGCCAGTCAGGTTGTGCTTCTGTGCCTGAATGTGGAAACGGCGCCCCTGAAGGGCGGGTAGAATGCAGGGCCGGTGGTTGTTGCAGGTGAGCCAAAGCTGACCGTGATATTGGCGGAATCGAAACCGACTGACGAGGACAATGCCATTAGCCAACAAGGGTTCTGCGGGTTGGGTCCGGATTACTGCTCTAGCTGCCAAAATGAGGGCGGCTGCTCAGTCCAGTAAGCGTCATTGACACTATGAGGGCGAGATGTGCATCAAGCCTCACACCGGACACAGACCGAGAACATGCGAGGTGAATCCAAACGGCAATGCCACGGCCAACCTCGGCGTACGGATTGGATACTATGACGCGTCCGCGGCAAGCCGACAGTGCAACGCCATGCAGCCAGAGAACCTGGCCGCCGGAGTCCTGACACATATCAACGTCGCCTACGAGACCGTCAATGAGAATGGCGAGATCACGGACCAAAACGGCCAGATAATGGCGCGTATAACGAGACTGAGAAGACGCTACAACGGACTGCGCGTCAATGTTGTCTTGGGCGGCTGGGAATTCAATAATCCGTACTCTGACAACCCGGAAACTATAGAGAGATGGGCGAATGTGGTCTCCTCGGTACCAAACCAGCAGACTTACATCAACTCGCTAGTGAACTATATGCACAAATATTCGCTGAATGGAGTCGATATCGGTAAGACATTCTGTAATCGTGCTGTTAATGCCGGAGACTGAACTGCTTTCGCACCTACAGATTGGAGGTATCCGGCCAATATCAATCGAGGCAGCCCAGATGCGGACTATGACAATTTTGTCGTCTTTGTCGCCAATATCCGCGACGCCTTCGACGCGGAGGACGGCGGCTGGCAGGTCACCGTATCGGTGCCCTATGACTACCCCAACCTCAAAGGTTTCTCGCTCCAGAACCTCGCTCGGCAGGTTGACTGGTTCAACCTCCAGGCATACGACAGGTACGACCTGTGGGACCAGGACATAGCCGGAAACGGATACATAAGGCCGCACGCCAACACCACACATATTTCGCAGACACTTGATCTGTTCGAGCGCAACGGCATTGAACCAAACATGATCGTCCTGGGGCTCGGCTTCCACGGCACGACATACACGCTGAACGAAACGGCATGCACGAATCCCGGATGCCAGTTTGGTGGACCCGGGTTTGAGGGTGATTGCACCAACGAGCCGGGCTTTCTGTCTTACCCAGGCGAGTCTATTCTAGTTCAATTCTCCGAGAGCGGTGTGCTAACTGGTTCTACCCGCTGCAGAGGTCATGGACTTGGTTCCGCAACTGGGCACCGAAACCTTTTACGACGAGGAATCGGCTTCCAAGTATCTCGTGGCGTCCTTGAGCCAGTGGGTTTCGTACGAGGACGCCGAGTCGTTTGCCGACAAGTCCAACTTCCTCATGTCTCGATGTCTCAGGGGCTTTGCCGTCTGGTCTCTTGACCTTGACACGCAGGATTACCAAGCCTTGACAGCGCTAGTCGGTGAGGATGCCATGGTGCACGGCTTTGTCGAGGATCAGCTCAACCCTGACGAGCGGAGACGGCTTGTCGATGATCTGGCTGCATATACGGGCCAGAATTGCTATGTCACCATGTCATGCACTGACGGGAGCAGTGACAGCGGCACTGGCCGATGCCAGACCGGCTACATGTCTGTTGCCACCGGCCACTACCCGAATCAGATAAGCCCGGCACTCCCCTTGGTTTCGTGTCCAGAAGGCCAGTGGCACCACGTTTGTTGTCCCTCGACAGCCCTTCCACGAAACTGCGAGTGGCGGGGGGCGCCGGAACAGAGCGAATTTGGCTGTAACCCTGGCTGCGGCGAAACCGTGAGTAGATAATCCGAGCTCTTCTAGCTGGTTTGGAATTAATAGAGTTACTGACATTGCCGTAGCAATACGAACTCACCAGGGATACCTTCCTGGATGATGAGGGCCGCGGGAACTGCTTCTCCGGACACAGAAGTGTGGGTAATAACCTCCAGTGCTCTAGCGGACCCCAAGTTGATACATTTGCTGATTTCATTTCGGCCGGCACTGTAGCTCTGCTGCGACAAGGCTGAGATCCTGCAAAGGGGGTGCTACTGGACGGGCTGCCAAAGCGCAGGGATCACACAGCCTGATCCATGTGGTTCCGGGGAGGTCGGGATGGCTACAAGGCTGGATCAAGACAACGGAGGTGGGTTTCTGCCAGCGAGAACAGTGTGTGGTCGCCTGAGCGTGCTAACACGGTCATTCAGACAAATGCCCTATAATCGACTGGACTGACCCGAACGGAGTCGCAGCCAAGGCGACACAGAATAGGTGGTATTGCTGTCCAGAACAAGGTATGTTATGCCAAGACACACACAGGTCACAACCCCTCAAGAGACTCGAATTTAAGTCCACCTCACTAATATTAACTCCCCCATGGCTGTGCAGCGAACGTCAGAAACTGCAAATGGTCTGACGACCCTTCGCGCTTCGGAGGCGAAACTATGGATCCCAATTCTCCATCATACGGTGTAGGCGTGTGCTCCAAGCTGGACTGCCCAGCAGATGAGCTCGTCGAGACAACTGCGCTCTTGCCCGAGCCGTACACTCGTTGGACAGACCCTCTCATTGGAGAAGGCAGGTCGTGTGCTAACTTTGCCAACTATCCTGGCGTACTGCCTGAGTTCCACCTCTGCTGTGAGCCCCCCTCCATCTACACCAGGGAGTGGCCGGTTGTGCCGAGTTACCTGTGGAGCGACGCATCAGACAATCCAGACGACCAAGATGTGACCTGGCAATGGGCCAACGACTTTGGCAATAATAACCACGACATCACGCCCGACAATCTTGACGAGAACCCAGGGGCTGACCCGTATGGCTTCGTCATGATGGACGGACCGCCTGGTTCGATACACAATGCTTTCCCTGAGACTTTCACTGTTGTGCAAAGTAGCGAGCCAGTCTCGGTTAGGCCCAGATCGCTGCTTACCACCAACAGAACTGTGCTCGAACAGGTCTGGGAACATTCTGAGGAGACTATTCGGGTTTACTGCAACTACCCTGCAGACTCACCCCAATGCCGCCGTGTTTTCTACAAAGGCACCAAAGACACCATCATTAAGTTGCCCCATCATGTCGGGCAGGGGCCATGGGCGAGAATTGTGTCGATGGAGCCCGAAAGAGATTTGGCTAGCGAGGACCTTCCGGGATGGGTGAGGAGGAAAAGGGAGCTTTCGGGAAATCGAAATGGTAAGTAGACTGCTCGCAACTCAAGGCGATGACGGTGCGGGGGTTGGCTGACTCCATGTGTCATGCAAGGCATCTACGTGGTCAAGTTCGACTACAACTTCCACCTCATCGAGAGACAGGAGGAGGAGCCCGTAAAGATGCGCATTGATTTTACAAACCTTGAGGGCTACTGGGACGAGGTCACCAACGGCACCATGACAAATAGCACCGCATCTTCAAGGAAGAAACGTGACTTGGAACATGGGGTCTCGTTCAGCGAGTGGAAGTCGCGTATTGATCTCGCCAAGAGGAAAACCAACAACTTCAAGAGGGAGACAACCGCAAGGACAGCCGACATGGTTGTCCGCACAAAGGACAAGCGCTGGTTTGGCCCCTTCCGGGAGTGGCTCAACAAGCTCAACACGCTCGAAAGCGAGCAAACTGGCGTCTTGCCCATGGCGTTCGCCAAGTTCTTCACCCTCTTCAGTGGGCGCATCTTTTGCCGCAGCGACGCTGGCGTCACCTTTACCGCGGGGTTGGACGTCACGACCGACCTGCAGCTGCATATGGACGCCCGATACTCGTATTACTTCTCAGGGACGGTTGTGCCGCCTCGCGTGAACGACATGTATGCCTTTGCCCGCACGCAGCCCAGAGTCATGGCCGGCATCACCATCGCTGGAGATGCACAGCTAGGCTACCAGACGGAACCGAGGAAGCTCATCAGCACACTCACCTACCCTGGGCTCGCTATCAAGGGTATCGCTGCCGTGGGTCCCTCACTCGACATCTGGGGCCAGCTGACAGGAAGTGTGACTGTCTCGGGCTCTATGCGTGCCGGCGTCACTTACACGTTCCAGCCCATCGAAATGTACTTGCCCAACAATGACGACACGCTCAATAGGGCAGAGGCGGCCCTTGAAGACAACCAAGTTGACGAGGAGGGACTGGAGCCGACGTTTGAAGCCAATGTGCAGGCCAGAGTGGACTTCAATATCCACGTGTCGCCGGAACTCAACATGGGTATCCAAGTTGGAGGAAGAGTAGGGCCGTTCGATGGCACGTTGGTCGACGCCCACATCTCCGCCTTTGCGAACACGACCCTCAACTTCAACGCGCGCGCTTCAGCTGGAACCGTCAACAACAGGTATAACTGGGAATATGACTATGAGATTGCCTTCTTGTACCGCATTGGCCTGGCCGCCCTCGCGCAGATCAGGTTTTACGGGGAATGGCGGAGTCGGACCTACTTCCCAGTTGACTGGCAGAGGATCAGGCTCTTCGGGCCGCCCCAGCCCATTAGGTCGGGGGTACTCTCACCCGAGGTGAGGAGGGGTCTCTCTCGACGAAGCAGCTGGCTCCTGTCCGACTCACCCCTACCCGGCGCTGTCTTCAGCACTCCGCCCGAGCCCAAGTGGCCGCCGCCAGACCTGTACGCGCACATTGATACCTTTAGGAGTGGAATTACAAGCTTCACGGCCCACGGCAATGTCACTTCTAGCTCCGAGAATGGGACACTCCACACGCGCCAAGAGGCGAATGAGCATCAGGATGACACCAAATCGGACATGGAGTTCCACCTAGGGAACCAGAGGTTCGTTTGTAACCAAGCGCCAGCCATGTGCGGTGGCTCTGGTCTTGACCAGACAGGCGACCTTGAGGTTGAGGAACGCAGCATCAGCGCCACCACTCTGGGGCCTCGGGAAATCGGATCTTTTGGGGGTAGCCCCAGCAGCAGGAGCTTGGCTTTGAGCCAGCGCGCTCCGTCCACAGACGACTGCGCTGTCTTCCCGCGCCTCTACTACAACTGCCAGTCGGCGTTCATGGACTGGACGTTCGTTGTGCCCCAGAGCGAAGGCGGCACGGGTGTGTCCAACACGATGGAGGGTATCTGCAAGACCCTGGATCGCCTCATGCAAAGTTACAGAGTGGTTAATACTCAGCGCGGATCCTACAGCCGGACCAGTGCATTGTGCCATGGGTCCGGCTGTACGCTTACATTTGACGCTGACGAGAGAGCTCAAAACCGGCGTCGCAGGCAAGCGTGCCGCGGCCGCGACAGGAGGAGCAAGTGCGCCGCTGACAACGACAACCGTGAGCAAATCCTGTGGGGCCCGGGCAGCTCAGGTCAGAGGCCGGCCACAGGCCTGACGAGTTGCGACGAATTCCCGTTTGCCTCGAGCGAAGAGGGGGGGGACAACTACGACGATGACAATGGCGACATGGAGAGCATCTTTGGCACCAAGACAGTGTGCGTCCCGACATGGCAGCAGAGTTTGCAGGGGAACTGCAATGGCCTGCTCAGGAATCTCGAGACCAACATCCGCTACTTCAACAATAGGCAGAGTCGGAGGGAGATCAACCCAGATCCGGATTCAGCTCGTGCCGAGTGGAAAAGTTGGACCGATCCCGGTTGGGCGAGGGCGGGGTGGCCTGACCCGTTGGATCAGGCCAGCAATAACATGCAACGTACAGCCGAGTACAAAGACGTCTTGCCCAGGCCAGCGGGCTTTACCAAAGCAGTGAGTCTCGTCACTCACCCACTCCTGTCGCAAGCGCAAGGGATGAAGGGACAGGGGACCAAGCTGACATGAACACAACAGACCTGGGAGGCAAACCAAAAAATTGGCTGGTTCCACCGCCGGAACTACACCGTCTACCTCGCAGAAGCGGATGATGCAGGCACCCTCGAATTCCCGGGAGTCAGCGAGTAAGTGGCATTTTTACCTACCGACTACAACCTCATCTTTCAAACTTTCAGTAGGACAGTGAACCGCCTGGCTAACCTACCTCCCCTGCCGTGCAGCACAGTAACCGGCAACCTAGCGGATGGAACGGCAATCACAAGCATCAGCGACGTCCTCTGCGCGGTACACACCATGGGTCAGGCGCGCTACCGTATCAGTGGGCAAAACGCCTGGTGCATGACAGGCGGAAGGGAGCCGGGCTATGCCCAGTATACCTGGCAGGGCGTGGCGACAAGACCGGTTTATCGATCGTGAGTTTCTCTTCTTGCTTCGAAAACCTGCCTAGACTTTTAGTTTGCGTCCCTTGCTTCATGCTAACGGTGCCGGGTTGTAGATGCATTGTGAGATTTACGACGACAACCCCTCAAAAGAGGGATGAGAAGCCCATAGGGACGTTCGGTGGACATCCGGTTTACGGTAAGCCTTGCGGACCGTCCCCTGTCTTTACTCCTCTGACTGGGTGTTGATGTTTTGATGTACTGTAACGACTGACTCGTTTGCTAACCCGACTTAGGGGTTGAACTTATACCAGAATCTGAGGGAGGGAGGATCATTTATCCTGATTCAGACTAGACTGACAGCCACCTTTTCTGTTTGGGCAATGGGTGTTTTCCCTTGATATTGTATAGGCCACATGACAAGCGGCCGGCTAAGCCGAGTTTTTCGCTTGGAACCGCGGCGTGAGTAGAGGAGTAGATCACCTTTGAAGCTACAGAACAGACTCTGCCATAGAATGTGAACACTGTGTGTTTTCATATTTGATTACAATTCCATCCCAAACGGGTTTCTACAGCCGCTAACAGGAAGAAGAAGAAGGTATTTGGCCGCAAAGGAAAGGACCGACTACTCTCGCATACAATAACGAACGTTTGGCCAGATACCTGTACGAACACTACGAGTGTACACACATCACTGCCGCAATTTCACGTAACGGGTTCCTCCAAGCAGTCAAGCTCTCCATACGCACCTCCGCAACCCATTGCGCGGTAGGTAACGATTCCAGTTTACTGGCCGGGAAGCTTGTCGAGCCCTAGAACCCGTCAGTCCACAGATACCCTCTGAATAGTACGTAGAAAATCAAATGGATATACTCACAGCCATCAATATCCTCCCTCACACTCGGATTAATCTTGCACTTGTTCGACTGCGCCACAGTCTGTGTCTTGAGCCCGTTGCTCAGCAGGCTCGTCGAGTCCATAGCTCTCTGGAGCGCATCACCCTTCCACCCAAACAGATAATCCGCATGCGTGCCGAACCCTTGCTTGTCCTGGTAGCTCCAGACAAACGGCTGCGACCCGTCGGTCGGCCACAGCGATTTATCGTTGAACGGCCGCGTGTCCCACATGGTCTCGAGCGCGACGTGCGGCATGCGCACCGGGTGCGAGGCAGGGCACGGCCCGTGTGTTACAAACCCGCCTGTGCCGCTGTAGTACATGTGGTCTTGATGGTTGGGCGTGTCCAGGTTCTTGCCGTCCCAGCAGGCTGGGAAGTGGTGGATCGCCATGATCCCCGCCGGGCAGGGTTGTTTGGGGAATTCGGCGGTTTCGGGGAAGCGGGTCATGATGTCTTGTAGGCAGGTGTACCGCAGACCGGGGTGCTTGCCCGCCGTGTTGGTCGGGCTGCCGACCGTCATGCGGAAACCCTGGAGGGTAGCAATGTGATGTAAGTAAGTTGTGGTTTCGGGGTCAGGGGTTCAGGGGTAGACTGACAGGCTTAAACGAGGTGATCTTCTGCTTGCCGTTGCTGCTGAAGTCGGCCTGCATGTAGTACACGGTCATGCCGCCCGTCAGGTCTCCTAAGAGCGCGTTGGGATACTGCTGCACCCGCTTGTACGACCCGTTGCGAGCCTTGAAGTACAGGACCGCAGTCCAGTAGTTGCTGAAGTCCTCACTGAACATTATGTTAGCTACTTCAAAGGCCAGCAATGTAGAAGTTATGGGGCCAGGCGATGGTACCTGAAGGAGCAGGTGGTGCAGGTCGCCTTGGCGGCAACGTCGCTGCCCGGTTCAACCGTTGCGTTGAAGGCATTCCCGCCGACAATCTGGTGGACATGGGACGAAGGGATCTTGCCAGGCTCGACGATGGGGTCAAGACGTTGAACACTCAGAGTAGCACAACCGAAGCGAAGATAGGCCTCGGTTGGCACGGCGAGCGCGAGAGCGAGCGAGAGCGGCTTCATCTTGAAAAGGTACACTTTGGCAGGACGTTTCGCGGAAGATGAAGTTGACAAAGGGCCCAACGAGAGCAAGCAGTGCAATTTGGAACGACTTTAAATACTTCAACGCTCGCTCTCTCTGAGCCAGGCGTTGGGAAACGATCAACCGAGTGACCAAATCCAGTCAAAGAATTAACCAGCCAGTTGCTAGATCCGTCGATATTTCCCTCACATTATCCAGATGGCAGTGCCATACTAGAGTCGCTCAATCAATAGCAATAAACTGGATATAGCCTCCATGACGACTCGAAGTCTTGGTACCCTCAGGGGCAAAGTGTTCCTTACTTGCCATCCATTCAACATCGGGGGTATACTACGCATGTGCTGTATTCGAGGGCGACGACAATGTCTCAACCTATGACATCCAGCAATAGTATCAGGGCGGTCACATCCCAACTTGCTGAGGCCGCATGCTTGTTTAGGTGCGAGGCTCTGGTTGGATGGGTCCTATGCCCACGAGGTGGCCGGGGTAGCGGGCGGTTGTCATGTTGATGCAACGCGGTAGCCGTGCGGGGTGCAGAAGGCATGTTCCCTGCGAGGTTTCGGTTGAGCTTCCGAGCCGATTCTTGCGGACCTGGTTGGGATGGTGTGTAGACGGGCGACGGTTCTCGGACGCATAGCGAGGTGGCGGTAGCACTATAACTGCGGGTATTAGCCGTGGCAGTGGAATGGGCAAGCTCCAAACCATGCCAGATATTACCTGTCTTGCGGCAGTTGGATAATTGGATATCTTGCAATCTCGCGGCAGCCTTTGCCTTTGGCGCTCCTTACACCATGTTCCCTTCGGCAGTGCCAGCGACACCGGCAGATCGAGGCAGATGGGTGGGTCTCTCGGAAACGACAACCGATCTTGGGACCGGATGCAAGAGCGTTGACAGCCGGGTTGGTCAAGGTTTGGCAGGGTGCCTCGCTGGAAGGCTATGCCATTTGCGGTTGACATCGTTCTGATGGTCTCGTGATGATCTTGCAGTCTCGCTTGTTGCCAGCTGCTGTCTGGTTCGGTGGCTTCATATCCATCTGAGCCATTGTATACAATAAGATGTCTGATGTGCTTTGCAAGGCAGTGATTCTAACGGGCCAAGTATCACTACCATCCACGCTGCGCTGCCGTACGTACTGTATCATAGGTGCTCGAGGTTCCCATCCGTATAGATGGACTCATGAAGATGTGTGCTCCACAGAAGCTGCAGTGTACTCACGATTTGACAAAGCCGAGGCAAACAACGTGCAAAGATGATTTGAGAAAGTGCAAGTTCAAAATGCTATGCCGGGGTTTCAAAATCCAATTGAAGTTGGGACCTGGGAAGTTGCGAGTCCTTTTGGTCGTACCTGCCCACCAAGCAATGTAACTGCTAGTACTACTACAAAGCATTCTGAGGCGTTGGTTATAACGTAGGTTGAACCAGAAATGTTGCAATTCTGTCACGATATAAGTCACCGCTGCTAGATGTTGGACACCGAGATGTCACCGGACCACCGACCAAGCATAAACACATGGAGATCGGTCCACAAGCTGTAGTTGCTAACCTGATATATCGCTGTTGGTAATATGGATAGAAAATTGCTGATTTCCTGGAGCTTGTAGTCTTGCTTAGAGATAAACCATTGTTATTTGCCTTTGAGAAGTTCAATGACCGCTCCTAAGGATGCTAAGGTTGAGACCGGTTCCTATCTACACTTCCAGCGTCTAACGTTTGTTGTTGCTTCAGCCCTTTCTCCGATCCTTTCCAGCACTGCCTTTTTGGTTTGATCAACCTTCTCTCACTCTTTCTTCGTGATTCTTCTTTCTCACTATAGCATTTCCAGCGAGCTTAAAAATTGGCTCCTCCACCTCTTTCCTTCCATCCCCTACCGTGTCTCCGCAGCTCTACTCACAACAATATCCTGCTCTCAATCCTACTTCACTTTTCCGTTTGCTCACGAGCAACTCAAGACTTGCTTGAATGCAACCATGGCTTGCGAATTGGATAGAACGGACAACACAATCATTGTGGGAATTGATTTTGGAACCACGTACTCCGGCGTCGCTTTTACCTGGTCGAACAAGATTGAGCGACTGGAGGTGGTTTCCAGCTGGGAGTCAGATATTCACTCAAATTTTGACGAGGAAAAGGCGCCCACAGCCCTTTCGTTCGGTTCCAATGGCAAAGTCAATTGGGGCTATTCCATCCCGTACGATGTGGATCAGGTGAAATGGTTCAAGCTTCTGTTGATCGACGAAGAAGACCTCCCGGAGGATGTCCGCAGCTCGGCCAAGATTGAACAAGCTCGTGCCTACCTGAAGAAGCACAACAAGACGGCAATCGAGGTCATTGCACTTTTCCTGAGGCACCTGTGGAATCATACCACACAGCGTATTACCGAGACAGTCAGTCGGAACTTGGTCAACTTTTCCAAGTTCCATATTGTTATCACTCTGCCGGCCATTTGGCCGGATTATGCCCGCAACCGAATGAGAGAGGCTGCGAGTGACGCGGGCATGCTCGCGGAACGAACTGCCGGCGACACCGAACTCAGCTTCATATCGGAGCCCGAGGCTGCCGCGCTGGTAACCCTTGCAGATATGGAAGGGCGCAATGACATCAAGGTATGCTACCTCGAAGTTCAAACCTTCATCTTGAAAGCGTACTGACATACCCTCAGGTCGGCGACAGTTTTGTGGTTGTGGACTGTGGTGGCGGCACAGTCGACCTCATCAGCTACGACGTCGTCAGCATTGCGCCCATGGTGGTTAAAGAATGTGCCAGGGGTCAAGGTATGCTCTAGTAGATGCCTAACGGTGCTGCTCACGATCCCAGTGGCACCATCCCATAAGCGGGATGCAGACTGACCAAGGCCAGGTGATCTCTGCGGTTCTGTCTTCGTTGATGAGGCTTTTATCGAGATTGTGAAGGAAAAGTTTGGCAGAAAAAAATAGAAAAAAAATGAAGGCGGAGATTCGCCACCGACTCTTCCACGATAAATGGGAGCACGGAATCAAACCGGCTTTCGATGGTATGCAGAGGGTTTGGAACTTGAATATGCCATTTGAGTGTGTCGATGTCAGGACGCTCATTGCAGGCGGCTCGCTGCCAAAGATAACATTGACATCCGGGGATGTGGAATCAGCTTTCCGCCCAACAGTTGACAAGATCTGCAGACTGGTTGGCGAACAGGTGACCGCAGTTCATGTTGCCAAGGGAAAGAACTCGAAGGTACCAGTCATCATATCGTCCGAGTTTACTATCTTCTGCTGACAATCCTTTCACCTGTTTCAGTATATCATCATGGTTGGAGGCTTTGGGAGATGCAGGCACCTTCTTACCGCCCTCAAAGAGATATCGGGGGATATTGAAGTCTTGCAGTCCCGCGGATCAGGCCCGTATGACGAGCCACTCGCCTACACTGTTCTACTTCAGAGCGTTACTGACTCTTGGCACAGGTGGACGGCAATTTGCCGCGGAGCGGTTATTCACGCAGCGAGCTTGAGAGGCATTTCGACCTTTTCGGTAAAGGTTGAATCTCGAATCGCTCGTGCAAGCTATGGGTTGGTGCAATGGGTCTCATGGAATCCGGCAGTGCACAACCCTGTGGACAAGGTGTGGGATGAGGACGAACAAGCTTGGAAGGCCAAAGATCAAATGGGTTGGCTAATCAAGATGGTGCGCGTGTCCTGAAGCATCACCAATGCTGCAAGCTGACTGAGAGTAGGGTGAAGAATTGTCAGGAAACAATACCCCGAGAATCGAGATGCACTGTCTGTATCCCATCGATGAAACGGCCAAGAAGCCTTGGGCTACCGACATCTACATCTCCTCGGCCTGGCCCCCACCTACCAGATTTAATGAGAGGGTGACGAAGCTGTGTGACGTTCAATGGGAAACAGAGATCGACATGTCAACGTTGCCCACCTGTACCAATCCTCTGGGAAAGGTTTTCTATGATCTCAACTATGATGTAGCACTAACATGCAGTGGTTGATCACTCGACTTCGCTATCTATCACGATGGGAAGAGACAGGGTTCCAAACATGTAGTCGTCGACTACGAAACCAGGACCTAAGCAGGACGGCTTGAGCCAGAACGGAGAAGACCCAAGGATTCTGCTGCGTAGTTGGGCAGTTCTGTTGAGCTTAAGAGCTTATCAAGATGTGGCTATGGTACCTATATTGACTGTCCAGCTGGCCGTCGCACTGATACTGCACATGATTTCTGTGAGATTGGTGCTGAAGCTGAATTCCCAATTCCATGGCAAACTAATAAACATCATATCAAGGCTTGTACTGTAGTAGTATTGAGTAGTAGGAGGGAAGTGAACATGAGGACATCAGTCTCAGGCTCTCAGCAAACCGCGATTCACCTGAACGCGACATCACTCACTGCAGACATGCCTTCCAAATGTGCGCAAGCAAAGAAATTCACGTAGATCTGGGACCTGCTAGTGGCTAGGGTGGCTGGCTGCGGGCAATCGAAGGAAGCTGCGAAACGTACGGTACCCAGCCTACCTGTACCTGGATTAAGTCGGAGTCATTAAGAATAAAGACCCTCCGTAGAAAGCTTCGCTCTCCTCCTCGACCTTTTTTCATCCCATCAGTGGTTGATGTCTTGGTACCTCATCAAAAACCTACTCTTCCTCACACAACAAGCTTGGCCTAATTCTTCATTCGAGTCCCCGACTTCTACTATTTCTGAGTCCTGCCACGCGGCCACTCCTGACTCAATAGGACAAGTTTTGCCAACAACTTGTTCACGCTTTCTAACGGGAAATCTGAGCCACTCACGAGCTCAGGTACCTTGGCTTTTTTTTTTTTCTTTGTCGATTCTAACAAGACTCACACAATCCCATTTCACCACCACCAACAGCACACCAAAGTGCTTTCAGTTTGTTGTCTCTTCATCAGTTTATTGGCAATATCAAGAGACCCAAATCTCGTAAGGTAACTGACATACTCTCTGATCCTCCGTCACTTTTCTTTTGCCGATAATACTCAATCGCAGCTCACATCCTGCAGAAACGTGCAACTTCAAGTACGATTCCATGGCAACAGACATGACAGGTCAGGATCCAAAGGAACGCGCTCTTGGATCGCTGCCCCCAAATGACCATGGAAGGGAATCGTTTCCTGCTGAGGTCATCAAGAAGGAGTCGGAAGCCGATGAGCAGCGACAGCATCTCGATCATGGCACACGAAGTCGTGGACCCCAATCAGGATCGGTGTTTCAGCATAGCAGCGGGCCTTTGATGCTTACACAACATGCCCCAGCCAGTACAGGCGGTATTATCTCAGCTATGGAGGACTTCATCAGTCAGACGAAGTCTGAGTTCAAGGCACTCAGAGAGGAAAACGCCCGACAGAGCGAAAGGATTGAGGAGCTCACTCGACTGATCAGAGGCTTTCAACAAGTCATGAACAATAACTCTTCAGAGCGCTTGGAAATGCAAGGTAACCTTGACAACTCCGGGCAGCAGCTGGCTCGTCCCAATCAAGACTCGGGTTGGAGCCTGGGCAACTTTTTCTCGGGATCGACGGACAGTCAGGAACAGGCATCCGCGAAACAATCCAGTTGCGCACAAGGGTAACCAAGTGCAAAAGAATGGTTACGGAGTTGAGGAACGAGTTGGGCCAGCTGAAACAGACAAATATGCAACAAGCGAAGCAGATTCGAACCCAGACTGCGGATTTCTCGAGGGAACTAGAGGAACTCAAAAGCAAGGCCTTCTTCACGGCTCCGAAAGTCTCGGACACTGAAATCATGAAGAAATGGAAAGTCCTCGGCTTTTCCATCCGCCAGTTCATCTCGAGCTATCTGTCAGGACCCTTGGATCCTCCTACCCTCCGCCTGCTGGAGCAGAAACAAGAATTCCGTTGGCTGCCTCATATTGCAACGACGCTGCAACTCCCCATTCTCCGTCCAATTCTCTTCGAGTCATGGATTTGGCATTTCCTCTGCTTTCGGGTATTTGATTTGCGCTCCAGTCTCTGGGGTGGAGAGGCTGGAAAGCTTCTGGGAAGCTCCTCCGAGATAATTCGGAGTAAGTCGAATGCAATTTAGGTGCTTTGCAATATCAGGCTGTGTAGTTTGGCTAACAAATCCTCGACCAGAACTTATTGCCCGAAACTCCGGCCTTGATCCCCGGACGAATACTACTAGTATTCTAGCCAAGTTCCATGACTGGCGTGTCCACTCGGCACAGTTTCTTTCCCAATTCAACACCCACGACAAGAAATACTCGATTGCGGAATTGTCCAACACGATGCTTGACTACCTGAAGCACGCCATGACTGGGAATCATTTCAATGAGCCTGACATGCGTCTCGATGCTTACAAAATCGTCGGCGAAGCGGCCAAGCTAGATGAGATATTCAGACTGTCAAAGGCGGACTTCCATGTCTTCATCACTCGAGTAAAATTGCCTTTGGTCGAACCGCCGAGCTTTGGATTCCACTTCGATGACCAGACGATGGAAATTACCAAAGACGTCCCACTTTTCGATCGCCGTGATTCAGCCGACCGAAAACACATCGTGGGCCTGGCCATCTCGCCTGGCATATTCAAGGCTGGGAATTCCAATGGGGCGAACTACGGGACAGAGCGAGTTTTGGTCAAGCTTCAAGCCCTCTGCAATCTCCAGGAGATGTTGGTCTATTTTGAGAATCAATCGGTGACGCACGGAGGGCGCCATCAGAAACAGACGGACATGGAAGATTTGTCAACTGACGCCGAGGTTGACATGCTTTCAATCGCTCGTCATAAACACTGAGAGCCGAATTATTGCGGGCTACGTTTGGGCGAGGATATGAATCAAGGTCTCATAAGTTGAGAGCAGTCTGATTTGCGACGTATTTTCGAGCTGAGAGTTCTCAATGGGCAATCAGGGATGGAGTGAGCTTTGAGGGGGCTGCTTGGGACGAACCCAGGCTTTGCCCATTCCCTCTGCCTGATTTGATTTTGGGTGAGCCCTGGAAAAGTGGTAACCCAGCCCATTAGTGACAGCTCTCACCAGATAGTTCTTTGATTTTCGGTAGAGAATGAGACTTTGCGCAATTTTTGCCGCATTTCACCCTCAGATCATGGCGGGAATGAAATCCATGCGCAGTTAAAGTAGTGCTTTACCCATGAAGCGGACCCACTTTAAAGTCAGGGGCAAGCGGCTGAGCCTTAGCGTGCAGATGTGGTACTGTACCCGAGTGTTGGCCGGGGAACCCAGATTCTTGGGACGTCTTCATTTATACATACTGTGCCTGGTCGAGAACCGAACCAAGAATATCTTAATTCTTCACAGCAGCCTTTTGTCCTTCTCTTTTCTGATCCAGTGTTCGTGTCTGGCCAATTGGTTTAAATACCCATCATCGTCAGACGAATTCCTTTCCTCAGAATGCGGAGAAGCAGGAGCTAGGGATCGTGGCGAGCATTACAAGCATTACAAGGAATGACGCCTAGATTGCCAAAAGCGGAGATGGAAGCATCGTCAATCAGGGACAGAAGCTCCGGGCTCCCAGACGCATCCGTCCCTTCCCAACCTCCCTGGAACCCTTGACTGCATGACGTAATGGATGCAATTGGGAAAGGCTAACACCATCATGAGGGATTCATGACTTCATGAGCTCACCCAAGGCTGGGCATTGAGCGTTTCCGGACCCTGCCCTGGGGCAGTGCCACAAAATCCTGCCAATGTTTGCAAACTTGATTTATACTTCAAGTCTGCTTTCCCCGCGCCCGATTCCACACAACCACTACGCGACGATACCGCAGCATCCGAAAACATCGACCACCAATCCAAAATATCATCCCATCCGAATTAATAAACATGACGCGCAAAGTCTGCATCACTGCCGTCGAGGGGCAGACCGGCTTCCTCATCGCCGAGCTGATCCTCAAGAATGACCGGTTCAAGAAGAAGATTGACAGCGTGACGGGCCTGTCGCTCGACCCGTCGTCGCCCAAGGCCAAGGAGCTGCAGTCGCTCGGCGCCGTCATTGTCCCGCACAAGCCCGGCCGGGAGCGCGAGATGGTCAACACGCTCAAGAAGGTTGGGTGCGACACCATCTGCCTCGTGCCCCCCGCCCACCAGGACAAGTTCGACATCACGGTCGAGCTCGCCAACGCGGCTAAGAAGGCGGGCGTGTCCAACGTGCTGCTCATCAGCTCGGCCGGCTGCGACTACGCCGAGAGGAACAGGCAGCCGCGCCTGCGCGAGTTCATTGATATTGAGAGTGTGGTGTTGAGTGCTAAGGGTGATCCGAGCACCCCGCTGGGACACTCGCCTTGCGTTATCCGGTGAGTTAACGGTGGAATTGGGATTATGCAAGTGAAATTGAAGACAAGCAGGCTGACCAGAGATGTAGCGCGGGTTTCTACGCGGAGAATCTCCTGCTCTATTCGCAACAGCTTCAGGCCGAAGGGATTCTGCCTCTTCCTCTTGGTGAGGGCCACAAGTTTGCACCAGTTGCCCTTGGGGTAAGTCGTGACTTGCAGTACACTATCTTCAGCCTGTATCGATTCTAACCCTCACTAGGATGTCGCCAACGTAGCGGCCCACGTCCTTTCGGGGAAGGGCCCGCATGGTTTTGACGACAAGCACCGCGGCCAGATGATGGTGGTCACCGGGCCCATGCTTTGCGCCGGCCAGGAGCTTGCTACAGCGGCCAGCAACGCCTTGGGCCAAACCATGGAGTATGAGAACATCTCCGAGTAAGTTTGCCTCAATTCTATGAAGACTTTTGGCTTCAGCCGAGCTGACAAGTATTCATTACAGGCGAGAAGCAAAGAGGATCCTCAAGACTGCAGACATAGATGACTCGGAAAAGGAGTACATCCTTGAGTACTACAGCCTTGTGCGTGAGGGGAAGACCAACTACATTTCCACGACGGCTTTCCACGACGTCACTGGCGAGCATCCCACACAGCCGGATGAGTTCTTCCGTTTGTATGCCAGCGAGTTGCGGCCCAAGAAGAAGGTGAGGCACAACAGCAGCTAGGCGAATCCGGTCACTCGGCGTTGGTCATTTGAGGGCGTCTGGTCGGGAATGGGTCTCTGAAATAGTTTTCATCGGCTTCATTAGGTGAAAAAGTGAATTTCCTAGTAACCTCTTTCGTGCGTAGAAGGAGTCTGGTGACAAGTAACAACGGTGATGATGTTCTGAAGACTAAAATGTACCTTACTTGACCGTCGAAGGCCACCGACACTGGCAAAACGCTAAACCTCCCTCAGACCACATACAGCTCTGATGCAGACTAGAAACTGCAGTGGTTCTCACCGGCTTGATGACGGGCTGAAACATCTATTCCTAACTTCAGGCACAACCTGACCGTCAATAGAGCTCCAGCACAAATCTAGACTTACAGTTTGTGGCTCGGTGTGATGGTACAAAGTGAAATCGATATATTGCAATCCAAGCACGCTATCTATATACGGGAGCTTTTCAAAGTGCATTTGGTGTACTGATTCGATTGGCCTCCTCCATGTGCAGCCCATTCAGCCCATCAGCAACTGTGAAGATCCAATCTAGTATCGCTCTTCTCGTGCTATGTAGTAAGTAGTAGCTACCCACCCCCAACGCTCGAGTCCACCCCCGCAACCTCGTGAATGATCTTCACAAACTGCTCCGGCTGGTGCGCAAACCTGCCCAGAAACAACCCATCCAAGTCCCCTCCCAGCCGCCCCCACATCCCCGGCTTGGCCGCGCCGCCATAAACAATCCTCACCCTCCCTGGCCACCCCTTCAGCACTTCACTCTCCCTCACCCTCCTGACAACCGCCCTAACATACTCTGCCGCAGCCGGTTCCGGCGCGCCAATAGCCCAGACCGGCTCATACGCCAAAATAATCTCTCCCTTATCTTCCTCCCCAGAGTCTCCCTTAAGCTGACCGTTCAACACCTCCTCGCTCAACCCTCGCAGCGCAGCCTGCACCTGGCCAACCACCTCCTCAACCGCAGCCCGCACCCCTGCATCACCATCACCACCCTCCGCACCGTCAGACTCCGGTTCAGGCCTACCCACCTCCCCTACACAGATCAACGGGACCATCCCATTCCTCAACACACCCGCAACCTTGTCCCTGACCACCCGCCCATCGGGATCCCCCTCCCCAAACAACCTTCTGCGCTCGGCATGGCCGACCATGACAATCCTGCATCCAGCCTCGCGCAACACGGCGGGCGAGACCTCGCCCGTCAACGGGCCAAAGGCGTGGTGTGCGGCACAGTTTTGTGCGCCAACTACGAGAAGTTGATTGATGGGCGGCAAGGCGGCGGAGATGGTGTTTGCGACGTGGGTGAGGGAGATGAAGTCCGGGAGGATGAAGGCGGTTATTTTCTCTACAAGTTGTTGAAGTTGTCCTGCTCCTCCCGACCGTGATTGAGCTGATTGGGAACTGGGAGATGATGATTGGGAGAGTAAAGAGATGGTGGAGGTTACGAAGGATTGAGTGCGTGCCAGGGAGAAGTACATCTTTGTTGATACCCCGACCAACAGCTGGCCCGGTCGCCGAGTTTCATCCGGGCCCGGCAGGATGGTGGCGGTGGTCATCGTTATGCCTGGGCTGGAGGATGCCATATTCCCTTGGCCTTAAGCTGTTCCCTTGGTTGGTAATGAATAATGAAACTCCAGATGTATCAATCAATAACAAGAAACTGTAGAACCTGTAGTCACCCGAGTTAGCTTCCTATTTGTTCCAAGCTAAGTTAAGGATGTATATATGTAACGAAGCTAGACTTCAGTCTATACTGGTCACAGGTACTCACATAATACAGAGGCTCAATAGGTAGTATCTTCTCCGAGTTCCTCACGACCTCACCAGCCACTGAATGCCGTTCTTACTTCTCGGCGTCTTGAGGAGCGATGGTCCGGATGTCTGATGAATGCTAACCGTGAGGTCATACTCGAGTCCCGGGTATGTCCCGCATGCACGATGCTGCAGGTCTCACGGAAGCAATTTAGCCAGAAACGGGGATTGGACGACTCCTACCCTGCTAGTGTAAGGATCTTAATGGCGGTAGTAACGGTAGCATTCCCTCAAGCTCTAGTCGCGCCTATCCTGATCCTGATCCAATCCATAGCCTGGCGGCTCGAATTCAGTGGGCCCGGCACGCGGGGTCACTGAGGAGGCGAGGGAGTCTCAACCGCTGCCTGTCAAATTTCAGTTCTTGGATTCGGGTCTCCGCATCTTTGACTTTGACATGCTGCAGCCAGTTTACACTAGCGTGCACTCAGCTCTTGGTGGTTTGAACTTTAAAGAACAACCTGTCAGGGGAAGATCAACAATCCGCCAGGCTTGTCCCCACAGTCCTCGGGGTAATGTACTGTACTCGTCTACTCGATGCCCGAAGGCTTGAGGATTGCTGAACAAGTTTGCAAACCCAGTCCTCGGATATCCCTTTTTGGCAAGCCTAAGCTCGTATGGACGGAGTTGGTTGCATTACCCGAGAGGCTGAACTTTGTAGTGCGGACGCTAAGATCAAGCCATGCTGATGCAGTGTTCTTTCTCACCACGATTTTGTGATCATGAACGACATACTAACACCCGCCACTCGCCTCCTCCCCATTCCCAGACAACCCGCCCTCACCCTCCTCATACTGATGAATCGCCTTAACCTTGGCCGCACTCGGGCTGGTCTCATCAAACACATACCCCAGCCACTCCTTAGCCAGCCGTCTGGCTAGCTCCAGCCCAACAACCCGTTCCCCCATACACAGAACCTGGGCATTGTTGCTGAGTACGGCCCTTTCGACCGAAAAGCTGTCGTGTGCCGTCACGGCCCGTATGCCCTTGATCTTGTTGGCTGAGATGGCCACTCCCAGGCCGGTCCCGCAGATGAGCAGCGCGCGGTCACACTCCCCGGCGGCAACGAGCTTTGCTGCCTTTGCGGCAATATGTGGGTATGCCGTCTTGTCGTCGGTGCCAACGTCAATCACTGAGACCACCCGGGGGTCCGCGGCAAAGTCGGCCTTGATCTTGTTCTTGTAGTTCACCCCTGCGTCCTTTAAGGGGGCAAATATGTCAGTAACAGAAGGCTGCTGAGGTGTGTGGGGTACTGACATCGCACCCGATTGCAATCCGCCATCTTGGTGAACTCATGTTGATTCTCGCTGCTCGCTTCTCCAAAGATCTAATGTTGCGGTTTGTTTGGTGAAGTCAAACTTAAAGTTGCCACCTCGAAGGGAATCGATATGTCCAGCCGGGAAGGTCTGCTTTTAGCCAGAGCACCTTTCCCTTCTTGGTATCCCGATCATCCCAAGGAGCATGAGCTCGCCACACCGGGTATGTAAGTGGAAGACAAATCGGGATCGGGGTGCAGGTGCCCCTCTCCCATGCAACCATGGACATGGGTACACCTCCGGCAAGTGTACCATTGGCGTCTCTCATAGGCCTGGGAGGTCATGGAGGGTAATGGGGCACTACGTCTCGGTCCAGATCACTTCGTGTTCATATGGTCGATCAACTCCGACTCTCTCACATCCCTTGACTCCGCGTTCGGCAACGAGCTAGCCTTGTTCCTCACAGTTGGGTCAGTCGCAGATCTAACCAAAACCGCCTGTCCAAAATGTCGAATCGGCATCTCTTCTCCTCCCTGGAGGGGCTCGTGCCCAAGGCGCTCCGCGGCATCGTCGCCAGCAACCCGCGCCTTAACCTCGACGAGACCAACAGGGTTGTCTTCGACCCGGAATCACCGCGGAACATTGTCAGCATTATCAGCGGGGGTGGCTCAGGCCACGAACCCGCGTGGGCCGGCTACGTGGGCACCAATATGCTTGCTGCGGCGGTTCAAGGTGACGTTTTTGCGTCGCCGAGCACCAAACAGATCCTGGCAGCCATCGACGCTGTCCCTTCGGACAAAGGCACGCTGCTAGTCATCACCAACTACACCGGCGACTGCCTCCACTTCGGCCTGGCTGCGGAAAAAACAAAGGCAAAGGGAAAGGCATGTCGCATGCTCACGTGCGGTGACGATGTGTCGATCGGGAAAAAAGGAGGCTCGCTCGTGGGCCGGCGTGGGCTTGCCGGACAGATCGGCGTGCTCAAAGTCCTCGGCGCGGCAGCCGCGGAGGGCGCTTCATTAGATGAACTCTACGACCTGGGCACCGCTCTCAACGGACAAATGGTCAGCATAGCCGCCACGCTGGACCACTGTCATGTTCCTGGCCGGACTGAGCACGGCGCGCTGGCTGAGAACGAGGTGGAAATCGGCACCGGTCCGCACAACGAGCCTGGATACAGAAAACTGTCACCGGCGCCTTCGGCAGAAGGCCTGGTGAAGGAGATCCTGACGTACTGCCTGGATGAGGGGGACCCCGAAAGAGGCTATGTGAAATTCCAGCCCGGAGACGAGACGGTATTGCTCGTCAGCAACTTTGGTGGAATGTCGAACCTTGAGCTCGGCGGCCTGGTCGACGAGCTTCTCAAACAGCTATCGAGAGACTGGAACATGGAACCCGTTCGAGTGTATGCGGGATGCTTGGAGACATCCCTCAACGCACCGGCATTTTCCGTCACAGTCATCAACATTTCAGGGGTCGCGGCCAGTAGCTCGTATTCGCTGGATCAAATCAAGGCTTTCCTCGATACCAGGACAGATACTGCGTGGGAAGCAGTTGCCGGATCGCAGAATCACGTGCACCGGCGAAGGCGAGCAGATCAGCTCGCTCTCCCACCTGTTGAGGTGAAGAAGAGGGTGGACGATACAAGGGATCTCAAAATCGACCCAGAACTACTCGAGAAGATGCTCCGCGGTGCCTGTGAGGCATTGATTTCGGCCGAGCCAGATCTGACGAAGTGGGACACTGTCATGGGAGACGGCGACTGCGGCCTCACGCTGAAGACGGGGGCAAATGCCCTGTTATCCGCGATAGACTCAAAGCAGATCACTGCCAGGGGGTCAGTAGTCGAGGTGCTGACCGAACTGGAGGACATTGTCGAGAGCAAGATGGGCGGAACGCTGGGCGGTATTCTGGGCATTTTCTTTGTTTCGCTGCGGACGGCGGTCGAGGAGAACAGCGATCTGGCCAAGACCGAAGGCCCAGTCGCGGTGTGGTCAAAGTCATTGGCAACTGCGTTGCACCACTTGGAGCAGTACACTCCAGCCAAAGTCGGCGACCGCACCGTGATGGACACGCTGATCCCGTTTGCCGAAACGATGCAAGCCAGGCAGAGCTTCGAAGATAGCGTTTCTGCTGCGGTGAAGGGATCTGAGGCAACCAAGAAGCTGAAACCGAGATTGGGAAGGGCCACCTATGTCGGTTCTGTCCCCGAAGGCAGGGAACTTCCCCCAGATCCGGGCGCATGGGGTGCCATGGTTGCGATCAGGGGGCTGTTGTCTGCCATGTAGGTTGTAAGTTGCTCAAGACCTTCCATGTTGGGTCGGCGGATTGTGTACCCGAGATAATTATTTGAGGTCCGAAATTCAAATTGTGCGGGAGTGCGGGTCATGTGCGTGCGCTACTTCCCTTCCGAGGGGATTCTATGTAGGTTTCGCTAGGAGTGACTGGTGTTTCCTTCCTTAAAAAATGCCTACGGAGAATATAATAGGTTCGACACGACTCCTGGCGCTCTTTGGGAGATGAGTCTTCCTTCAAATGCTGCAACCAGGCTTGTATTTGTCTTTTTCTATCACTAAATGGGCCGGTGTCCATAGAAAAATGTGGTGATCAACTCATAGGTGGGTGTCCTGGACCCCGTACTTCCAGGAGGAGTCTTCCAGGAGGATCCCGACCTGAATTGTACATACAGTCGACAATTTGTCTACTACTAGTACCATGAAGCATCCCATCATGCCTTGCCCGCACTCCCCAACCAGTGCATATACTGCTCAATAGCCTTCTGCATGGCATTGGTGCCCGCCTCAATGACACTAGTAAGCGGCTTGCCGCGCATCTCCTCCTGGACCCGCGCATAGTGGTTATTCATGCCCTTGTTGATGTTGACCTTGGTCACGCCGCCGGCCATGCACTTTCTAAAGATAGTCTCATCAAACGGGTCCGCGCCGTGCAACACCAGCCTAACCCGTTCACCAACCCTTTCATTGATTTTCTGCAGGCGATCATACTCCAGCTGGATGCCCCGCGGCCCATACTCTCCATGGACGTTCCCAAACGCCGGCGCCAGCATGTCGATGCCCGTGGCGACAAACTCCTCGGCCTCCTCGGGCGTGGTCAAAAGACCCTCCAAATCCGCAGTCTCGGCGACACCGTCCTCTCCTCCCTCGATGCGTCCCGGCTCGGCCTCGGCGGCTATGCCGCGCTCATGGCAGTACTTGACCAGCTCCGCAGTTAACCGCAGGTTCTCCTCCTTCTCGTAGTGGCTCATGTCGCACATGATGCTGTCAAAGCCATCTGGTATGTCTGCCGCCCGCCGCACGAGCTCGGGGGTCTGGCAGTGGTCCAGGTGCAGCGAGACTGGCACACTGGCAGAATGTGCTGCGTCGGCTGCCGCCTTGACCAGCGAATCGCCTGCATATTGTATGGCCCAGGGGAACAGCAGCACCATGGCCGGTGAGCGAGCGGCTTCGGCGGCCCTCACAGTCGCGATGATGGACTCGATGTTGTAGCAGCACATGCCGGGCACGGCATATCCCTCGGCCTTGGCTTTATTGAGAATGGCCATGGACCTATTCTCGGCGAGTGGCGGTCGTGGCATGACGAATGAGTAACTCTTCGAGATAGCTTCTGAGGAAATTGAGACGGGATGGAGAGGCTTGGCTTGGGTTGACGGCCAAGACACGGAGTGCTGTGCTGCGAGTGTTTCCCGAGCTGGTTTAATATCTTAGATCCTAAATACCGAGGATTCCTTGGCGGTTGCCGGACTTTTACTTAACAGCTAGTCGAGGGGGAGGTCCCGTTCGCCGTTCGGATTCCTCAATTGGGTTACACCCACACTAGGGCTGATGAGCGGGCGGGGAGAACAGGAGTTGACACATCCACATTAGCCGGTAGTGACAGTGGGGTTGAGGGCCTGTCACAATTGGTGTCCCCGGCTATGAAAGGATCGTCAACACTCCATGATGCGAGTCTTGGAGCGGGGGAGTCGAGCAACGTTGGAAAGTTGTGGGGTCACTCACCCCTTGGAAGTTCAGCCGGTTTCGGGGTATTCGGTATTATACGACACGAGATCCGGCTGGCCATCGCAGTCATGATGTCGCGTTGAATTGAGCACTGTTCTCAGCCAGGTTGTCTTGCGAAGTCTAGCTGTTGAATCGGAGAGCTCCAATTCACACCACTCGATTGCTTGCTTGTGAAGTCCACTGCCGCCTCCGTCCCGGATTGTTCGTCGGCGCAGACACGTACAGCACTATACTACCTCGGTAGCATATCAAAGCCAGCGAGACAGAAGTCAAACCCCGTAATCATGGGAATCAGCGGCGATGACCGTGATAAGAAACCCGTCTCCTTCATCGGCCTCGGTGCCATGGGGTTCGGGATGGCCACCCACCTCCTGAAGGAGGGGCACGAGGTCACTGGATTTGACGTGTGGGCGCCGACTCTCGAGCGGTTCAGTGCCGCGGGCGGCCAAACCGCAACGAAACCATCCGAGGCAGTCGCCGGCAAGCCCTACTGCGTCTGCATGGTTGCTACAGCGCAACAAGTACAGTCGGTACTCCTCGACGGCCCGGATCCGGCGGCGCCAGCCCTGCCTCAGGAAGCAGTGTTGCTTCTATGTTCTACCGTCCCATGCGACTACGTCCAGTCACTAGAAAAACAACTCCAAGCCATCGGCCGCGGTGACATTCTCTTGGTTGATTGCCCAGTGTCTGGTGGGGCGGCGCGTGCCGCAGATGGGACGCTCTCTATCATGGCAGGCAGCTCTTACTCGGCAATTGTGAAGGCGCACCCGCTGCTCAACAAACTGGCGGATCCCAAGAAGCTGTATATCGTCAAGGGCGGCGTCGGCGCTGGGAGCAACATGAAGATGGTGCATCAGGTGCTGGCGGCGTGCCAAATCCTGGCGGCGAGCGAAGCCATGGGGTTTGCCCATCACCTGGGTCTGGATTTAGCCAAGACACAGGAACATATCGCCAGGCCTGAGTCGGAGGCATGGAACTTTATGTTTGAGCATCGCTCACCTAGGATGCTCACCGAGTTCCAGCCCGTGGCCAGCGCGGTCCAGATCATTATGAAGGACACCAGCATCATCACAGCCGAAGGGCGGAGGAAGCGGTTCACAACTTTAATGACGGGTGTCGCTGAGCAGGCGTACTTCACCGCGATGGGAAAAGGGTACGCGTTGGATGATGACAGCAGCCTTGTCCGGTTGTACACCGAAGGAAAGGCAAATGCACCGGGTCCTACGGAGATGGATGAAAAGAAATTAGCCCTGGTGGTTGACTTGCTTAAGGGGATTTTGCTGTGCTCGGCTGCAGAGTCGCTCTCCTTTGCTCATCACTTGGGCCTGGACCTCGACCAGGTGCTTGACCTGTGCGTTGACGCCGCCGGAAGCAGTGCCGTGCTTAAGAAGTTTGGGCCGACGCTTATTAAGGGTCTCCGGGCGAAAGGCGAGTCGAGAAAGTGGACTGCGGGGGATGGCGAGCCTCATCTTGGTGAATTTGCCGAGAGGCTACAGACGGTGATGGAGGAGGCACAGAAGATCAAGGCACCGCTGTTTCTGGGGAATCAGGCACTGAATATCCTGAGCCAAGTGCTACGCTATAGTGCGCCTGGAGTCGCTGGAGTTTCCGTCGGGGCGGTGGTGAATATCTGGGGTCCGTCTCCCGAAACGAAGTAGACGGAGATAGGCCTGTTTGTTGAGAATGAGACCCATGATCTTGAGTTTGGAGAAGTCACTGCTAGTATTTAAGGCTTGTCTATCGATCGGCTACCAAAGCTATCAGCAACGCACCTCAGAGATGTGAGGGGAATTTCTGGACAGGAATCGGGGCTGAAGCAGCTTGAGCTAGCGAGCAGATTGGGTCTTGAGTCTTGAGAGCTTCAGATGATACTGCTTATTCCCTGTCGCCGAGACAAGGTGTGGGTTGGCGGGAAGGAAGGGAAGAATTATTTGGTGAGTGGTGGCACCAGGTATATAGAGAAGTTCAAGCGAGCAGTCCTCAACAGGAACTGCTATGCTTCCAACGGCGTTGTGGTGTAGCGGTTCCGGTGCAGGGTTGAGAAAATCCCTGGACAAGCTCTGGTCGACGAATGTTACTGTCCCAAACTTCTGCCCAGGCTCATACCCTCTTTTTTGGGTTCGATTCCTTGATCTGTCACCTTTTTTTCTTCTCTCCTTCCTTCCCGTCATTCTCTCGATTGCCTCTTTCTCTCTTTCATCCAAATCCTTCTTTCAATCAGGCCTTTTCTTCCCTCCTAGAGGTGCATATGTGAATAAACTTGAACACATTCCCTTGTCGACTCTTGAAAGAGGTCATAGGGTAGAAACCCTATCAATTTATGTTATAGAGTGTATCCTGGATGCTGCTTTGGTTTCTGGCGTGTTAAATGGTGAACGACCCGGATTCCTGGAAGCATCATCGTTATCGATGCGCAGTGAGGAACGAAGTCGTTAACATGCCAAGTTGTGCACGTGCCTAAGATAACCCCACATTAGATAAGATCAATGGCGCTTGCAGTGGGTAGGGTCGATTAAGATCCCTGCAAGGTCGCGTCTCCTCGACTGGCGACGCGTCCCACTTCAAACCGAAAGCAGCTCTTTTGCCCCCCAGGTGCCACTCGAATTGGCCAAGCTCGTAGTAATTAAACCTTCGTTGGACGCCTTCGGAAACCCCAATTGCTGGTTAGGTTCCGCGAAAAACCACAGGCAACCATTCGCAATGCCGAGTTGACACCAAATGGAAGCTGCTACTTCTAATCACTTCTTCAACCACGGCCGGCCAGAGGTATGACGTGATGCTCGTCTCAGGTCGCCCCTATCTGACCCTCTCTCTCAGGTTGATCCAGAAGAGAAAAAGAACTGCCACTGGTGCCAGATCCGTTCGTTTGCGACCCATTCCACGCTACCTATCACGATCGTCAACGATGTGGACAAGGAGGTCTTAAACCCCAAGTTTCGCTTCATCGACCATTCCGTGATTGCCGATGATGTCCCTGTGGCTGAGGATTCCTTCCGGGCGGGGTGTAACTGCACCGACGACGAGGACTGCATGTACAACACATGCCACTGCCTTGACGAAATGGCACCGGACAGCGACGAGGAGGCCGATGACGGAAACGGTGCTCGGGCGCGACGAAAGCGCTTCGCATACTACTCGAGCGGGGCCAAGGCCGGCTTGTTGAGGAGTAGGATTCTCCACAGCCGCGAACCCATCTACGAGTGCCACGGGGGCTGCAATTGCTCCTCGCAGTGCCCCAACAGAGTGGTGGAGCGAGGCCGGACGGTGCCGCTGCAGATCTTCCGGACATCGGATCGCCGAGGCTGGGGCGTCAGATGCCCCGTCGATATCAAAAAGGGCCAATTCGTGGACAGATACCTCGGCGAAATCATCACGTGCGAGGAGGCGGATAGGAGGCGCCGCGAATCTAAGATATCACGACGCAAGGATGTCTACCTCTTTGCTCTTGACAAATTCTCAGATCCGGAGTCTCTCGATCCTCTTCTGGCGGCGCCGCCACTCGAGGTTGACGGAGAATGGATGAGCGGACCAACTCGTTTCATCAATCACAGCTGCGACCCCAACATGCGCATTTTTGCACGCGTCGGGGATCACGCCGACAAACACATTCACGACCTGGCGCTTTTTGCCATTCGGGATATCCCAGCGTGGGAGGAGCTCACCTTCGACTATGTTGATGGGCTAGAGACGATGGACAGCGACGCGCATGACCCGTCGATGATCAAGGACATGACGAAGTGCTTGTGTAAAACTGCCCGGTGTAGGGGGTTCTTATGGTGAGTCTGCGGGTCTCATGGGTTGTCCGGCAGCGGGATTCCGGAAGGCAGTCAGCATTGGGGGGTATATCACAACAGGATATGCACCGATGCTTCGAGGCATCCGGGGCGCTGGCGAGCTAGTTTCTCGAAAGCCCAGAGCAAGACTGCCGCCACGCTTGAGGTTTGAACAAGGCAAGGACCGAAGCAATGGACGAACATCCAAAGCAGCTGCAGTGAAAGCCAGAAGATGGGATGGGAAAGTGATATCTGAGTTTCAAGTCTCCCCAGGTTAAGGATAGCGGCACAGCATACCTGCAGTTTCAGTTAGGTAGGACTGCAGTGGCAATACTCTGTACACTATGGAGTAAGGGATGAGCAGACGACAGACCCGACATCGCTCGCACTGTCAACTATGCCTGACCTCAAAGGCTCAAACTGATGAAGTTGAGAAGGGAATCAGTGTCTAGATACTCCGTACTAGTGCCCCGTTATATGACTCAACCCATTCTCCCCTTAATTACATATGTAATCTCAGGCAAGCCGCCATTGGTTGATCAAATCGGATGCTTGGCAAAATGGCGACTGAATGAATTTTGTACTCGTACTGTGTACATTTCCATCCGGCATCCGGCGGCCAGTCGTCACAAACGTCATTTACTCGTCGACGGTGTAATCCAACGCCGGCGCAAAGGCCACAAAAAGCCTCCAATCCATCCCCTTCAACTAATGCGAGCGACATCCACCAGCAATTGGAGATGCATTGGCATCAACTTCGACAAGTTTGTCATATTTGTTAAGGTATCGTACAAAGATAGTTAGTTCGCATCCACATCCGGAGTGGTCACGGCTTGGCCCCCCCCCTCACAGACACCGGCGGCGCAGTGGGGTTGTTCAGCCGAACACTGAGCGGTCGCAAGCGGGCCAGGCCCCGGGGCGGTGGGGAGCTACTCAACTCCACGAGCGACAACTTATCAGCGGACTGCGGGCGGGAAGAGAGTCACAAAAGACGAGCCCGCAACGTATTACTCGGATTACCTGCCGTGCATGTTGATATGAGGGGTCTTGTCTCAGAGCCAAGAAAGGGAAAAAAAGAGAGATTACTGTTTAACTAACAAACGGTCGGCTGGTGACACTTTATTTCCTCCACCTCACTAAGCATTGAAGGGCCGGGCCTAGTCACCGCGTAGGAACCGGTCATCGGGAAACACGAGAAGCCTCAGCAAAGACTCCAAAGAGACCGCTGCGTACCTGGCCTCCCTCTCCTAAGTCGGCTTTCGCTCCGCTGCCGTCATGAATTAGCTATTTAGACGGTTGGATCGAGCGGCCAAAACGTGTGCGAAGTCAACAGCGTCGGGCTGTCTGTAGCGGACACCGCTCCGCAGCGGGACAAAATGGTATGATTCTGGATTGTGGTCTTCTTAGCGCGCGGCCAATCCCCAAGTCCTGCTCCAAGGATGCTCGGAGAGCACTTCTCCGTTGCGTCCTTTACTCATGCGTTTTATTCGCTATGCTTGCCTACCTTTCCCCCGATCAACAAATTTGCTGACCATTACCACCAGGGTTGCTGCCTCTCTCGGGACGGGGGTCCCAACTCCCCATACCCTGGCGGCGCCAGCTCTGGCTCCGCCCGAGCGATCAATGAAGCGCCCTCAGCGGCCGGCGCGCCAGGCTCTCACGCAGGAAATGATGACTCCGCTCTCTCCCCTGGCTCTGCATCACGACGGGGGCGGGGCAGACATAGCCAACAACCCCTGGCACAGCATATCAACAGGCCCCTTAGACGGCATGAATGGACCAGTCACGACCGGCAATGGACCCCCGTCGCCCTCCGGCGGGAACGGGTCGAGTTCTTCGACACGCGAGTCACGGGAAGGCAGGAAGTATGGCAGACCTTGCACGCCGCACTCGAGATACTCTGGATCGCCGACGAGGCTGCCCGCAACGGCCAGTCGGCCCGGCGAGTGAGCGAGGACGATGGGCCGAGCGAGGAAGACCCGGCTGTGGCTCTGGCAACAGCGCAGAGTATCCTCGATGCGGCCGACATCACCCTGCCAACTGGAGACTTATATAACGGGGCGTACGACGCATTTGGGAATTACTACCAGCTTCCACATCACATCGTATCGGATCCTACAAATCTGGTGTGGAGGCCTGGCGGGACGGAGGATGATGATCTTGACGATTCCAAGGCCGACCTTGAGGGTGAGGAACCGATTGAGGGGAGACACGATCCAGACGACGAGACCGAGCGGCGCCGTGAGGAGAAAGGCAAGGCGGTCGTCGACATACGGGATCAAATCACCGTCAAGGCTAGGCTGAGCGATGGGTCCAAGGACGTCAATGTTGCCGTGGACAAGGCCGACACCGTTCGGTACCTTGCTAGGCTTATTGCAGAGGAGGCGCAGGTGAGATGTTGTTGTTCGGGGATTACATGATGCCGGGCATCCGCTGATGGGTTTTCATAGCTGCACTCAACCAAGAGGATACGCGTCGCCTACATGGGCAAGATCCTAAAGGAGAATACCCCGCTGTTAGCGCAGGGCTGGAAGCAAGGGCATGTGGTCAACGCCCTTGTGTTCAACCGGTAGGGACACTGTTTGCCCAGCTGCAGTCGAGGCCCCTCACTCCCATTAGACCCTTCTACGTATCTTCGAAGGCTCTCATGACATCCCTCAGCGCCTGCCTGACTCTTTCTCGGGGCTGGTTCACCAAACAGCTTGACTTCTTGTTCGTCTCGGGTGTTCACGAGAGACAAAATGAGCTGTGCGACCTCCTGCCGGTACTTTGACCTCGAGCGACAACGCGTTCTTCTTCGGAGGAGAAATCTACAGCTTCCGCCTCGTCATTTGCTCCGCCTACACAACCTCTCACACATTAAACGCAAGCCCTTTACCCCTCAACGTCTTGTCGAGGGAACGGAACTTCCACGATGCTTCGACATACCCCCAGTCTTTAACTTGCCCAATTTCCTCATGTCATCGTCACCACATCTCTGTCGGACCTCACGGCTGAGATACGGGATTGAAGCTCCCCGAATCGAATCGGACTGAACCCACGAAATACCTCGCCCGAACTCCGATCTCCACCACGAGGCGACTCTTCTTGTAATTGAGGCATATCACGGGCTGTGCAACATCCTGTTGAACCAGCCCACTGCCCTGCGGATATGCGGATATCATCACGAAGCTTCCCCGGAAAGAGAGAAAGAAGCACATCCCTCCATCCCACATCAATCCTATCCCCCTGCTGTTTCCCATCCTATCTTGTCATGTCCCATCCTGTCTTGTCATGTCTTGTCATGTCTTGTCTTGCCTCGCATCTCTCGGCGTATTGTACCCCCTTTGTCAGGCGGCGACGGCGGCACCATACCCAAATTTGTCTTTTTGTTTTCTCCCTCAACACATGACTCCCCTGCGGAGGCACATCTGATCTGTGTCAAGTCTCTCGTATCTCACTCAGTTGACTGGAGTTTGAAGGGGTCGGTTGGTGTGAGCTCTCTGGGGGAGGATACCTCTATTCAATCTCATGTTCTCATGTCATGTATTCCACGCCACACTTTACGCCTAGGTACTACGCCTAGGGACTTGCCTGCCAATTTAACGCCCGGGCAACAATATCTAATCGAAATTTCTCTGCTCACACCGAAGCTCGTAGCTGACAGATGGATGGTGCAATGGAATGGCCATATTATGACCAAGCTTGTTTCGGTTCAACTTCTTCCACCATGCTCCCGATTGGGACACTTACTCTTTGGCCCAGCAACAACTAAAATGCAATCGTCAAACACGGGATGAAATGTTGCAGATGGGAATGGGGACTTGCTGTTCCTTTACATCCTCATCCTCATCTAAAATAAACTTACCCGACTCAACCAGGCTACCAGACAGAAAGATTTAACATACGTCTAAGCATTTGCGTATGGCATGGCCGCCTTTTGAGAACCTGCCCTGTCATAACCACCGCCACCACAACCTCAACCAGTGTCCAGAGCTCCTCACAGGAATCGACTTCCTTCGACCTGGACTCCCAACAAACCCCTCCACACTAGCATTTCGTAAACATCACCCTCGTAAGCACCACCCCGCGTTCACGCCCGATTCCGCCCGACGACGGACGAGAGGGATTAACGTTTCCCAGGCTCACCGTTGGGTCCGTCTGCCCAGATAAATTACCTAACCGAGGGAGGTACGGTCCTGGACCAGAATCCAATGTGGGCTTGGACAAACAGTACGCTCGCCTCGCTTAAGCAGCTGTGCCGATCTTGCTCAGCCCCTTGAGGGAGCCTAGGCTCAGGGCCAAGCCCTGCGACCTGCTGCGTATCCTGAGGAAGCCAGTGATGGGGCCGTCTTCTCCCTCCTTTTCGATGCTGAGATTGGCTAGAGCGTCCTCGCCTGTTGGGGTTGGCTCGTTAGCATTGGCCTATTCTATACATGCCTTGTAGCGCGGATGAATCAATTCTTGTGACCACTTACCAAACACACTCCTGGCGTAGAGATTCGCGCTGAGGAACTGGCAATCGCCCTTGAGGCTGGCGTCGGGCGTCAAGCAGTTCATGTTTGTGCAGGCCATGAGCTGGTCGAGGAAATCCCGCAGCGACTTGGCCTTGCTGTTGATGTTGACCTTGTTCTCCCACTCAAATTCGGTCCACATGGTACGGAACTGCGTCTCGCTACACGTGGCCGGCTGGATGTAGTCAAGGACGTCGACGTGCAGGTCGTTCAGGATGACGACGTGCGTGTCGGTTGAGTGAGCGCCTTCGTACACAACATTGCCAAAGATAACACCCGTGTCGGTCGACGACACCTTGATGGTGCACTGCACGTTGTGGAAGTCGTGTGGCCCGAGGTTCTGGCTCGTTGGCCGCTCCACAACCTTGAGATCACCGAGCGTGGCGAACTCGACGGAGAGATTCTGCAGCGTGTCGGTCGTCTGGTTCACTAGCAGCACGTCGAGGATAATGTCGAACTGATGAACTTTGACGTAGGCTTCGGCGTAGACTGGATCTGAGAAGCCTGTGAGCTGGACAACCCGGCTGAGCTTGCCAGATAGATCCTCAGCCGCGCTGCTGTCGCCACCGGTTGCCCGCTCGAGGTCGAGCTCGATGGAATCGGCGCCATCAACACCGTTCTTCTTGGACAGCTGGCGGATTGAGACAACATCATCAACCTGGACGGCAGTCTTTGCTTTTTCGAATGCCTCCTTGGCCGCACGCTTCTTTTCCTCCACCTGGACCATGGCCCGGAACGCCTTCCTTGTATCCTCAAGATACACCGTCTCCAGCTCCTTGTGCTCCTGGAAATCGGCTAGGGACCGCACGCAGCTCATGATACGGTCCACAGAGTCCTCGTCAATCGGCGCCTTGACAAATTGGGACTGACCAACTCGGATGATGGAGATCATGATGAGCATGGCTTCGGCCCGCAGAGCGTTTGTGCGAGCCGTCTCTGATGAGATCTCGGAGTGGCGCATGACGAGCTTGGTAAGGGTGGCAGAGAGGACAGTCGCTAAATAGTAATCGCCATCCAAGATTAATTGTCTCAGGGGCGGCTTCTGAGAAGACTTCACGGCCTCCAACTTGGCAGCAGCAGCAGACTGGCTGGTGAGAGCTGTCTCTGTAGCATATGTCCCATCGGGGAGAACCTTTCTCGAGCCCCCTGACGCAGGCTTAGAATGCCCATTAACTTGCTCCTGTTCCTTGTTCTCCTCGTCATCCATATTGTCCAACAACCGCTGTTCCGAGGCCAGGATCGGAATCTCGCCAAGGCTGGCCCGAATACCCTTCCAGGCATCCCGGATATCCTTCTCGTCCAGAGAGTATTCACCAATGATCCAGAGAATTCCCCGGTATACCTTGCCTGCACGAACCTCCCTGAGGGTGTCAACCAGCCTCCGCGCAATCGCTGGCCGTAAGGCTGGGAACTTCTCGACAACCTCCTTGACAAAGTTGATAACATCAACAGCGGAGGTGTTGTTGAAATCGGCGATGAAGTCCATAAGAAGCTCGACAACGCTGGCGGCTACCTCGGAGAATTTGACCGCGCACTGGTGGATGGAATGGATGAGCAACTGGCGATATTCGCTGTTCTTCTCATATTCTTGGTCGACAGTCTTGGACAGCTCCTTCTTCAGAAGGAGTACAACCTCCTCGACGTTCTTGCTTGATACCATCTCCAGCGCAATATCCAATGCTTTCTTCCGCACATCGATGTCGGTGCTCGAAAGAACACGTAGGATCTCCATAATTAGGTCGTCCAGAATGCCCTCATTTCTCTTGCGGAGTTGGTCTACCCGATCCAGCACAATAAGCTTAACGTTGTTATCGGCCTCCTTGATCGCCAACTCTATGAACTTGCCAGCAGCAGCTTTGACGGCAACAGGGTTGTTGGTGAGCGCCGTTAGCGAGGAAGCTGCCTCGTAGACTACTGTAGAGGTGTTCGCCTCGAGAAGATCGAAGATGAGACGCAGGTAACGTGCCTTGTTCTGGGAGTTCTGTACGGCATCTTTCCGAATGAACTCAAGCTCGACCAGCTGGAGGAGCTCCTCTGCATTCGGAATGCCGTCGAAGACCGTGCTCAGGTATGCTAGCGCCTTGTCGTGGCTAATACTGGATAGTGCGGCAAACCCGTTCCTCTTGCACGTCGGGTCACTCTCGCCTTCTAAGAATGTAGCAATCAACTCGGCGGCATCGGGAATGAGGGAGGGCGAGTGTTGGTAGATGGAGGCCACGGCGAAAACAGCGTTCTTCCGTACGTAGGCATGGCGGTGTTCGAGGCAAGCGCGCGCCGAGGAGAGGAGAGGCTCCAGCAGTTCAGGTTCCCTGAGCTTGCAGAGGAAGCGCAGCGTATTTCCTCGAATGTACTCGTTCGGATGTTGCAAGTCGTTCCGGATGCCGTTACTAGTAGGGTTTAGTCAATACGTTGGTTAGCACCGTCGATCGGTGCAGGGCACCTCACCATACTAGGATGAATTCTTGCTTCAACTTCCCCTGGGCGTCGAGCTTGGGGCATATCTCGTAGTAAAAGTAGAGAAGCTTTTTAAGTGGCTTGGATTTGGAGGGCATGACGAATCGAATAATGTGCATGAGCAATTGGGGCATGGGGTCTCCGTTGAGCATGATGGTGAGTATGCGCTTCATGGTCTCGACCTTTGTTTCGTCCGTGCCCTTCTCGAGCTGGGTTCGCAGCTCTGTCAAGGTCGGCGTGCCCTCGGTGGCACTATCCTTGACCAAGCTGTAGGCATTGTCGAGGAACGACATGATGGGCAGCGTGCGGGCGGGAGGCTGCGGGAGGAACTGGGGGAAGAGGTCGGCCGGCGGGTTTGCGTGTGCTATGGGGAACGATTGACGGTGTAGTCGAACTCGCTAATAGGAGAGGCGGCGGATGGCTCCTGAGCTCCTGCAGCCTACGCAAGTGCGCGTCCCCCGGGATGGAGTACTCTTCCGAAGGATCAAGAGGTGCGCGCGACGGCGGTGGGTTGTTTGGTGGCCGCTAGCAGTCTGAAGGGGCGGAGCATCACCTGCGTAAAGTAGGGAATTGGTGCTGAGAGCCAAAACAGCGACCCCCTGATGCAGTCCATCAACAATATCGAAGCGACGGTAGAGTTGCATGGGAGATGTGGCATTACGAGCCTGACTAGCAGCTCTCCTGCCAGCTGCCCGACAGGTGCTGCCGTCACGTGCAATGCCAAGATCAGGCTGGACTTGGCTGCTGGTGGGGTTCTGCCCCGCTGTGGCTTCCCCATGCCGGATAACGTTGCTTGGGCCAAATGCGACTTCAAGATTGAGGTCGAGGATTCGCAGTTCTTTGAGACGTCCACATCGCAATCCGCCCTAACTGCCTACGATGTCAAACACAAGCGAGCCCTTTTATCTCCGCTATTAGTATGCTTCCGTCTTCCCATGCCTTCTTATCATCGGTACTGACTGGTCGTGTTAGTTCGGGCCACCAAGGTCGCTTCGGGCATGAGTTTCTCGGTACGCTGCCTAACACCCAATAGCCCACCTTGTTTGCCGACTAACGTTATCCGCGCGTCGCAAAGAATTTGACTTCCGTGTCGTCGGGGATGGCCGCAGCGCTACTGCCCGCTATGCGAACAACTCGAACTACAGGAACGATAGCTTGATCAGGAAAGAAAGTACGGGCATCTCAAATCCCTGGAATCAAGCCAACCCCACTGACCAGCGCGTCTTGCTGCAGTGTTTGTGAGCTCTATCGTGATTGATGAGATCAAGCGCATTGTGAAGGAAAGCGAAATTATGAAGTATGGCCAGCAGCTTACGCAAAGCTTGGAGCTTCGATGCTAACGATGACCAGGGAAGATGACGCAAAATGGCCTACCAAGAATAAAGATGGAAGGCAGGAGCTGGAGATTCGGTTGGGCAACGACCATATCTCGTTCGAGGTATATGCGACGCCCTCGTATGGCCGGAATCCTTGCTAACATCTTGCAGACTGCGAAGATTGGCTCAATCAACGACGTGACCGAGTCGGCGGATCCTGAAGGTCTTCGGGTCTTCTATTACCTCGTCCAGGATCTCAAGGCGCTGGTCTTTAGCCTAATCGCGTTACATTTCAAGATCAAGCCCATTTGATCATTTAAAGGGCCTCGGTACGGCCCGCTGCTGCTCGGTTGATCGCAGCCGGACTAGAACTCAAAAGCGAACCTCGTTACCCCTTGAAGTACTTCGCGAATTAGATCCGAACATATACTGGAGCAGTCTGGGATATCGTTCTTCGGCAACCTCTGGTACTAGGCGGTGTTTGGCATGGCGAGAAGGTTCGCAGATCGAAATGGTTAGGGCAAAGTCCGCCAATATGACAAAGGGGGCTGTCGCTGCGGGGAGGGTATCTGGGGAAAGAGACGGTTGGCAGCCCCTATCCTGCTCCTGGCTTTGAGTCGGTGCAGATCTCCGTATTGACGCAGAGCCTCCGATAGAATCCATTCACTTATGGACCCGGGTGTTTCCGAGTCCTACACATCTGGAGCGCCATCTCGGGACTATCAATCGAAGAGGATAGGCCGTTTAAAATTCGTGGTACCGCAGACAAGTGGATGGAACAGGTGTTTTCAAAAATAGGCTTCGTCACAGTTAGGCCGGGTTATAATTAGTAAATCCCAGGAAACCGGTGATTTAAATCGCACTGTTGCCGTCCGACTGCGTGGTTGAGTTGACAATTTGACACGTGCATTTCTGCAGAGAGTCGGGGGTTAGGTAAGCTTAACTCAAGGCGCAGCGGGTCTTACCGCGCCTGCCAAGACCCACGACTGTTCGTGCCAAGTTGTGCTTGATTGATGCTGTGGTACGGAGGTGGTCGCCGGAAAGGGTCCCTTCCACTTAGACGTTAAAGTGTAATCCCCTCCACAAATGGATGGGGCAATCACCCAATGCAGACGTCGTCATTGCTTAACTGAACCTCCCGTCCGACTTCGTACCATACTATAATCCGGCGCGTCAAGTTTACGGTTACCAGACCACAGAGACATCTCGTCGGCGTCATATACAATTCGAGCACATCTTATAATCAATTCCTAGTGACAACAGAGCCCGTGCCTTCCCCTCCACCATCCGCGCGCCCTCGCTCGGTTTGCGCTTGACTGATGCTCCATATCAAAGCGACGACAGCGCACGAGACCATCATCATACCTCTGCTTCGAAAGCCTCGTGTGCTTAAACTCAGCAGGCGCTGGCAATTATCGTCGGCCATCCCGCGCGTTCCGCCGTGTATTTGACGGCCTTATAGAACTCGGTCTTTGCGTCTCACTTTCCCTGTGATTTGGTTCCATCGCTCGCATTCCTTGTTAGGGACTATTTGACTCCTATTCAGCGTGAACCCTGTTTCAACTTGAGCATAACGATACAACGATTCACACACCTCTCTACCACCCCGTTGCGGGCATTGCTGAACGTCGCGTGGAACGCCAGCTTGTCATGCCCACGCCCTCATCCAACGAGACCGATCGGCAGTCGCCGCGCTCTTTCCCCTTCTCATCATGTCCCGATCCTGAGGAGCAGTTCCAACCCCTAGAACAATCGTCACAAACGCAACCGCCGATGGCGCCCTCGACCGACTGGCACCCGCTCCCGTCCTCTGCGGACCCACGCGATCTTGTATCGCAACCAAACACGAGCATGAACAGTGATCCCACAACGTCGCGATCGGCCACCCTATCTCCGAGACCCGAGCAAGAGGCTGGCCGTGATGTGGATATGGACCGAGAGCCTGAGGGCATGTTGATTGCACAAGACGACGAAAACCACAAGCGACCAGATATGGAGGAAGACGCTCTTACAATGCCCGATGTGGCTTCGCGGAGGGAGAATATCAACAGTGGTGCCGTCCCGCCTGATGGCAGCGAAATGCCAGGAACAACGTCTAGCGATGCGCTGAGCAGGCGACAACCAACCGAATGCTTCCCGCCGGCCATGGGAGAAGTCCAGGAGATGGATGCCTGGGGTCCACTGGCGAAAAGCCCCCGGTGGGTGGAAGACTGTGGTCTGGTCGGCTTAGGCCATGAATATACACACATAAGGGTCATACCAACACCGCCATCTTCTTTCTTGCGACCTGGGAGCCGGTTTGAGGGGACACAGCAGTCGGAGCGGCAGCGGTATGATGTCGAGGTTGAAATCAAGCATGTGGATTTGCGGGAATCGTTTCTATGTGGTTATTTGAAGATTCAAGGTCGGTCATGTCACGATCAATGCCCCCTTTTCTCAATTTGACGGCAGGCTTGTATGCTGACTAGGAGCGCTCTGAGCTAGGTTTGACCGACGACCACCCGACCTTGACAACGTACTTTGAAGGCGAGATTATCGGCACGAAATATGGCTTCATCACACAGCACCCGGCATGGGGAGCCACGGAAAAGATTGATCTCAACCATTGGGCCAAGTTCACCGCCTTCCGGCCGTTTGCTAAGCAGGCCCGTAAGGGAGGGCAAATCCTGATTGATGTGGCGCAACGAGAGAACATATTCATGCGGTGGAAGGAGCACTTCCTGGTCCCCGATCACCGTGTTCGGACGATCAACGGGGCAAGTTTTGAGGGGTTTTACTATATCTGCTTCAACCAGATACGAGGGGAAGTGAGCGGGATCTATTTTCACAGCAAGAGCGAGAAGTAAGCGCAACTCTGTCGTGCCCCCTACTACCACCCTATGGGATGTGGAGTCTAACAACGCGGCAGGTTCCAGCAGCTAGAGCTGAGACACGTGGACGACAAGGGGTGTTATGGCGCCATGGAGTTCAGATGAATTGTGACACGAAACAATGGGATTGAAGTCACACACGCGCGGGCCGAGCCCTGCTAAGGGAAGGACCGCATAACCGAGGCCTCCGGTCGTATCGATCGATCACACTATATTTCTCTTGTCGCATTTCTGATTACAGGCGCCGGTTTCTGGAATGCATATTGCCGTTTTCGGAGGGTCTATCCCCACAGACATGGGCAGAACAGCACACACAACGGATTACTGGAGTATCAGATGGGACGAGAGGAATGAGAATAGGGGCATGATTTCTGGATCAGACTTCTCATAGCGCATTCACTGCGGCCCTGAGACGCTGAGGCAGGACAGGACGCTATGAGGGCAACATGGGGGATGGATGCAACTCTTCCATTGTACATCCTTGACGGGTATCTGACGACAGATTCGAGAGATCGATTCCTTCAGGCCTCAAACTTACTGAAATAAGCCTTGCGGAAGGGATTTAGCTCGTCGGCTGTTTTACCGATGGATATCCTCTCCTCACGCGCCTTCATCGCCCTGGGATCGACCTCCACATCAGGGATGCGGCGGTAAGTGATAAGTCGCCGAGACCCTAGTCCCCCGATTAGCATATATAGGTAACATGCGATGATGATTACTATCAAAGACCACACACATTTGTTGAAGCTTTGTGTGCAGATGGACACAATCTCAAGGTAAGGGTGCGTTGGCACCGGGATTTCTTGGTTCTCGTCGTTTGCAGTCGGCATCCAGAATGAGAGTCGGCCGTGGTCTACCAGCGTCTCGGCCGAGAACTGCAGGATGCTATCTAGCATGGCCAGGAAACTATACGGCTTTCTAGGGGGAATGAAATCCGGATCCCTGGCACCCTCGTCAGTCGTCATCTTGCCGCGCATCACGCGTGAAGGCTGCGAGGACTTACTTGTACATCTCCTTTCCCTTGGGTATGACCCAAGGGCACTTTTCGGGGTCCCGTACCCCAAGCACCCGCAGCCCTTCCCTTACTCCATATGGCGGATCGCACACAATCCCATCAAACAACCGCCCGGTCACCCCATCGCCATCATAGCGCAGCGGCACCCTCCTGATCGGCGAGTTGGTCAAGTCAGCGGTAAACATGCCGCCCAACCGGCCCAGCAAGCCATACTGCTCAAAATTCCCCTTCAGCGTCCTATTCTTCTCATCACCCCTGATACTCCTCCCATCAATATCACTCCCAAACGCCACCGCCCCGAACTGCGCGCAAGCAATCGGAAAACTACCCGTGCCCACAAAGGGGTCATACATAATCTTGCCCGGCGCAGCCAAGGCCAAGTTTGCCGTCACCAGCGCAAGCTCGGCGTCCATGGACGTGGTACTAATATACCTCCGCTTCTTCAGATCCAACTTCTTAGGCAAATCCCTTGCCCCCGATCCCAGATACCGGCCAAAATAATAGTACTTCGGATCCGGAATGCCCAGCGGGGTCGAGTTCCACTCCCAATCCTCAAAGAGCGTGAACTCCTCGTCGGCCCCGCGCATGCGGATCGGGCCTGCGAAACCCAAATACGCAAACGAGTTGATGATGGACACCTTCTCGTCGGCCGTGCGAGACCCCTGGTACGAGTCGATGCTGAACTTGAACGAGCATGTCATGTACCGCTCCCAGAGGTGGGAAGTGGTCTCGCGGACATGGGAATGGACTGTGGAGAGGTCACCGCCGGAACCCCAGAGTTCGTGCACCGACATGGCTAGGATGGAGCGCTGAATGAGTTGTTTGGCGGCGGCGGATGAGGGGAGGGAGACGATGCAGAAGGGGGACTGGGATATGTTAGATCCGGGAATGGATGGGTTGGGGCTGAGCTTGGTTCAGTTCAGTTCAGGGTGGAAAAGGAGGTGATGAAGGTTTTGATGGCCTTGTATTAGGTGAAGGTAGCTTTCGGTAGGCCAACTCACTTCTAGACTGTATGAGACAACTTTCATGTCAATGCCCTCAATCACAGCCAAGGCTTCAATCTCCGGGAGACGGAACGTCTCATGAGACTGGGAGAAGCGAATGAGGTAGTCCATCTTCTGCGTTGGGCTTTATGTAGCGTTAGCCACTATTATTCTCGACGATATGACCGTTTCCCGTTCCGTTGATACTAAGTGTATCGTGGAACAGTTCATCCTGTGAGAAATAGGATCAAGTTATTAGACTTCGATGTTGGGAAGCGCCAATCCCCTGCTTGACTCACTGTCGATGTGTTGTAAAATGTTGGTTTGAGTCTGTTTGACCCATGAGATGGCTTTAAGCCTGATCTTGCCCTACGGCAGTTTGCAACCAGCGGGTTCTCAGGGGCGCTATAGCGTTTTGACCAATCATCGTTCAGAGACTCTCTGAAACCACACCTGCAAAGTCCCGATTTTGCGCTTCACTGGACGATCCTCTAGCAACACTCAGTTGATTGCTTGAGAATATTCGGATTCTCAACCTGAAAGTTCAACGAAATGCTGTCATTCAACCCTCCAGCGGTATATCAGGCCTCCAAATGCTATGTGACGTATGGAGTATTGGGTCATTTAGACCCAAATCAACTACCATCCAAATCAAAGCCATGGGCAACACTTACATGCCAAGATTTTGTCCACAAGGTGCGTGCAAGCCTCCTTCAGATCGCTTCTTTGACTTGTTTCTCGTCGCTGAACGTACTGACTAGAGTATTAGGCCGACCTCCTTATTCCTCAAGATGTGTTCGATGTAGCCTTGAAACAACTGGTCAAGGAAAGACCGGCCCCTGAGTTTAAGAGGGTAGTCATGTCACTGCATGACATTCTGTCCGGTGAATTCTTCACAGAGTACATCAAGAAAGGTAGGTTGGCCCTTGACAGTATCAACTGTAGTTACGGTTAACATGAAGCAGGAAACATTCTGATGCTTTCCGAGGGCCGGAGAGGAATCGACAATGTCTTCACTCTTAGAAGTGGCAAGCTCGTCATGTTTCTGGACAAGGAAGCATATGAGAAGGCAGGGCTTGTTGGTAAACCTCAAGGGGTCAAGGGGAAGCGGGGTCTAAAGCCTCGATGGGGTATGATTCTCGGTACCTTGGACATTTTGCGTGCCGTTCCCTGACCTTACCAGTTGTCGAATGTGATCTCACGAGCCCTTCGATGTTTCCGGGAAAGAAAGGCTTCGACCGGCTAGTTTACGCGAGCAAGAATGCGCTTGCCGCCTCAGTTACATGGCTGTTTTGCAACTTGGCTCCCACCGGTATGGAACCAAGGGGCCTCAGCTAATCCATATGCCTTCCCGCTAACGGTTGTTGCAGCTCCTGACCCAGATCCGCTCTCACGGCATTTTCCACTCAACTATACCTGCGCCCCTGGCGTCGTGGAGGGCATTGCCGTCAAAATCCCCACACTTAAGCCAACTATCGAATCCATCGATCCATCCTCCAGGGAAGACTTTGAGGACTTCTCAACTGGATTGTATGAGTGGCTATCCCTCGCTCGCCTCCAGACTCCGCGCATCGAGGTCGGGGATGAGATCGACCCGTACCTGTCTCGCTACCAGGTCCCCAGCGCCGAACGGCAAGCCAAGATCTGCAAAATCAGCTGGCAAGGTTTCCTCGCACCGTCATGGTCCCGACAGACTCTGATCGATATCATAACGGCGCTGCCGGCCAAGACGTGGTTTTCCTTCAGCACCACAACCTTCACCAGGGGTATGGCTGGGGACAACTCTGAGTGCACGATCCTCCGTTTGCCAGATTCGCCAGGCGAGTACCTCATGTGGGAGGTCAAGGCGCATGAATGAGTCCGGCCCTCGGGATACCTCAGTCCTGCCTAGACCGGACGTTTCTCTCTTCACTTAGTCCCTGCCCGCTGATCGCCTCCTCAACCAGCCGTCGCAACTCGGCCTGGCCTTCGGGCGTATTGAAGTCCTCCCTTGCAGCAAGCTCTTCTATCCTCCTGCGAAATTCAGGATCGGGTAACTGCTCTCCAACCTCGGCCTCATCCATTGTACCCATGGTAACTCTCAGGCCTTCAGGCGGCGGGGGAAGTCCAGTGGTCGCCGACAAATCGTCGTTTTCCGTGCCATTGGTGCCTGAGGATCCAGCCTCCAGGGTTTTTAGATACTCAGCTACCGCGGGCCACTCCTCGTCGCCCTCGATCTTCTCTCTTGCTGTTTGTCCCTCAGCGTTGCGGATTCCGGCATCCAACCCCAACTCCTCGACAAGGACACGTGCTGCCTCAACTGTCTCGACGACAAAGAGCGCCGTCTCGCCGTCTTCGTCTTTGAGATCGATTGGAACCTTGAACTCGCGGACCAGGGACCGCAGGAGGTCGAGGTGGTTGTAACTGGCGGCCGCGTGCACAAGGGAATAGCCATGTTCGTCTTGCCTCGTGGCTATGGAGGGGTCTTCACGAAGCAGAGAGAGTAGCGCCTGCGGGTTGTCGGCCGCGAGCAGGTATGGGTTGGGTGCCATGTGTATGAGGTTTACTGCTTCTCTTCGACCTGGCCAATGTGGTAGGTACGTTCTCCTGCTGCAAAGGGTATCTTGCAGTCAAAGATTGGTTGAAGGCTAGAATGTGCCTTGCTGAAGCCTGAAGGGTGTCGCAAAATTTTGGTGGGGTTCGTCGATGTCAGCGCGGGGCAGTACCTCGAGTACCTTGAAGCTCCAGGTGGGGCCATACAGAGCATCTCAATCAAGTTCCCCGCTAAACACCAATCCAATATTCCATTGTAGCTAAACTCGTGACTCGCCGGCGAGAGCATTCCAGGGGACTGTCTGGGGTCCAAGGTTGCCTACCATGCTTACTGGCCCGGTGTGAGTAACATCTTAGTCTTTGTTGCACCGTTTAGCTGCTTAATGACCTCGATCATAGCTGTCCTCGGGTTAGATTGGCACTTCATTGAATGTTGACTCATTGGCCGGCTTCGACTGCTCCTGCCGCAAGGCGTTTGGGTTGGCCTTTGTCTTGCTTTATGTGCCCACGCATCAAAGCGCCATTGAGCTTGCCCCTTTGGTCCTGTGTACATATCAGCCCTGCCCCAACTTCAACTTTTTCGTCCTTTGTCCATCAACCATTTCATCGCAACCAAGCAGGCTCTGTGACAGTCCGACTTGCCTCACAGCTTAGAGGTACGGAACGGGGTATCCACTCCAACACCTTCGCTGCACATCTCTCATTTTCTGCACCCACCAGCTGTCTCACTGCGTGGAAATCACTGCACACGAGAGCCATGGATGAAACCGTTGATACCCTGGAGAGCGCCTTGGCTTCGAGGTACACCTCCTCAACGGACTACGCAAAAGATGCTGCCGGAATGAAGGTTCCCTACCGGGACCAGGACGTGCAAGAGATTGCCAATCTGGTTCGCGGCCTCAATGACTGTTGCCAACAGGGGCGAAAGAGAGGGGGATTCAGCGTCAAGAAGACCAGGTACGCCGTTGCTGGGTCGCCGACTGGAGCTCAGGTCGAGTCGTGGCGCTTTCAGGATTGGGACTACAAGAGGCGCGATCTCCCCACTTACGCCCGCGGTCTGTTTACCACTAAAACACAAAACGGCACACCTGAGATTGCGGTCCGCGGCTATGACAAGTTCTTCAACGTGGGCGAAGTCCGAGAAACAGATTGGGAGAACATCATGACGAGGACCATGGGTCCCTATGAACTTACGCTGAAGGAGAACGGCTGCATCATCTTCATCAGCGGCCTTGAGGACGGCACGCTGCTCGTCTGCAGCAAACATTCGACTGGAGACCGCGGAGATGCCGAACTCAGTCATGCCAGTGCCGGGGAAAGGCACTTGGAGAGGCAGCTGGAGCGTCTCGGAAAGACAAAGGAAGACCTTGCTCGTGAGCTGAGGAAGCGGAACGCGACCGCTGTCGCTGAGCTCTGCGACGATGAGTTCGAGGAACATATTCTGGCTTACGGCCCCGACAAAGCCGGCCTGTACTTGCACGGCATCAACATCAACGTTCCCGAGTTTATGACCTATCCATCCCCACTCGTGCAGAAATTTGCCGAAGATTGGGGCTTCATCAAGACTGGACTCATCGTGATCCACGACGTCAAACACGTCAAAGCCTTCCTAGAAGAGGTCGCCGAGACTGGCGCTCACGATGGCCGCGACGTCGAGGGTTTTGTTATCCGCTGCAAGATGACGCACGATCCGAATGTGAAACCGTGGCAAGACTGGTTCTTCAAGTACAAGTTTGAGGAGCCATATTTGATGTATCGTCAATGGCGAGAATGCACCAAGGCGCTGATCGCCGGCAGGCAACCCAAGATCAAGAAACATGTCAAGATTACCGAGGAGTACCTTCTCTACGCCCGCCAACGCCTCGCTGCGGACCGGAATCTGGCCAAGCTATACAACCAGAATCACGGGATCATCCAACTGCGCAATGACTTCCTCCAGCACAAGAACATGAAGGGTGCTGATGCCGCCACTCTTGAAGACCGCGATGGCGGCGCAGAGATAACTCGTGATATTATACTCGTCCCGATTGCTACTATCGGATGCGGCAAGACCACGATTGGTCTCGCCCTTACGAACTTATTTGGTTGGGGGCACGTTCAGAACGACAACATCACCGGTAAACAGCGTCCTCCACGCTTCACCAAGGCCGTTCTCGACCAACTGGATGAACTCCCTGCTGTGTTCGCCGACCGAAACAATGCCCAAAGACGCGAACGTAAACAACTGATTACGGATGTCAAACTCCAACATACGAATGCCAGACTTGTCGCGCTCCACTTCGTCCACAACGATATCGACACCATTCGTCGAGTTACCCAAGACCGAGTGCTTGCAAGAGGCGACAATCACCAGACAATCCAGGCAGCCACAGACATGGACGGTGTCGTGAAGATTATGGAAGGATTCATCCATCGCTTTGAGCCCTGCGACCCCGAAAGGGAGCCCGATATCGGTTTCGACGCTGTGATTGACCTGGACCCCGCCAGGGGAAGCAGGGAGAACCTAGAAATCGTCATCAAAGAGCTGCATCGCCTGTACCCCAAGTTCATGACTAGCATTCCCTCCGCCGAAGCTATGGACAGAGCGATCAACGTAGCGCTGGAAGGCTACAAGCCAGATTTGCGGCATACCATCCCTGACCGCTCGCGGGATAAGAAAAACACCAACAAGCAGGATCAAAAGGCTGCCGACCAGCCCAAAAAGAAGAAGCCGCTCGAGTACATGTCGGTCGATGTACCCGCCCAAGACGTCCTCGCAGCACTCGAGAAGACTTTCTCCCCCGCCCCTCCTGCGCAGTCCCGTTTCTTCAAACAGCTCCAGGGCACCCGCCGTGTCCAACCCAAGTTCCATGTCACACTGATGCACCGCGCCGCCTCCAAAGACTACCCAGAGCTCTGGCAGCGGTACTTGTATCTCCAAGACACGGACGGCGCGATCCACCCTGACGGGAAGCTGGGAGATCTGGAAGTGCAGCTTGAGCGGGTGGTGTTTGACGACCGCATTATGGCAATCGTAGTGCGCCTCGTGCCTACGTCACCCGAGGATGAAAACATCAATGCCGACAGGCCTGACCAACCGGCTCAGCCAAAATGGGAATGTGTCAACCGAGTGGCGCACATTACAGTGGGGACCCGCGACGACTCGGTGAAGCCCAAAGAAAGCAATGATTTGCTTGCTCGGTGGCTAGAGAATGGGAGCGGCGAGGGCACGGGGATCGGCGAGTTGCCGATTGAGGGCAAGCCGCTGTTGAAGGGTGTTGTCAGGGGCGTGCTTTCAAGATAGGATGATGGAGAGCAGTCATCAAGCGGCAACCATGCCGCTAGCGGTTGGTATTGGCGAAGACGTAAAAAGCGGAATCAGAGCTAAGGCTATGTTATGGGAATAGGAGGGTGACAGGAATTATGATAGGCCGTGGCTGACCGAGGTTAGGAGTAGCCAGGGGAGTTGGTGTTTGGCGGATGCGATACTTATGACACTTCACTACTCAGTATCTCAGGAGAGAGAAAGGTTGACCGAACTCGGCTTACTTGTGAGGGATTAGCTAGTGTAAAGGTATTTCCCGGCCGTGAGTTAACTCTTGCTGTTGGATGGTGCGCGTCGTCCTTTTGCAAATCGAGCAAATATCGAACCATCCATCCTAATTACCTACAACTGCTCCCTAGCCGACTACTGCATGCAAGCCTCTGCCCCAGCTACTCGCTGAAGCTGTTCGTAACCTCCACAAACTTAGCCCACTGCCTCGCCGCCTCACCGCTCTTGATAGCCCACCGCGCTCTCCTCACGCCCTCCTTCCAGCGCCCTCCTCCCGGACCGCGCTCCTTGATAACAACCCCGTCGTCGCCGGGCCCCATATCGCTGGTATCAGCGTCGCATATCCCCGAAACCACAAAGAGAGCGGCAGTGTTGATCAGCACAAAGTGCAGGATGGGGTCGTCATCGGGCATCTCGCCGTTGAGGATGCGCGCCAGGATGGCCGCGTTCTCGGCCGGTTCCTTACCCGGCGACACTTCGGACAGCGGGTGCGCTGGCAAACCAAAGTCGGTTGGGTGAAGCAAGAAATGCTCCGTCACTGTCTCGGACGAGGGGTTGCTCGGGTCTTTGGGCCCCAGCCGCCAGCACAGCGTCGGCCCCGCGCAGCTGATCTCGTCCAGCTCTTCGTCGCCGCACACCACCAGCGCCTTGCGCGCGCCTACGAGCTGAAGTGCTTGCGCGAAGACGGGGCCAATGTCCTTTCTCGCTACGCCGATCATGCGGGCTTCTAGGAGCGGGGGGTTGTTGCTGGTGTCGGGTACCTCGACCGGGTTCGCGAGGGGGCCGACCAGGTTGAAGATTGTGCGCCAGGGCAGCTGGCGGCGGGTGGGCGCTACGTAGCGCATGCCGGGGTGGAAGACGGGGGCGAAGAGGAATGCGTACTTTGTTTGGGAGTATAGCTGGGCAATGGTGTCGGGGCGGACGCGCGAGATTTGCGGTGCGCGCGGTTGCATGCAGTTGAGCAGGTCCGCGGACCCGGACTTGGAGGTGGAGGCCTTGTTGCCATGCTTGGCGACTAGCAGGAGGCTCGATGCGAGGATTGACGAGGTCGTGCTGATGTTGAAGGTGTTGTGCGAGTCGCCGCCCGTGCCGACTATGTCGACCTGTGAGAATGGAGTTAGTACCTGCTTGAGGAAGAAGAGCGGACAAACATTACCAATCCGCCGTTGTAACCGCCCTCTTTCCGGGCCCGTCCCTTAATGACCGATCGAAGCTTTGAGGTGTCAATCTTTGCAGCTGCTTTGAGCATGCACTCGGCCGTCTTTGCCAGCACTTCTGCTTCACGGTCTAGGCCTGTGAAGTGCAGGCACATCAACAAGGCGCCCGCCTGGACAGGCGACACCTGGTCTGTGAAAAAGTAGGATAAAGCTTCGGCAATCTCGGTCGGGGTTACGGTATCTGGGTGCCCAACAGGCCAGAGACGGGCAAGCAATGGCTTGAGGTCGACCTGCGGGAGCTCGGGAGGTGATTCTGTCGACATGTTGTCGGCGGGGCAATCAGATCGCTTTTGCTAACGTAAGGTTCAGAGAGAATTGATGCAATTGAATGATGCTAGGTAATCGACGAATGTCCAGTGAATGAGAGTAGGCTCTGCACGTCCAGGCCCGAACGGAAAACTAACAGTTGACTCATTGCGGAACGGAAGACGAGAATCGCGCATTGCTGGGTCGCTTTGTGAGCAGAGCTCTTTAACAGCCCCGCGACGCGCCGATGCCGCCGTTTAGCGGGGTTTTGCATGGGACATGCACTCAGAATATCAGATGAAATGGCTTACCGAATTGAGTAATACCGGCAGAATCTGGGCGGTCAAAGTTATCTTTCCTGGGCTCCGGTGTTGGCCCCTGCTCGAGCAATTGGCGACGCCGAAATTTCGCGGACCCTGAACAAGAGAGCGACAACAGCGGCTGCGGATCAGGTTTGTTACTGCCGAACTACCTTACCTTCGCTGGGGTTCTTATGCTGACAACCAGTGAACAGTACAGGATGCCTCCCAGATTACGATATACCGTCCCGCGCGGCCTGGGCTCCGTCATCAAGCCCTCGAGGGCGCCAAGCACACCATTCGTCGCCCTCCTGCCCTCAACACCTGCCGTGACATTGGCTCCAAGACAGTATGCCACCGCGGCAGCCGTATCCAGGTCGTCCTTGAGATTACCGGATGATTACGTCCCTCCTACGAGGCCCCCGACAGCCCGCCCGGCAGACGCGCGAAAGTCGCAGCTCCTCCGAAACTATACCTCTCTCCTCCGCTCAACGCCCCTGATCCTCGTCTTCCAACACAACAACCTCACGGCGGTAGAATGGGCAGCTGTAAGACGGGAGCTGAAGCTTGCCCTAGCCAACGTCTCTACTCCGGGGACGGATTCCGCCGACATCGCTTCGAGGGCTCAGCTGCAGGTGATTCGCGGGCGTATCTTCGACGTTGCGCTCAAGATCGTCGAATTCTACGACCCTTCACAGGTTGCGCCCACGACAGTGTCCTCAGCATCGGGCGAAAAGGTCCAGGTGGTGTACAACCATGACCTGTCCAAGTCCGCGTACAACGTCGCGAAAGGCATCGCCAAGGGCGAGATCCCAGTCCCGGAATCGTCCATATACGCCCAGATCTCACCGCTGCTTGTCGGGCCGCTAGCCATTTTTACCCTACCGGCCGTATCACCCGCCCACCTAGCCGCTGCGTTGAGCGTCCTTGCCCCAAGCCCACCGGCGTTCCCGGCCCCGAGCAGGAAGAAGAACCCCAGCTACTATGAGCCCACGGCTCAAAATGGCCTTTCGAAGCTCATGCTGGTGGGTGGAAGGGTTGAGGATAAGGTATTCGACATTGAGGGAGTGAAGTGGGTCGGCGGCATTGAGGGTGGTCTGGATAGCCTGCGTGCACAGCTTGTCGCTATGCTCCAGAGCGCCGGTCTTGGCCTGACAACTACGTTAGAAGGTGCCGGTAAGAGCCTTTGGCTCACAATGGAGAGCCGTCGTAGTGTGTTGGAAGAGGAGCAGAACGGAGGGAAGGAAGCCAAGGAGAGCTCATGAGGTGTAAGAGCTTCAGCTCTGTAAGAGTACCCGCTGCGGAAAGCCTGATATTTGGCCGATTGTATTGCAGCATTACTAGACCTGTACTGCAAACATTATTGTAACAAGTTTATTCAATATTTATTTGTACGCCATCACCGCCTGGTTGCCGATACCTTGATAAGAGTGTAAGACAAAATCATGGAATGGTTGCCAACCGCGTAGGACGACTCCGTACCAAAGGTACAAGTACCTCATGAAAAGTACCTAGGTACCCGGGTACCGATACTTGCCCATTTAGGATCGTGCTGCCCCACTCAAGTCCCTGCAATGACCCCTGTCGGCTAAACGGGATCCATGCCACAGCTGCTTGCGCGCGTCATTCCTTCCTCCAACAACAGGGCAATGCGGCTCAGCGACCACCAGACAACACCCTGAACAGTTGAGCAGAGGAAGCTGTCATCGACAGCCTACGGCAGTTGTCGACGCTGCGATGCCCGATAATTGAGGATAATTTCCATCAAGGCAACAATTTCGGAAGCTAATCGTCATCTACCTACTCCGTACGTTGCCATGTACAAGCGCCTCCACTAGCAAGCTTGATAATCCAGGCGGATGTAGGCCCACCGAGACAACACCTCAGAGCAACAGTCCAGCGCCAGACTCCTTCCAGCATCGCGACGACAGAACAAGCTCAGCGGACACCTTAGGCCCCTATACCATATCCATACTTTCATAGCACCATCAAGGAAACTCTCCACCCCTCCAAGCGAGCGAACCGAGCAAGCATGGATTTCGCACCCTACCAGTCCTCCCCGCCCGAACACACCCGCGCCTTCTCCCCGTCGTCACACAGCGCCACCGCCGCCGCCTCCCCGCGCACCTCGCTCGACAACAGGCGTGTCTACTCCCCCGCGACAGGCAACCAGTACCAGCACCGGACGCCGTCTCAGGTCTCCCCGCCGCCCCTGCAACACCCCCAGCCGCAGCGCGTGTGGACGGGCGATGGCGTCGGGAGGTACCAGCAGAGTCCCGTCTCGGGGAGTCCCTGGGGGCAGGGGAGAGGGGGAGGGAGTAATACTGGTGTTGGGGTAGGAGGAGGAGGTGGTGGTGGTGGTGGTGGTGCCGGTGGTGGGATGGGGGATTACTTCAGCGCTCTGGGCGCAAGGGAGGGCATGGTTTCCGAGTTTGATACCAGTCTCGGCTTGAGGCTCGACTATGAGGCCTGTCTGGCGTACTTGGCGCTGCCGCCGTTGGGGGGCATATTGCTGCTTATTCTGGAGAGGAAGAGTGATTACGTTAGGTAGGTGGGCGTCCTCGCTTGCCTATGAGATGGGTTTAACATTGGGTTTTGAGGGGGGGATATAGCCATAGGCGTTGGCGGTGAGGGAGGCCCGGTACTAACGGTGTTGCAGGTTTCATGCATGGCAGTCCAGCCTGCTTTTTACGGCGCTTTTCGTGGTGCATCTGCTCTTCTCTTGGTCGACTTTTCTGAGCTGGGTGTTCTTCCTGGGGGATCTTGTCTTGATTGGGTGGTTGGTGTTGAACGCTTATCGGGACGCGGACACATTAGACAGGTCTGCCTTTTGCTCTTCTGGTTCGGGGACACTGAAAGAGTGCTGACTGGCGTTAGGTATGAGGTTCCTATTATTGGGCCGATAGCGAGCAGGATCCTGGACGACGAGTAATACACGCAAGGCCTATTTGGTTGGGTCAGGAAGGTGTTACGGCGTTAAGCATGCTGCTAGTGTTTGTTCGCTATAATGTACGCATTGCGAGTCTGGCCGGCGGTCTGAATGCATGGTTTTCTGGGTTTCTGAGGTGATGTGAGCCACCCCGTGTTGGTTCACCTCTGCAAGTCACAGGTATCCTTCGTCAACGACCCGTCCATCTTGCCGCACGCACCAGCGCTATATGTGCAGCTCGTGTCACAACTGGACTCGGAGACATACGTATTGTACAATGCAGATCACGACATTTCGGTTGCGGTAATATTCTCCCGCCATTAATTCCCTACCGCGCGTCTTCGCGCAATGTTCAGCTTACGCGGGGGATGGGAGACCGGGAGCCTGGAGGGGGTAAACGTGCTCGAGATGAAGAGCCAAATCCTGTTGACAGCGCTGCCCGGCAGCCCGGGGACGGATGCTTCCCTTGGGAACGTACGTCATGGTTCGCTCGGCGTGGCTGGATGCATGCATGGCCCTACTTCGATCTGATACCCTCGGGTACGACGGTCTCTTCAAAGGCGGGCTGCGTGCCGATCCACGCAGTACCTACTACCTTGATGTTGGCCGGCTGCTTGGCTGGGTTACAGTCAACTTAAACTACGCACATCCGTTCCAACCTGTGCTACAGAGCCCCGGCCCGGCTAGCCAATGTCCGTCGAATCAGTGAGGCTGCTTGTAGAATGTGATCCTGAAGGGGATGTCGGTCGAATTTGTTGATGTTGAGGAGGAACTGAATGAAGCGGCCTGTTGATTGCAATGGTTACTACCAGTAAGGTAATGCTTGACTTACTACCTTATCTACTTGGTAGGGCTTCACAGTGGTTTAGTCTGTTAAGGGGTATATACCTGGTACTGTACCTACATTCAGTGTGTTTCGGTCATTGGAGTCTGGAGAATGTCAGTCTACTCCAGGGTGGTCTACTCAGTTGTGCTATTATTCTTCTTATAGATATTTGGAGTTTTGTCAAAGCTCTAAGCCGTTCACCAACGTTGTAAGAGGATGGTACTGTTTTTATAAACTTGGTGCTTACAATTGAGGGGGTTTTCCATAACGACAGACATAACGACAGAAGTGTCGAAAAAGGGGCCTTTACATATCTTGTACCATGGTTCAAGTTGGCGGCCCGGGGGAACTCCGGCGGGACTTCGACCCGGCATGTCGCTCATAGCCTCATATTTGAACCAGATGCTTTCATTGGGGAAGCCCCCAAACAGAGATCTTTGACGTATGCAGGTGCGTTGCATAACCCGCGGCGGGCATGCAGAAGCACTCTCCCCGAACCATACCCGCATAGTCGGGCAAACTCCCAGATATTGGGAAAGCAAGCCTCCATAGCCAACATTGAGCGCACCCCACGGATATTCTGCCGCAATCCTACCCATCTAATACTAGTATTGGCACTGCTGTATTACGGGTCTATACTTACCTCATACATCACCACCGAGAAAGATTAGCGGGATAGACTTGAGCATGGAAGATCAGATTCGTTGCATGATACTTGCAGAACGGTTCTTCGGCAGGACGGGATGCAGTCATGCACCTGTTAGTACCTAGTAGTTCATGAAGAAAAACCCCACGAGGTCTCCCGTGAGGATGCCACCGATGATCTCATTACATACCTTACCTAGTTGTATGCAGTTCAGCTAAACAGGTAGGTAGGTAGGTAGGTTACATAGATATAGTACTTACCTCCTCAATCGTGGCATGGATAGGTAGGGGATCGGATAGCCATTGTCCTGAACCGTTTTAGCGGCCTGCAGGCCCGGGGAGTATCCAACCTACCTGACCTGTATGCTACTGGGCTTCCATACTCCCTCGATCGGTCCATAAAGGTAGTCCTGACGATATGACCCTCGAGCTTGAGCATTGACACGGATATGGAAGCACAGCCTTTAGATATAAGCCCACTACACCGACGTTTTGAATGTGAGTCTCGTCAGAGGATAGTACCTAAGAATAAGAATGAGGTCAGGTCTTTGTGACAAGTCGGAGACCAGTTACTTACAGTATACCTTAATACCAGCTGAGTAGCCTCGATATAAGGTAGCACCGTAGCAGAAACCTGGGGAGTCCGGGAGACTCGCGACGGCCAGTAAAGTACATAAGAGGAGCTTACAACCCTCCACTCGTATAGTAAATACCCCTACCTCCATATAGATGATAATGATATGGTCTCAGCCTAGAATCAGACCTGCCGCAGACCGACGCAAGGATACGAATGAGGCCAGTCGGTTGCAGAAAGCACTCAACCCCGCTTGGATTTCCTACACCATCATGCACGCCAAGTACCAGTATCGACATCTAGCATCGTCGCCTCAGCTGGTGACCGACTTTGATATCAGGACTGAAAACCCTGTGGCAATGAAGGACATTCACGACCCCCACTCCTGTACCACACCGGGCAACGTGCAAAACCACCATCCGTGGCATCATCATCGAGAAGGTGTGGGAGGGACATGAACTAGAAGACAAAGAGGGAACTAGGAGGACGAGGGAACTGAGCGGGAGAGGGAACTGGAGAATGATGGGGGAAATTAGGAAGTCACGGTGTAAGTCAAGGAGAACATTTGGAGTAGGACTCCGGTTCCTCGGAAACTCGAGTATATATACAGTGTCCAGCTCACGAAGTCATAGCCCCTTTTACCCATCATCAACGGTTCAAGTTGTACTTTTCTTCCCTCGAGCTCTCAGGCTGTGGCCTCGCTGAGAATTCGGAAGAGCCTCGACAAGCACTTCAAACTGATATCAGTTGTTTCCTTACTACTAATACTGTGTCCTTCTGTCCTCTCTGTCTCTTCCTCTTTAGCAGTTTTCAAGTTCTTCTCCCAACAAACCTTGAAGCATCTCATTCACCATGCCAGCCAAGGGGTCGAATCTGTCTAGCCCCAAGTATGGGTACGACTTTGTGGTCGCGACGACCCAAGCGAGCATCAATTCTGGGCTTGCTGCTTTCCTGGCTGAAGGAAACCAGCCGACCACGTATCTTTGCTTCCTTGTCGATCCGCAAACTGGCAACCCAAAAGACATGGTAACTCTGGATGAGCTGCTCGAGGCAACCAACGGTGTCAACCCCTTCGAGATACCGGCTGGCACTCCATGTGACGACCCTCGCATTGCCCCGCTCACTACGGCGCTGTTCTGCGTCGGCATCGAGCTGCAAATCGGCCTGCCTCCGGGCGTCTTGCCAAAGAACCTGCCCCCGATTGTCAACCTTGGCAACAGCGCCAACAATGTGGAATTCAACCTGTTCTGCTCCAAGTTGACCGTCATCCAGAACCAGCCTCCATCCGGCTGGGGTAGCGCGGGCAGCTGGAATGTCTGGAGCCAGCCCTCGGGGACGCCGTGGTACTTCTCCACTAAGGTCAACCTTGTCATGGCCGATCTCGACAAGGAGCTTGACACGCCCTACTTCAACAGCCACCCGGACGAGAAGGCTGCGTTGCTGCGGCAGCTGGAGAACCTGTCGGCAACGGCCTTCAGTCTGCAGCAGCTCATGTTCGACCTCAGCAACGCTGCGCTGCAGACCCTTCCGCAGCTGGCAGGCATACCAGACGACTCTAATGCGGCGATTGTGCTTTACAAGTCCTTCATCAACATCTACTCCGATCTCGCCAAGGAGCGTGGCTGGCCGCTGCTCGCCGTGGCGGCGACGGTCCAGACACCAGACTCGTCTCAGCTCCAGCTGACAGCCTTCGAGCGTTAGGTTTCGCTGCTCAAAGATAACAATGGCGTTCCCATCAAGAACCCCACGGCGGAGCAGAAGAAGGTCACGACGTTGGACCACCTCTGTGCCGCCAATAACCACGCGCTCCCGGGCACCTCGAGTTTCAGCTGGAACTGGGTTCTGCCAACCGAGGTTGATCAGCAAAGCGGCGTCATGTCCATCAACCGAAACTCGATGGCGGATTTCTTCCTGCCTCAAATCCTGCCCATCGCCAGGAATAACTGTATTTTGTGTGAACCCCGGGCAGAAGCTGACCCCTTGTCGCCCGCGGGCACCGTCGGCATTCGCATCACCAGTGGGCAGATGCCGACAAAGATAGAGACTACGGCATCCGGAGACAAGGTCATGCACATCGAGTACACGGATTCGAAGCTGGCCGAGGACTGGGCCGGTGCGTCTTACTGCGGAGTGTCGGTCGAGCCGCTGTACAATTGCGATGTGTATTTCGTCGACACGACCATCAAAGTCGTTCAGCGCGTCAAGATCTACCTCTGGATATGCTTCGATAACACGGACCAAGGCATCAACATCTTCGGCCAAACCTTGACCGACACGTATGCCATGTCGGTATCCCAGGCGGGCGGTCTGCAGATCGGGCACACCGGCAGCGTAAACCAGGACGATTCCGAAGACCCAGACGCCAGTGGCTTTGTCAACTTTTGGACCGGCATCAACGATGTCCTGGCCAGCCTGAAAGAGCAGTTTCACGCGGTCGAGTGGATGAAGCTGGACACTATTCCGCTTGACACATTGCAGGCCTTCATATTCCCCGGATCAAAGACCTTCACGTACGTACAAAGCCGTCAACTTTTCCGACTACCAGGACCTTGTGTGCGCCATAACCTACGTGGATCCCAGCCAGGCAAGGCGGAAGCTGCGAGATGTGCAAGCACTGACTGGCACCTTCCACCCCGAAGCATCGCCGGGCCTGGTGCTTACTTCTTCGTCCCAGATGATGCAAAATTATGCCCATGGTCAGCTCATGTCCCCAACCGAAAAGTTCCAGGCCCTGCAGACTGCCAGTGGCCACGCCCTCCTCTTTGCCATCGACACCTCGGGCGTGTTTCGCGTTATCGAGGAGAGGAGCGGGAAAGCGAACATTGGATGGGTAGCCACCGACCTCTCCACCTCACTCATCGCGGCAGAGTTCGGCGGGGCGAGCAATGTCAAAGTCGATACATTCGACGTCGGACAGAGCGCATTGGATGGAACCATTGGCCTTGCTCTCGCCATTTTCGACGGCACAACCGACTGGCTGTTTGTCTCCCTCGGCAACTCCAGGTCCGATACATCATGGACAGCGAAGCCCGCTTGGAAGCGTGTCAACTTCGACGCTGTCACGGAAAATCCGCCGGGGATCAACATCGTCGGCGTCATGTTCGCTGAGACGATGGGGCCCGGTCAGTATCTCATGGCCGACATTGACCGGCTGGGATCCTCAACCAAGAACATAGCTCGGTACCACGTCGACCCGTCCAAGTCGACTGGACGCTACTGGGTCAAGCAAGGTGTGCCAGTCGACATCGAGAACGGCAATTATCAGAGCTGTGTCGGCCAGGTGAAGGGCGGCTATGTCGATGGCATCTACACGGCAGGGCAAGCCGGTGCCGCGTCGCAGCTGGTCTACACGCCCGTTGAGAACGCCTTCGGCTCGGGACCGCCTCTGCCACGACGTCTAGGCCTGCCGGGAGGTGCGCTTCCGTCGGCAATTGCGACTGCTCGTTACACGGATCCCTCGTCCGAGTTCTACTCCTTCACTGATCTCTTCGCCGTCGGTGGCTCGACGCTTTACCGGTTCGCGCCCGACAAACAACAGGATGGCGCCACACCGCAACCAATTGTCACCAACGATATCTTTTCCAATACCAGTCAACTGTACGCAATGACGCTGGGCGGCGTTACAACTCGTAAGTGTTCTCTTTGATCCCTGCACCAAGTTGGATTTCACCTGGGTATCGAATGGTACTCTGGAGTCAAGTCAGGGACCGACCTGTCTAGGTGCTCCTTCAAGTCATCCATGAGTCCCTGCCCACCCTATTCATCCGCAAAATACAGGATAGCTGTATTGACTAACACCGTGATGCATAGTCTGGGGCAGGAACGCAAGCAACGTGGTGTATTACATTGCATGCCCAACCTCACAGCTGGACCAGCCAGGCTCATGGAGTGCTGTCGTACCCATCCTGACAGGCATTGAGCGCATATCGCCCTAAATCAACAAAGCGGACGGCGGAAACACCATCTTTGCCGCTGGTGGCGGGAGGTTGGTGCGCTTGACCCAGGCATCCAGGACGAACGCAAAGGCATGGCGGTCTCAAGAGATCACTATTGCTGCTCCGCCGGACCTGGCACCGCTGTCTTTCAACTCATACACCACTAGCCTCGTTGCCAGCGATGCCAATGGCCTGCCTGTCAGCGGGCTCGAGGTCCAGATATCGACAGACTCTGCCACCCCGCTCTACATCAACGGCCTGTATTATCTCGTGGGACCAACCCCTGTGACCATCACCACCGACCCGTCCGGCATCATAACCATAGTCGAAGCGTGCAACGATCTGAATGCCGCCGTCATCACAGCCCCGATACCCAACGATATCATGAGCTATGTTATTGACCCGATGGACTATGCCTTCGATAAGATGGCCGCTCTCAATACCCCGGATGCTCTTCGTAATGCATCCTATCCCGCCGAGACCACAGCAGGAGGAGTTGTCGGCGATCCGGGCTCTACACCGCTTGTGGCTTCCACGGTTAGCCAAGATGACCTGCAAGTCATCGCCTCCCGGATGGGAACCCTCAAGGATGTCTGGGCCGACGTGAAACCACCATCCACTACACCCCTGAGGAGGCTAAAGCCGAGTCATCCAGGCGTTGTCGCCGCCACTCTCTACCAAGCATCCGAGCCGTACAGGGGCCATCTCGATGATATAGCCATCGCGGCTGGCGACCTCTTCCAGTGGCTCAAGTCAGGAGTCGAAGCCGCAATCGACATCATCAAGGACGCTGCAACCGACGCATGGCACTTCATTGCCGAGATCGCCGGCACGGTGTACCGTGCGGTCCTAGACACGGTTGAGGCCATTGTCGGTGCCCTTGAATGGGTGTTCAATGCCATCAAGACAACAATCGAGCAGATCATCGAGTTCGTCAAGTTTCTGTTTGTCTGGGACGACATCCGCCGAACGAAGGAGGTTCTGCACAACGTGGTGAGATTGTATCTGAAACACCAGGTTGGTAACCTGGGATACGTCAAGACTCTGTTCAACAACCAGGTCGCCGAGGTAGAGAAGACACTGAGCAATTGGGCCGGTCTCGGCGACTGGTCGCCCCTGGGTCCTGTGGCCTCGACCTCGACGGGATCAGCTGGAACCAACCCAGCCAAATATCAGACGGCTTCCTCGATGTTGCTAGCAAGCCATCTCAGAGACAACATTGGCCAGCTCACTGTCAAAGACACCAGCGCCACGGTAGATATCGTGCAAGAGGTCATCGACAATCTTCTCAATGCGATATCGACTGAAGGCCAAGTCCTCTCGGCCGTCTACACCAAGCTGCAAGATGTGGCGGCTAACCTGCTCACAATGTCCGTCGCCGACGCCATCAAGAAGATTGCGGCCATTTTGGGCGAGGGCATGCTCTCCTCGGTCCAAGTCGTCATGGACGCACTGCTGGATGCGCTTGCCAGCGTCGCCGACACGGCCATAGACCTGCTGGACACCCAAATCTACATTCCCATCATCTCCGACATCCTCGCAGAAATTGGCGTTTCCAGCATCTCCTTCCTGGAGCTGTTTTCATGGATCGCGGCAGTGAGTGTGGATGTCGTCTACAAGATTGCCTACGGAACCGCTCCGTTCCCTGACAACAGCGACGTCAACGCACTGATTTCGGCGAGCAGCTGGGAGGACATCGCGACGTTATTTGGCAAAGGTGTCGACGCCACATCGGAGCCCAAGGCAGGCGCCATCACCCTGCCGGCTGAGGTGGCCAAGACAGTCCATATAGTCGGGCATGCTGCTGCAGGCTTCAACATTCTCGTGGGCAACTTCCTGCAAGTCTTTGAAGCCGAAGCTCCGACAGGCGACAACCCCTTTTCGTTGCCCCTGGCCGTCATGGGTGTTGTGACGCCCGTGTTGCAGGGCGCAGCCGACTTCCTGGTCCCGTCGGAACCGGTCGACAACACGGCCGTGAGCGCCGTCTCCACGGCCACAACGGTAGCTGGCGTCGTGTCCAAGCTGATATTCTGTGGCCCCGTTCAGAGCAGGCTCGCCGTCAGCAGCAGTGGTTTCTCAGCTCTGGCAGTCCAAGACGGGCGCGCCACGTCGGCCATTGTCAGCGCCATCCTGGTCGTTCCGTCGCTGTTCGTCACGGGCTGGCACTTTTACGAACTGAGCCAGAAACCAGCCGGTACCGAGCGCTCGGCCGCTATCGTGGGCGAAGTCTCCAAGCTGACGTCCTATGGCTCTACCATCTCGTACGCTGTGGCAGTGAACGTCTAAGGACCCCATGTCCAAGCAATACGCCATCGCCATGGTGGCCTGCAACGTGGCTACCGGTGGGCTGCAAACCGCTCAGGCGTTCCTCATTGAGTAGCAATCATGAAGGAGTAACTTGAACGGTCCATTTTGTTATTCCTGGATTTGTTGATGTTCAACGTGGTGATGTTGATGGTTCGAGGACGGGCTTGATCAGAGCCCGGGGAATTTCATGCAACAAACCCTTCCGAGGCTTGAGCGCCCCGCTCCCTTTCCCTCCCACAACTGTCCCTCCTTTCAGACTGTTCCTATTCTCCTAAACGCTTTACAATCATTTTACAACAAACAATAGGTGCTTTTAGCTAGGTAATATCTTAGTCTAACTCTAATACATTCGTTAAATACATTTACCTCTTGCTTTAGCTCGTAATCTGAAGATTCCTAAGGCGTGGAAATATAAAAGGCGGTAGACACACGGGTTATGGTATTTACCACCTTTTCTCCGTACCGCCCGGTCGAGCTAAGGTCAGGCCTAGCTCCAGCCCTGTTCAGTGACCCCGATCTTATGTACATACATGTAAAACCACCCTGCTGTAATTTTGGAGAGATCTCAGCGGCCGGCTTATGATTCACATCTCACAAAAAGCCTGAATTTCAGAAAATTTCAATTTCATTTCCGCACCCTATCTCAGACAGCTAGGCTTCATGACTCTCTTAGTCAGCTGAAGGTGGATGGCATTATTGGCGGCTCTGGTTGGCTACAGGGAGTGGGTCCCGCCTTGCCCGGTTACGTCGCGCTTTTGCCTGCTGCAGCCCAGCTAAACCTACGGAGTGCAGCTGATTCGATTGATATCTTTCGCCAACCGCCGCCAGAGACCCAAACCATCCCCCAGCTCCTCTTCCAGGTATCATCTTTCCGGTCGGCCACTCTCAGGGCGCAACGTGCTTTCCAAATTGCCGAGTCTTCTCCCTCACCTCCCACGCGTCGCAGATCAATCAGTTCAGCAAGCCGACCGACTCCCACCCATCGCCATGTCAACCTTAGAGGAGCTCGATGATCTCGAGCGCCGCGAGCGCGATGACAAGAAGGACAAGAAGGACAAAGACGACGACAAGGACAAGAGAAAGCAAGGAGATGGTGACGCCGAGATGAAGGATGCAGAGCCCGAGGACAACGTCTTGGATGAGGAGATCCTGAGCCTCAGTACAGAAGACATCAAGACTCGCCGGCGCCTGCTCGAGAATGATGCGAGGATCATGAAGAGCGAGTATCAGCGATTATCACATGAGAAAGCCACCATGGCCGAGAAGATCAAGGAGAACATGGAGAAGATCGCCAACAATCGGTAGGTTGCCGGCCGCACTGGAAACTAATCCGGCATTACTGACTGACTTCGGTCATTCTATAGCCAACTCCCCTACCTCGTCGGCAATGTCGTCGAGCTCCTAGATCTGGACCCTACTGCTGAATCATCGGAGGAGGGTGCGAACATTGACTTGGATGCCACGCGAGTGGGCAAGTCGGCCGTGATCAAGACGTCCACGAGGCAAACCATCTTCCTGCCCCTCATTGGCCTCGTCGACCCTGAAAAGCTGCGACCCGGCGACCTCATCGGGGTAAATAAGGACTCATACTTGATATTGGATACGCTTCCGGCAGAATATGACAGCAGAGTCAAGGCTATGGAGGTTGACGAGAAGCCAACCGAGAAGTACAGTGATGTCGGCGGTCTTGACAAGCAGATTGAGGAGCTCATTGAGGCCATCGTGTGGCCCATGAAGGAGGCGGAGCGGTTCAAAAAGATTGGCATCAAAGCACCCAAGGGTATGGGAAATGGACCATTTATGCTTACAGATCGGTTTGTCCGTGCTAACTCCGGATCCTAGGTGCTCTCATGTATGGTCCGCCGGGCACAGGCAAAACACTCCTTGCAAGAGCATGCGCCGCCCAGACCGAGGCCACCTTCCTTAAACTTGCCGGGCCACAATTAGTACAGATGTTCATTGGAGACGGCGCCAAGCTTGTCCGCGACTGTTTCGCGCTGGCTAAGGAGAAAGCCCCGGCAATCATCTTCATTGACGAGTTGGACGCCGTCGGTACGAAGCGGTTCGACAGCGAGAAGAGTGGCGATCGTGAGGTGCAGCGGACCATGTTGGAGTTGCTTAACCAACTAGACGGGTTCGCTTCGGACGACCGCATCAAGGTGATCGCCGCCACGAACCGTGTTGATGTTCTGGACCCCGCCCTGCTCCGATCCGGTCGTCTTGACCGCAAGATCGAGTTCCCGCTCCCCAACGAAGAGGCGCGCGCACAGATCCTCAAGATCCACTCCCGCAAGATGAAGGTTGACCCTGCTGTCAACTGGGGCGAGCTGGCCCGCAGCACTGACGAGTTTGGCGGCGCCATGCTCAAGGCCGTCTGTGTCGAGGCTGGCATGATTGCCCTGCGGATGGGCAAGAACAAGATTGGCCACGAGCACTATGTTGATGCCATCGCCGAGGTGCAGGCCAAGAAGAAAGACGTGAGTCTCCCGTCCCCACAAAGAAGTCTTTTTATGGTGCTAACGCTGATTCTAGACGGTCAACTTTTACGCCTAAACATTCGAAAAGCTGGGGGGCCAAGGCATTGGGAACGGGCATGGTCCATAGATATGGGTCCGTTATCATGTCGATAGAGCGGACTGCTTCTGTAATATCATCAGGCGATAGCGATTGGCTCGGATTTCCACTGCTTCGGTGATGCGTTGATGTCCTCGTAGCCGGCCTCAAGGTTCAGATCAACCTCGACCTGGCTGAACTTTCCGCTGCCCAGACATAACAGGTATGCGTAGGCGTATGGGGCCTCGTCGCAAGATTGCGAAACGCTTTCCCTCTTCTCCGCTTTCCCCGTGCTCCTACTACATTCGCAGGTCATACCGGCATGGCTTCCGTTTGCCGAGCAGGGAGGAGCAGTCGCAGCAGCAATCTGAAGCCTGTAGCTCAATAGACCGTAACACCTACCTTACCAGGCAATATTTTGCTTGGGGCGCACCTTACAAACCTAAAATAGGCAGGGGCTAGTTCTCTACCATGGGTGTTGAGCCATCAAAGTGGCGTCATGGCAGGCAGCAGGTGCGATTGCTCTGTGCGAAAGTTTAAACTGCTCGTGCAACGGTACTATAAGTAAATTCTCTCTCTCCTTGCCTGGATCTCTTCTTCTTTTTCTCTTTCACTCACCTTCATTCCATCCGATCATCTCGTTCTGCTCAGCATTCCATCTCATCTCGTTCTGCTCAGCATTCCATCTCTTCTCTTTCTCCTCGCCATTCCATCATCTCTCTCTGCTCACCATTCCATCATCTCTTTAGTCAGAACTAGGTCCATCGTAGACTGCCCCGAGGTACTTAAGTGAAGTCCTCCTTCCAACGATCACCCCCCACGGGTTTTATGATAGCATAGCGGAATGGGAGGAGGAGTATCATACCAGAGAGGCCCTCAGTTCAATTCCCCTCGAAACTCCCCCCTTCGGAAATCTACATTGACAACAGCCTCCATTTCCTTCGGGGGGTGCGAGTGTCTCTCGATGAGGGATTCACTATCTGCGAGAGGCGCTCGATTTGTTGGCCGCTGAGAACCGGACCGGTTTCAAGTCTCATGTTACGCATGACCAACTGCGGGAGACCCTCGATGTGTTCGTCACCGATCTCAGGGACGAGATCCGAGCAGGTTTTCAGTCCCTCGAAGACGCCGTGCAGGCCGTATGGATTGACGTTAGCGCCATTAACACTCGTGTTCACGCGATGTTTGTCTCGCCTCATCCCGCAATATGCATACAAGAAGCTGACACACTTAGGGCAGTCAACGCACAGAGACAGCGGACGAGTCCGTTGGCCTTTAGCACAAGCATGGAAGTCATTCTCCGTCCTTCGGTTTCTGTCAGACAGGCAATGAAACCCGTGGATTCTTCGGGATCAAACCACCGGGGAAACGGCAGGTATCCTCGCTAAACCCCAATATCGAAGATGAACCCATTTCTGGTGTACCAACCTCCAAGACGAAGGCGGCGAATACGCGCGAGATACCGTCAAGACAGGCAATGGAATCCATGGATTCTTTGGGATCAAACCACCGGGGAAACGGCAGGTATCCTCGTTAAACCCCAGTGTCGAGGATGAACCCAGTTCTGGGGTACCAACCAAAGACCGCATGAATACTGCCGCAGCACTCCTTACCCCTAACCCAAGTTTTCGTGCGCTGTTTGAGATAAACGGTAGGGAACCATTTTCTCTAATGATCTGATACCTGTACTAATTCTCGTTAGTTGCCACTGCTTGCCGAATCCTTGCCAGCCTTGATGTCCCTGCGGAGGGACTCAATCTCCCAACAATGCGCGAGAAGATTCGCCAAGCAGCGCTCTGAGCTTGATGTCTCCAATTCTATCTAGTGCCCTGACTTGGTTGCGATCCAGGGATTGAACTGGCGACCTCTCTTTGATGTGGGTTACGAGGAGAGGACCATTACCACTGAGATTCACCTCAACCGGTGGGGGGTGAAAGTAGGAAGGTGGACTTGGCTTATATACTTTCCAAGACGATGTCGATTGTCGGTCCTTGCTGCTGGGCGGCCGCACCCCCCGGGACATGTCCCCCTTGTAGGGCCGTAGGCCCGGTCGCGCTTTCTTTCCCCGGAGGCGCTATTCAATATGCTCTTCCATGCCGCAATCGCAACATTGGTGGTTTTTGGGGTTCCTCTTGGTGTAGGGGTATTCACGGGTGCATTCGATTATCATCAGCGGTAGTTATATGAAGCCGGGTCGCTGCTTGATAGTTAGCTGTTAGTTTCGAAATCGACGACTTGATTGTCTGACTGAGGATTAGCACTGAGCTCTTTGACTGTCGGATATGCTATATCAGTGCGCTTTTACTAAGCCCTAGCTACCGGTCCTTCTAGATCGAGACTCAAGTTGCGGTGGGTGGGTAGCTGAGGGAGTCGGACTAGGGAGCAGCCAGGATCCACTCCATCTATATATCCTGGAGCCGCCCGTATACCACTGCACCGATATCGAAGAGGAGCAGCGGAAAGGGGGTTTTGTAGATCAAGGTATCGACTCACATAAGAGGTAGGCAGGTGCCTGGTGTGGTGGGTTGTTACCTTAGCGTTAGGTAGAAAGATAGTGGTACTTATGGCCCCGGTTGTCAGGAGTAGACGTATTGACGAGGAGCTGATGGTAGAACTTGCTTTTGGTACTCGAGAGGATCGAAGGGAAAGTGAAGGTCCGATTGGCATCATATTGTCCCCTGACTTCTATCAACAAGACAATAGAGACTCTACTACTAGTACTTGCCTATGTTTGCCGGGCGGGGGGCGTAGAGATGAAACTGGGCTTGAAAGTCATACTAGTACATGATGTGAATCGGACAAATTTTACGTTGGGGTCCAGCTCATGGATTTATAATACCAGCCTGAGTCGCATGTAGCCATATAGACTGGAGATATCTTACTAATCTACCTCAAGCTCCCTGCCATCATGGATTCCTATCATTAGTAGGTAGAGTGCTCTTGGGAATCATTCACTGTCCGCCCTCATAAGTGCTCGGCGTGTCATGGAAGATCATGATTAACAACTTGAGGTCAAAAGGGTTTCGGCAGAAGTTTCGCACCGTATAAGTGTGTTGGGAGCCGTTTCGTTCGTCCTCATAAATTCATAATTCGATACTTAAGAGGTCTGAGATACTGTAGGTACTGAAGTGAGCCTCCACCTATGCCAGCCGCCAAGATGCACAAGGTCCTTACATATACCGATTCTACACATAATGTTTTGTGTTTTAGACGCCGGGAGAGCCACGTGCTAATCACGGCCTGACTCAGGTTGACCGTTGGTGACCTCCATCTAACATCTCAACTCGTATAACTGCCAATGTCAGGGACGGATGGCGCAGATTGGGATGCACGTCTGGACGGCGTGAAGTCACGAAGCGGGAAGTTGGGGTATCACCAAGGCGAATTGTCAATTTGATCTCTGGTTTGCCCATGCCAACATCCGAATTGGCGGCAAGGCAGACAGCAGCTAGGTAGCACAGAATATCAAGCGAGCTCGCCTAGGGCCCGGGGTACTTGGACGATTTGGCTAAAAGCGTTAAGTCTGATTCCATTATCCGAAGGCCCCTGTTTTTATCGTCCGATTAGTCTTCTTTTGGGATATGCTTAATTCTTGGCCATGCCTTGTGAGGCTGAGGAAGAGGGCTGTGATAATCTGATCCGGCAGGGTGCTGAAGAAGTCTAAGGTACCAGTGGGTTGGAAGAACGCACGCCGGATTGACTCCTCATGATTGATGGCATAAAGTTAAGCTCGACTTAACGCTGCAACTGCATTGGAGAGAGATAATGGGTATCGTTGCATTGTATTCATATGTATCTGGGGTAGTAATGCACCAGCAAGATTGATGAGGTGGAACGCACTCAGTGAATCTTCTGTATTGTGATGATGGATCAACGTCTCGAGGAGACGTCGCTGCTATGGAGGTATCTCAGAAGTCTACTACTGTGCGTGACCATGTGTCGTACTGTGCTCCTATACTGTAGAGGTCGTTTGACCTCATCAAAGATGACTCCATGTAGTGTAGCAATGTCTGCGAGTCTAAAGCGAAAATAATATCAAGGAGAGAAGAATAGAATCCAAAAGAGATTCAAAAATAGCAACGGAGAGGAGAATAATGGAAAGACAAAAATACAGGTATCCATAACCGTCATCAATTCTATCATGGCTGATCGTCAGTTGTTGTTACAATGGGTTAGGGGGCTCGGGCCCTGGCGGTCGGACACTCGGGATCGTTGTTTGCCGTTGATGCTTTATTCGCTCTTTCGCAACTGAGGATGCTCAACTGCTAATCGGCGGCCGCAGGTTTCCCAGTACTCGCGTGGAGCTCAGTATGTGTACGTATAATCGATGTTGTTGTCGTCTGTTCGCAACGAACTTGTCAGAATTCAGGGGGTAGCTAAGCAGCACCCATTAGGGGCAGGAGACTCATACAGGTGGTGTAAGACGCCGAATTCGAATATGAAGTCGACGGTTCTGGAGATGGTGTACCAAACACCAGATCTTCAACTGGCTCTGTATGCGGGCTTTAATTAGCAAGGAAACCTCCACACGAGATTTGGCTGAGTTCCTATTCAAATGTCTTACCTTGGACCTCTATAGGGTCACCATCCTTGATCAGTCCTTTCTTTTGCGCCCGCTTCTCGAAGCGCGAGATGTCTTTGGGGTCTACCACCCGCCCTCGGAGGATGAACCGCGTCTCTTTCCCGGGGTGTGCTGCTTGCCGTTCGCGCAGTGTCTTGATCATGAACATGTACTCTGACCCCTTGATGTACTTGGTGTCGAGGTTCCACTTCTTGATTTGTGTCTTGTACTGCTTCTCGCTGTAATGTGTAAGCTGCAATGAACCATGTTGAGTGACGGGGATAGACGAGATGCGTACGTTGCCTTGAAGTTGTAGGAAACCTGCATTTCCGTCATGACATCCTTCAGCTTCATGTTGTTATACAGGTGCGCGATGACGTCCTTGTAGGGTTCCCAATCCTCTGCACTCGCCGGCCTGAACATGACGGGCTGGGTCTGCTCAGGCTGCTGGGGCGGCTGCTCATACATGTAGTACTCGTCCATGGTGAGCTAGGTTATCTGGGAGCAAGCCGTGATGAATGTCTTTCTAGTGTCGCTTCGGGGTGTCGATAATGTAGATGGTTTCTGGATGATCTGGCTGCTGGATGCTCTGGTCTACGGCCGAGGCAGAAGCAGGAACCTGAGGAAATATCTCGAACTTTATATTGGAGGCCATGTCTGACGGGATAGTCGATGGGCAGCGTGAGAGCTTGGCCGCAGCAGCCTGTCTTTCCGGCAAGGCTAGGCACCTCAGGCCCACTAGGCACGCGGGTGTGTCATTGGGGTATGTGCCGCTGTTGTCGTCTACCAGGTCCAGGTATGTGTCCCTATCTTGGTAGGTGCCTTAAGGGTGGTTCAAAACCGATGACTCCAACCAGCACACAACTAGTAGGTACACGGGTAGGCTCCCCGGCCAACGGTCAAGCTAAAGGCCATGTATGCGCCCCTTGTCTTGGCAGCCGCGAGGGCATGCGCAAGGAGAACATCGTGGACCCCAACTTAGGAGCTTCAAGCGGGGCCGCCTTGCTCACCCACGACATCTTTATTGGAGTTGCACAAGTTCCTTGCAGGCAAACCCAGCCGAATCGCCCACTGAATCAGGGAATCCAGGGATAAATTCAATGCAGGGAAACGAACGTAGAAGGACGGAAAAAAGAACAAAAAGGCGACTGATGAAGCGGTACGGGCCGGTGGACAGACTCGCAATCGGTCATGAGTGCCTTGAGCCAGTCCGAAAGAGTATTTGTCACCGTCCATCGACCCATCGGTTCTAGGCAGGCAACTCCACCGTCTCCTACCTTCCCCTACCGAGTCCAACCCCATAGTTCGGAGGCAAGTCCGGGCTGCACCCGGTCGTTCGGGACCGCGGCTCTATGGCTTCGCCTATACAGCGGCATTTGCTGCACATGCCGCAGTTCGCAACCTCACAGGACGCAGAATCAGGGCAGAGATCTGACATATGCAGGGGCGCCCGCTGTTTTTATTTGTGGGGCGCCTGCGGTGCGGCGCGATGCCCAAAGCTGAGTGAGACGGACGCTTTTGGTGTTGGGTGACTCCAGCGGCGTTGCTAACAAGCCGTCGTCGTCGTCGACGAGAAAGTGAATGAGGTTGCTGTTGACAGCAGCGGTGAACTGGCAGATTCATCAGAAAACAGAGGGTAGATCTGCCTGGTCACATGCCTAGCCGCAGTGGGTTGTTAGTTCCCAATTAAGGAATGCGCGGTAGGCTGCTTAGCCTGCTTCGCTAATAAGCGAAATTCAACATTTGGAAACCCCAGTCAGTCCAAGGCAGCAAAGGGCTCAAAATCAACGTTCGATATCCTCAATCAAGCTGGATACCTTAACCTTCATCTTGCAGCGTGGCTTCCAGTTACCTTCTTGCCTGAGCAGCACTCTTCTCCCACAAAATTTTCACCAATCAAGCTGGGCTGACCTGAGCCTCCTGCGTTCTGCGTTTGTCTCATTTACTGCAGTGGTTGAACAGAAGAACGGGAGGTGCCTACTCCCAGAGTTACAGAGCAACAGAGTCATCGTCATGTCTTCATTGGTCCCAAGTCAACCCCCATTTTGGCACTCTTTGGCTGGATGTGTAACCCCTAATTGGTTACCGACAGCAGCGTGCTCGCTCGATATGGTTAGCATCGAACTCGATAAACAGCAAAGGAATGCTCTGAAACTGTTGATAGCAGTTTCAGTAGCCGCACAAGATCAGGTGGATCGGAACATGTCTCAACCCGCCATCCTGGAGCCGCGATGTCTTGGGTCTTCCCGCCAGCCCTCTCCAAGCCCAAGGATGCGGCCCAGCCTGCAGCCGTTCCTTACCGCCGCAGCAGCCAAGGCGGGCGGGACGCGTGGCACTTGCTTCCGGAAACGTCGGACAAAACCGTAGAATGGCGATCGCCCCGTGCACGCTGTGAACCCGAAGCCATGGAAGCTTCTATGCTTACCGCTGCGGTACTACCTTGCCGTCAAAGTCTGAAATGAACACCGTCACCGTGTCGCGTGAGGTTGCGGCATGCGGCGCTTGCGCGTGGCACCCGGGAATACCGATGACACCATGGGCGGTGCGGCAACACAGATTTTGTCACGAATCCGCACCGTCGGTCCCGAGTTTTCCACCTTGATCTGCGGGGCGGCGCCGATGAATGCGTATGTCGAGGGCGGCTGCCACATCTTTGTACTACCTGCTGTGCTACACATCAGCCTGACGTTGTGTTACATTTCCATGGCCGTCTTAGACGACCCGGGCAAAGCGAAGCGGCTGCGTCTATGCGGCCGTCTCACCTTTTCAGAGTCGCGCAGCCGCTGGTTACACTCTGTGCAATCCGTATGTGGAAATTCATGGATTCAACCGCAAGGCAAGTTTCGTCACGGGATCTAACCGCGTCGTCTTTGGCAAGAAGGAAACCGTTATCTCAAAGCGTTAAGGTACGTCGCCCTTACAGCCTTCCGTCAACGGCCCTCCCTAGGATTCTGGCATGATACCGTACCTAGACGCGACGGTGAGACACGACTTGACTGCCAACCAAGTATTCTCCCTCGATCAACATCACTCCAGAAGTCTCCGAAGCGCTCTACTCCCTGAGCTTAATTGGAATTCATTATGACGCCCAGTTGTGATGAGTTGCATGATTGGTTGCACTCTTCGGCAAGGACTTTGTGCCTTCCTACCCTATCACGCCTATCCAACCCTCAACATGACGCAGAGGCCAAACTTAGGCCAGAATCAAATGAAAAGATGTTTCCCTAAGACCTACCAAGTGGTTTGAAGGTTGAAGAATCGTGGCGTGAGGCACGGGGAAAACAAGGTACTCTTCGGCCTTCCCGCACCTCATCGGCAGCGTGCGGAGCCAGAAACATCCGTTCGGACCCCAATTCCGATATCATCATACACCAGCTTGAAATAAGCTCAGCAGATAAACTCAAGCAAGCCTAAGCGAACCGCCCCCCCGAAGGGCGTAGGAAGCGGCCCAGTCGACTCTACGTTTGACGTCTTTGCTCAAGTCGGCGATTATAGGCCAGAACAGAGCAGAACGGTTACCGAGGCTGGATGACGAGAAGCTATATCTCAATGCTATCAAATGATACATTCAGGTTTGAAACCCCCGGCAATTTGCCGCCCTCACATCCTGGGTACGGTCGATGAGCAGCGCAGCTCGGCGCTTTTCTTTGCCAATGGTTTACGCCAGGGTTCTATATTTGCTACACCGTCAGTCTGACAAGCCTACTAGTAGTACTACTACACAATGCAATGAACTTATGGTGGACGAGGGAGACCACGTCGTTACTGATGTGGAATCAAGCATCCCTATTTGTGAGAGGCCATTGACCAGAACCACTTCGGGGTGAGGCACTTGGGACGAACGGCGTCTCTATGCGGTGAGCCGGCGTTGAGACAGTGAATACCTCGATAATAGATAATGTTCCCTAAGAATGTAGCGGTTAGTATGAAAAGCGGACTCGAATATAGCCCCCTCTCAAAGCATCAAGCAGGGATCGGGCGAGCTTAAGCCTTAAGGGAGAGACAGGCGCTAACTTCGAGTTCTGTACATACAAGTGAGATAACCTAGGTATATATCGAGAAATTCACATACCAGGTCAACGGATGGATGGTTTAAGTACATCAAAGTCGTCTAAGAACTTAAGCAAAGGTCCACCCATCATCAGGGAGACCGCACAGTTAGAACAGCCCGAGTTGGTGCCCATCGTACCTAAGGTACCTTACTTGAAGGGGCATTCAGATTTCAAAACGGCAGGAGTTGGTGCTACCTTCGGATGAAAGAAAAGCAAAAAAATAGACGATTGATCGGGGAGCCGAATTTCGAAGCCAAAAAAGAGGGTATGAGCCTAGACAGCAGTCTGCGACAGTCTTTGTCGACCAGAGGCCGTCCAGGTATTTTCTCAACCCTGCGCTGGAACCGCTACGCCACAACGCCGTTGAAAGCGTAGCAGTTCCTGTTGAAGACCTGCAGTCGAAAACTTCCCTATATACCCAACTACCCTTCCACCCGGAATTTGAGCAATCATGTCACAAATGTCACAAATACCACTCACTGCAAACAAGAGACGGCTTACTATGAAATGACATAAAAACATTGAACCCAACTCCGCAACAACCATGAACGGCGGGAACCAAGCCCTTTAACAGGGCTGGGCAACTCCATCCCGAGTCCCAACTCACACATGAAAACCAATTTTGACCTTTCCCAGATATTAGCTTCTCTCCGCCTTCTACAAATGTTACACCATGCGTCGAAGTCCCTCCCCGATCACCTCCTCATCCATAACCACGGCACGTTGAGCCTGGAGGACTCGTTCAAAGCTCCTTCTGCACCTTCCTCTTAGCATCCTCACCCATCTCCCGAGCCTGGTCGGCCTTCTGCTTTGCCACGTTGCCGCCGATCCTCAGCTGGCTAGCAACCCAGTCCCATCCGTTCCAGACAGTCTCCCGCAGCTTGGCAATCATGGTCCCAGTGGGAGTGGTAGTGCCGTACTTGAAGTAGGTGTACTGCTTGCGGGCCATGGCGCGCAAGTCATTCAGCTTTGAGCCTTGCGGGACCGGGATGCCGTAGCTATCCAGGTACGCCTTCAGCTCGCTCTCGCTCCACGTCTCAAACACATTCGCCTTGGCCGCATCGGTCGCGCGGGAGAGGTAACTCGTAGCCGAGGCATACGAGCCGCCGCCGGCCGATGAGGCAGACTCGTAAGCGGCCTGGGCCGCCTCAACAAGCTCATCGCGCGTCGCACCCGTCGACTCGCTTACTTTCTTCGCCGCCGCGTTGCCGCTTGACGCGAGGTAGTCGCGGAGGTTCTGGTACGAGAAGTCGTCCCAAGTCCACGCGGTCCAGCCCGTGGCTGCTTTGTGAGCATTCTTGCGGACCAGGGCGCGGAGTTCTTCGGTCTTGCTTCCTTGCGGGACGGGCTTCAAAAACTGTTAGTGGAAGACATGGTTAGAGATGGAATGGAGAAGGGGATTCATACCACTCCACGAGCATCAAGAAAACCCTTCAACCGGCTTTCTGACCACGTATTCACCGCCTGGTCGAAGGCCTCCTGTGCGGCCCGAGACGCAGCATCGGTAGCCTTAGTGGCTGCCGACCCAACACTAGAAGTCGCGGCTCCAAAAGCAGATGTAGCCGATGCAGTGACGTTGTCGCCTAGAATCTCGGCACGGTGCTTGCGAACAAGGGCACGCAGATGGTTGAGCTTAGTGCCTTGGGGAACTGCCTCTTGTCAGCGGCTGTCCAGTCACCAGCGTAAAGCATATCGTAAGGCATTTTGTGATAACATACCTGGAATGCCGTTCTTGTCACAGAATTCCTTGAGCTGAGACTCGCTCCATGAATCGATGAGCTTATCGGTAAGGGCCCTGTAGGTGTCCTGTGTACTCTTCTGCGTGGCCGCCGCCTGCTCCTGCATGCGCAAGTATGCAAGGCGGGAGTTGCGACGAACGGAAGCAATAAGCTTGTCACGCTATCATGGGGTCAGCAAGTTGCACTAGAGACCGATTAAGAAGGGCACTCACTGTAGTCGGCTGGGGCGCCGGGAAGCCGTGGGTGTCAAGCCATTCCTTCAGATCAGATTCTGGCAGAAATGTCAGTTGCAAGTCAAACTCTTGGTGTCAAGGTATTGTACGTACCAGACCAACTCTCGTAGAGCCAATTTCCAGGGTAGGAGATCGTCTCGCCAGCCTTCTGGGCGATGGTCTCGTAGTTGCTACGGACCTTCTCGAGGAGAGTATCTCGCTTACGCGGCTGCGGAACTGGGCAAGTGTCAGCGAGGGGCTCAAACTAGTGAGCACATTGTCCAGACTCACCTGGAATACCATGATGATCGCAGAATGCCTTGAGTTGGCTGTCGGTCCAAGTGTCCAGGATCCAATCTTTGACGTTGGTCCAGGCGCCCCGAGCCTTGTCCTCAGGCTCATACCAGACGCTCTTGACCTGGTTAATGAGATAATCACGGCCCTGGCCGGCAGAATCCTTTGTCTCAACGCCCTTCTGCTTCAGATAACTACTGAGCTTGTCCGTGTCCCAATTTTGGTAGGGGGAAACCACATGAGTGTCCCAGTTCTTCTGCACGAGCTTCTCTAGCTCCTTGCGGTCGGCCGGAGTCGGGTAGGGGATGTCGTTGTCGGAGAGCCACCGCTCGAGCTCTGTCTCGTGCCATTTGTTGTATGCTTTGATGCCAGGTCAGTAGCTGAGCAAAGCACAAAAGCTCTGGAATCGATCAAAACTGACCTTCATTAGAGAGCCAGGAGCTCGCAATGGCGGCATTAGCCACCAAGGCCAGCGAGAGGAGCGTTTTTGCGATCCTCATTGCGGCTTGTACTGGATGCTACGGTCAAGTCGATATCTCTTGTGACAGTATCTTGAGTTTCTTGGATGGGAAATCAATTGTGATTTGCCAAGTGAATTTGCAGTTTAACTAAGGTATGGAATGGAAGAGAAGGGAGAGGCGCCGGTTTTGTGATCAAGGTTATGAGCAGGCGTACCTCATGAAAGGGCAAGAGTGGCAGAATCTAGTACGTCACTGCTTGCTTGTTTTACCTGCATGCGGTCCAGTTGGGGCTTTTCATCCAATCATGTACCTTATGCGAGAAGCTCAAGTGTGTTACTCCCTAAGTTGTTGCACGAGCTGCTGAGAGCAGTGGGAAGGACGCTCCGGCCTTTGTGACGTAATGTGGCTCCTTGAAGAGAAGGAGACGCGTTGGACAAGAGCAAGCCACACCAGGTCCGAAATCTAAGATGCATTCCATCGTTTCAATTGGCTTCCGTAGCCTACCCTTGCGGATCGCTGCCTAACCGACGAGCAAAGACATACATCATAGTTTCGCTACACTTTTGCACAATGGCATCATGAAAGTGGAGGAGATTTCTGAACAGCCCATGACGTCAGAAACATAAGGGTTAGGGTTGTTGCCCCACTTACACAGAGATCTCATCTGAAGCCAACAACGATCCTTCAACATCACCTTGGGATGTATTTCGCCTTGACGGTATGGGAATCCTAACCAGAAACTACTACCGTAGTAGAACCAAAGCAACCCATTCCGTGTTACAATGTTCATTGTTCCCACTGACGATCACATGGATCCCACCCTTAACAACAGCTAGAAGTTAGCGACCCTGACCTCAAAAGTATTGAGACGTAAGAAGAACTGGGGAAGCAGCAAACTAACCATATTCACAAACAACACCGTGGTCCCTGAACTCCCTCATCAATGCCATTCTCGCAGCCTCGGCCTGGCAACGAAAACTCCCAAACCGAAACTCGAGCAGCACCCTTGTCCTGTCCTCGCTCACGTAGCGATGCACCACTTCATCAACCTGATATTGCATCTTGGTATCCAGATATTGCCGTATAAAATGCTCATTGACAAAGACTGGCGGTCCGCTGATGAGCAGCACGCGTGACTTGGACCCGCCAACATCGATCTGGGCCGAGCGGATGCGGTTCCACGAGACACGCCCGCGAATGTGCGGGTTGCGTGGCGTAAAGAAGCCGGTGGCTGCATAAAGAAGATAGAAGCGCTCTGCCCAACAATCAGTCACCAGTCATCCTCACAACGTCAGGTCCACCATGGGGTTATGTAACAACTGATGTTAGAGTTACGAAGTGAACCAGCCAAACTCACCAGCAGCAGCCCTCTCGAAAAACACCACTTTCGCCGCACTCCCAAAGTGTCCCCGCGCCGGATCAGGCGGGTTAATGTGCGAGGCATAGACGCGGCCGACGTCTCGGATGCCCGACAGCAGCTCGTGCGTGGTCAGGTCGGGCGCTAAGCCCACGACAAACAGGCTGCAGTTTTGTTCCGGGGGGATCGCGGCCGACTGGTTGCGCTCCAGGTCTGGGTCGCCCCGGTAGTTGGGCGAAAACCCCTTGATCAGCAGCTCCACCCGCGCCTCGTACGGGTTTTTGTTGTGCTGGCCGTTTTGTGCCTGCTGCTGCTGCTGGTGCTGCGCGGCGCGGCAGTTCATCGGGTGGTAGTACCCGCCGCTGATTCCGGGGACGGGGGCTGGGACTATCCTGCCGCCTTTCGCGATTATGTTAGAGGGAGGAGTCGGTCCCTGGCATGGTGTTGCTGTTGGTACCGGTGGGCTTGGACCGGGGGTCTGAAGCGTGTTTGTTTGTGGTCGTAGAGTAGGCAGAAGACTCGGACCGGTTGGCTGCGGTGGAGCGGGCCGAGGGGCGGCGACGGGACACTGAGGGCGAGGCTCTTCAGAGTAGAAGTCGCTAGATGACCAGCTCTGGGTTGGCGAGGTCACAGGTTTTTCCGAATTCGGGGTGCGAACTGTGCGTGAAAGAGCTCTTTCCACCTTTTCCGGCTGGGCCTGGTGATTCAAGTACACCCTTACCCCAGTTCCGGCGTCAAATCCCGGCGTTATTCGTTGAAAGGGCAATCTGCGGTAAGTAATGGAGTCCCCGTTTTCTATGTTGGGCTGAGTCTCGTTGTTTTGAAGTTTCATTACGCCGGGAGTGCCGACGTTGAGACCTGGAATTCCCACGGAAGGGTAGTTGGGCCCCGGAATTCTCGCGGGGTCATTGGCTTGAAGCCAGCTGAGCCCCGGGATACCCGTGGTATTGGAAGGCTGATGGTAGACCGGCTGTTCTTGGTAAAGAGGACTGGAGCCCATCGCTGCTTGGGAATATGTTGGAGCTTGTGGGTAAAGCTGGCTCCGGTAAGGCGTCACCAGTTGCGCCGACTGCTCGCGCCCCATTGCCCTGTTTTGGATATTCGTCTCGCTTGAAGCAGCCAGTTTCAAAGTCTCCTGATTAGGAACTCCTAGCATGTTTAGCCCGTCGATAGGTCGCTTTGTTTTTTGCTCCTTTGGCGTGTTGTCGTGGCTATGATGACGATCGGAGTTGCAACTTGGACTTGATGGGCCAAATGGATGTCCATAAGAATTCGGGTGAGAAGAGGATGAGATGGGAGTGAGAGGCTGCCGAGTCAAATTGGCGAAGTAAGGATGTTTTGCCCATTTCATGGCATCACCAGCACCGCCGCCGAGGTTTCGATGTTGCCGTAGAAACCTCTCTTGTATGGACTCAGTTCTAACACTCTTCTCTGAAGACTCTGGGGTATGTCCCCGAACCAATGACCCATCACTCCATGTCGTTCTGCTGAAACACGGCGACTGATCCAGGCCGACACGGGCTATCTCAGCAAGATTCGCATCCTGCCGGGCTCCTGAGGGGTCATACTGCGCCAGATTCCCCCCTGAGGTGCGCTGTGACGGCCCATAAGGAGTAGTACCAGGCGTATGTTCTTCGCCTACCCTTTGGGGAGTCCACAGGGACGGTTGTGGTGAGGAAGGGGTTTCCGGATATGAGCGAGGGCTTGTCATGTTCAGGAACGAATAAAGCTTCTACTGTTCGAAGCCTCGAGGGGAGTCCAAGCGGTTAGTATTGAGAAACATCAATTGTCACTGCGGTTGACGTGTTTAGCAGGGACTGGGCGGGAAGGGTGGATGCCTTACAAGTTATATACGTGATGTGCTAGACCAGCCGCCGATGTTGTGGCTAGAATAAGGACAAGTGATTTCCATTGTTTCTCCAGGCAACTCTTTTCTTGACAGTCGTAGGTGTTGACGTGCCGTCTTTCGTCGGCCATGCAACTTCAAAGAAGCGATTGGGATAATAGAATTGGGATAGCATCTTGGAGTTTTACTGGCACTCGCGGTCTGGAAGTCTCCTTTGGACCGTTGTTAGTCTCGGGAACAACGACAATCTTTTGAGCGCTTGAGCAACAAGAATATCGAAGATTACCGTATAAGCACCCTTTCTGCAGCACATCCGGCGCCTATATACAGGGCCAGTATCGGACTGCAAGAGGAGGATAAACATCTTTCAGCTCTGCGAAAAAAACCATTGTAGCAAGACAGACATTCAAATCAGATGTCAGATCAGTGACACTTGAACTTTCACGATTCACTGTTTGCTGACAGTTTGGCTAAGTTATGTCGCTGCCATCATTTGCTGCCTACAGTCAGAGGTGACTCCAATGTAGGACAGGCTTTGGTTTCGTCTGGTACCTCAGTCCTGCCTACATGTATTCCTTGCCTGCAGTATGAAAATTGATGTCTAGTACTCAATGCCCTCTAAACTGCAATAGTACTCGGCTTTTCCGTGGACATCGACAGGCCTTAGCAGGTCGCTTTTAAATTGTACTACTTATATGCCCGCATAACCAAGGTTCCTTACTCAAACGTAAAACTCGGTCAAAATCATGAAGAGAAGTACCTAAGGTATAATTCCCATCTTCCAGTGAGGCTAGGGTAAGGTACCTTGGGTTGCTTAGACCTTGCCTCAGGCAACTGCTTAGGTATCTCTGAACTTGTGTCGTGCTTTCCTGAAGCAAACAACGATATTTCTTCAAAGGAGCACAAGGAAGTCGCGTTCAAGTAACCCAAAATGCAACGTGAAAATGTTCACAAACCTCGCTCCGTTCTGTGGAAGAGCAGTTGGCTACAACAAAGCAACAGCAACCAGATTCCTCATACGGGCGGCGAAATTTTGCTGCTTCTCAAACACAAACTGGGTTCAAACCAGCAGTGTGGTTGCTACTAATACATATACCCAAGTACTGCCTATCCTATTTTGTCAGTTCCCAACTTCCCGAACGAAGACTGAGCGTCATCCAATCACCCCAACATTTGTTGACCCATTTTGACGATCGAGTGTATACCGCAGCCAGCCCGGCAGTCGTCGGACTTAAGATCCCCCAGATGTGGCTGAGACTGGGCCACTGGGTGCGCTATCCGGAGGGCGGGCCGATTGCGGGCGGGTCCACGGCGGGATATCGTTTACCTCGACCCCTGGGGCCTAGGACATTTTGGAGCCGTTCTCCGCAAACACTTCAGTAGGCCGATTGCAGCTCCGAAACACCATGGATACAACATGAATCTGGGGGGCTTGACTACCTTCGCCTAGGTAGTTATCATCCCCCGTCTCCGGTCATTCTCCTCAGCTATACTCAGCATCACGTTCATTCACCTCAACTAGCACTGCATGTCTGGCATGGAACCAGATGGATCTGATTTTGATCCGACGCGGCAGGAGAAGACAACTGCCGTGTCACTGCCTGCGCCGTACCCGACCTCGGATGAGACCGATGTAAGCGACATGGCCGAGGCAGCGACCGAAGAAACGAACCAACACCCAGCCTCAGGCTCAGAACTCCCTTTTTCAAAAGCACGGTGTATCGCCCTCGTGGCCACTCTTTCGGGCGCCAGTTTCCTCAATGTACGTCGGCTCTACATTCTGTCACCCCACGAGCCGCCTTCACCCTCCCTGTTTATATCCTTCCCAGCCACTTACCATCACCACAGGCCTTAGGGGGCCAAGCCGTGGTCATCATTCTCCCGACCATAGGCAGAGATCTCGGTGTTCCCGATTCGCGGCTCCAATGGATCTTGTCTTCGTACTTTCTCACATTCGGATGCTTCCTGCTCTTTTGGGGCAGGGTGGCCGACATTTACGGCAAACGCAAGATTTTCATATTGGGATCGGGATGGCTCGCTGTCACCATGCTCGTCAATCCATACCTGCCGAATGAGATTGCATTTGACCTGTTCAGGGGTCTCCAGGGCCTGGTAAGTGAAGCCTCAAGCCCGGCTAGTGTCACCCGTCTGGGTCCGGAAGCGGAAACTGACCGCAGGGTAGGGAGCTGCTGCCAATGTTCCAACTGCGATAGGCATTCTTGGAACTACCTTTCCGCCGGGCAAGGCAAAGAATTATGCCTTCAGTTGCTATGGTAGAGTCCCATCCTATCTTAACAGTGTAGTACGTTGATGCTAATTCGGGAACACAGCTGCTGGCGCTCCGTTGGGCGCCGTATTCGGAAACTTGCTGGGCGGCATCATTGCTCAGTACACGTCGTGGAAGTGGGTGTTTGTCGTGGTGGCCCTCATGGCCGCTGCCATCACAGCGGCAGCCATCTTCATCATCCCACCCCAAAAGCACACCCTCCGAGAGGAGGGCGCCTCCGTCGCAGCGTCGATCGACTGGCTAGGTGCCGTGCTGATCACGAGCGGCCTTCTTGCGCTCCTCTTCGCCCTGACGGAGGGCAACGTCGTGGGATGGCGTACACCGTGGATACCAGCGCTTATTGTCGTGTCCGTCATCCTCGTCGCTCTGTTTGTTCTTTGGCAGAGGCACCTCGAGCGGACGGGGAAACGCGCGCCAATCGTGAAGGTCTCCATGTTCAGCAGCATGCAGTTCAGTGCCGCCATGGTCATCATGGCCATCTTCTTTAGCAGCTTCAACGGCTTCTTGGTGTACGCCACTTTTTTCTATCAGGATTTCCAGGGGCTGTCCACGCTGGACACAACACTACGCTTCCTCCCCACTGGCTTATCCGGCTGTATCACCGCGGCCATCGTTTCCCAACTTCTCGCGCGGGTTCCGACATATGTTATGCTAGCGGTCGGCAACGCCTGCATCTCCATCGCGGCCCTGCTCTTTGCCGTGCCCATCCCGCCAGACACAATCTACTGGGCGTACGGGTTCCCAGCCATGATTATCTCGGTCTTTGGCGCCGACACGACGTGGCCGTGTCTGATCCTCTTCACCAGCCACTCGCTGCCGCAAGCGGACCAGGCCCTGGGGGGAGCCCTTGTCAACGCCATGGGGCAGGTCGGTAGGGCGATTGGCCTGGCAGTGGCAACGGTAATTCAGACGGCTGTGATGGCGAAGGAAAGGGGCATCAGTGTCGAGCATGCAGGACCAGTGAAGGAGTGGGAGCTGGCCTCGCTCCTCGGCCTCAGGGCAGCAGAGTGGTGGAATTTTGCGCTGGGGATTGCTGCTCTGGCTTTGGTCCTTGTGTTCTTTCGCGGTTCTGGTATTATCGGAAAGGCTGGTGGTCAGAAGAGTGAGCGTCCCGTCCAAACGGTGGGCGGTCGGGACGACCCTGAAAGCCAGAAGGAATGAAGTTTGAGGACAATCAAGCTCGGCAAAAGCAGTTTATTAGATAGAAAGAGAAGGAAAATAAGAGGACAGGTCCGGAGTGGACAGCCTTGCAGCTGTGACAATTGCGATGCCCGAGGCAGCTCAGGGGCTAATGTCCTGACAGCTCAAAGCAACCCGGGCGGCGTGACACGAATGGAGTAAGATTCCTAAATTTTCTTCGTGCCCCTGACCGGGAAGGGAAAATGTGCCAGTAGGCTTGTCAACATAAAGAACATCGCAAGTCCGAGGCCGTCCACCTAAAGCCAGGGGCGACCGAACATCGGTATCTTGGCGATAGCTGTATTCAGGTTGTCTTTGGAGGCCCTCCCGGGTTCCGTCATTGCCTAGACTTGACCTAACCTCAAACCCGTTAGGGAGTTGGTACTCTAACTGCCGAATGACGAGCATGGAAGCTCGCCATGCCTCGTTTGGCGGGTCTCGGAACCGGCTCTCCGTTTCCAGCGCAGCAATCTATATATATCAAATTAATACTTCACAATCTTTCCCCTACAAACCCAAGAGACCGGGAAAGACGGGCAGTGTCCTCCTTGGTCTGCACCATAGCCTTGAAAACATCTTGCTACTCGTAGGCAATGCGGGAGACGTACTCCGAGTTGCAACCCTGCATTCAAGGCCCAGTCCATCCGTCGTCCCTGGCATCCAGTCCTCGTTCCACTCTTATAAAATGCCACTACCGTGCCGCCAACTACCGCGATACGAACCCGGTTTCTGCTCTTGAACCCTGACTCCTTGCCTACGTACCCACCTTAAGGTAGTCAACAACTAGTAGTACTTCCAGGATCACCCAACCCCTTCAACCACAATGAAATCCCTCCTCACCCTAGCCGCAGCCACCTTGTTCACCGTGAACACCGTCGCGGGGCACTACATCTTCCAGCAGTTCTCAGCCGGGGGCACCAAGTACCCGGCATGGAAATATGTCCGGCGTAACTCGAACCCGGCGTGGCTGCAAAACGGGCCCGTCACGGACCTGGCGTCCAAGGACCTGCGATGCAACGTCGGCGGCGATGTTAGCAACGGCACCGAGACCATCACCATGAAGGCCGGCGACGAGTTCACGTTCACTCTCGACACGGCTGTCTACCATGCCGGGCCGGTTTCACTGTACATGTCCAAGGCTCCTGGCGCGGTGGCTGACTATGATGGAAGCGGGCCGTGGTTCAAGATTTATGATTGGGGCCCGTCGGGGTCGAGTTGGCCGATGAGGAGTAAGTCCGACATGGTTAAGATAGGGATGGGCGGATTAGTTGATGTTGATGCCGGATGCTAACCTGTGACTCTTACTCATGAAGTCTCATACACGTACAACATCCCCAGGTGCATCCCCGACGGCGAATACCTCCTGAGAATTCAGCAGTTGGGATTACACAACCCTGGTGCGCCGCCTCAGGTAAGGGACTAACACAAAACCTGAGAGCTGGGTATTGTATTACAGTCCATACGCTAACCACCTGTCACCCTGCCATGCAGTTCTACATTAGCTGTGCCCAAGTCAAGGTCACCAACGGCGGCAACACCACGCCCAGCCCGACCGCGCTCATCCCCGGCGCCTTCAAGAGCACCGACCCTGGGTACAATATCAATGTGAGTGCGCATGTGGCCCGGCCATGACGGTTGAAAAAAACGGGGTTGCGGACTGGAATGCAACATGATATTGACACTGGAGACAGATCTACAACAGCAACCTTGCAAACTACGTCGTCCCGGGTCCCAAAGTGGTGAGTGCGGTGTTTCTTGATCCCAACTTCTAACCCAGGAGTGAAGACTACCTGCTAGTGGTGTAGCAGACTGAGCCTGATGTGTGCTAACGTTGGTCGACAGTTTACGTGCTAAGTGTTACCTCGACAAGATTGGGTTGGTCAAGCAGAGCGGCCATTTTGTATGTATTTGGTTGAGTAGTCTGCTTCACGTACGAATTCGAACTGTATTGGTCGATGTCTCTTGTTCTTGTGCCGGGTGTTGTCTGGTATCTCTTATGCTTGCCCATAGCACCCTGCAGGGGGAACTCAAGTTGACTGACTGGTGAAGCATGAATGCAACATTTCTCTTCAACCCATGATCCATCCAATGAGTCCTCTCTTATTACCTACATAATGGTTGATATGATTACCGTTACATGTATGTATATATGATGCGCCAAAGTGCCAAACTCCCGTCAATGCATCCGACTCCTCAACCTAATAAAGCAGACAACGCTTTCCAGCTCTTGGTCCACGCTGCGTGGCATCCACCTCGATTAAAGCATTCGTCTCTATACATACGATGAACCATTAGGGTCCGGGATCCTTCAGTCATCTCATCGTGACTATTCAGGGAGCCCGTGGTCGCGTCAATCTTGATACCCGACTCAAGCAACCAGCCGGGGTGGAAGCCGGAGCCGAGGCGCCCGGCGTCCTGCGGTGCCATTCCACGCCGAAAATGATGTGGGCCAAATGCCATCATCTAGTGTCGCGCCCATGTTGGTCGTGCTGGACGTCGTGTAAAGAGGCACAGAAACAGGACCAGTGGTGATAGATAATCCTGTGGCAACCGACTCCGTTGCTGAGGAGCGCGAAGAGACAGGAGTAGACAGTAATGTTGAGCCCGGCGGAAGGGACTCAGACGACGACAGTATCGGTACAGTAGCGTAGACGGTTGTGGTAACCGTTATCCCAGAAGGAGGCGCGACTATGTCGACTATCTGGACCGTTTTTGTGACGACGACGGTGTCGGTGACGCGATCTGTTGTTGGCGGCGCAAAGACTGTGTGGGTGGATGTTGTTGTTGTTGGGGGAGGGGTCTGCACCACGGTGACAGTCACCGTGCCGATCGTCGGATTTCCGGAGCCGGAGCCGGAGCCAGACCCACCTGACCCTCCGGAGCCGTCAGACCCGCCCGGCCCGTTTATAGGCACTACCGAATAGGTTGCCCTTGGTGCGACACCCGGCAAGGGTGGAGGGATGTGTTCATTGAGAGGTAAGGAGAGGCAGGTAGTAATGAATCGTGAAACTGAGAAGAGTAAGGGAGCTGCACGATTGGGGAGCATCTCGGATTCACTGCTTCAGGGTCCGAAAGACTCTGAGGGTGCCCGGCAATCGGTGCAGAGAAGCAGCAAGACGATTCTTGACAAGATTGCTGCTAGAAGGTAGTCGGACTGCGAGAGAGAGCAGAAGATTAGAAAATACTCTGCTGAGATGGAGAGCCATTGTTCCTATTTGTTCGACCCGTAATTGAGATGGCTGGATGGAACTGGAATGTCTTCGGCCGTTGCTCGAGAATTCGAGGTGGTTGATGTTCGGGGGCTGCTGCTGCCAAGTTGGGTTTAGCTCCTTCCCAGCCACCCAGGCTGGAGGGGCTGCCCCAACGAAACTGCTAATCGGGGAGAGCAAAATTGCTAATCGGGGAGCGGTGGGTCCTACCTGTGGCTCAGCTTCAACCTTTAATTTCAGGCCACCTTGCAGGCGGTCAACGTCGATGCCAACCACCAATTTTTCCTTATTT